CTCAAAGGTGCTGTCCACATCACTGTCCCCAGATGTCGGGTCATCAACAAAGATACTTTCCATAAATTTCCTGGTAAAATCAGGGTCACATTGTTCGTACTGCTCTATATAATGTTTAATTGTGGCATTCAGTAAGAATGGGCTTGAAGAAAGTCCAAACACGACACGTGTAAACCTCAGTGTAATAACCTTAGTTTCAGCCTTATCAACGTCATTGACCCACGGGAAACGGAGTACATCCTTATCAGTGTCATTCATATGGACCATTAACTTCCACTAGTTCGACGAGAGCGCTGGAAAGATGTGAAGACAAACACGTCTTTTACTTATTGCAAACTACATGAAGTTCAAAGACGAATTTGGAAAGTCACACATTACCCAACAATCAATTCGGTCGGACTTTTGGTTCGGACACGTTCCATTTTCCCTTGGTTATTCCGAGTGGTCTCTGACCGGTCGGTCAGGCACAGTATAATGGAAAGCACCCGTCATTTGGCGAGGAAACCAGAGGTAGAATGCCAAATGTCGGCTGTTTTCTCAGGCTACTCATGTTAACTTCTGAAGATGTATGTTGAAGCATACGAAACGTCAAGTTCGATATTATATAAGTCAGTTATACAAAGCGTTTGTTATTTCTGATGTTTGTAACCGCAGTTTGTGTTATTCCTTTTAACTTGAGTATTTGTCCGCAGAGATGAAGAGGAATTCGACGCTCTACTTTCTGCGACAAGGCGTTTTCCATGTTAGCAATAGCCAACTAAACATTTTCCTCCCGCAAATCTGCTCTGCTCCCTCAATTTCACCTTCGATTTCTTCTTCTCTCCACGGACATGATCAAAGCCTTCGATTCACTTTACCATCCACTTCCACTTGCAACACTTAAAGCTTATTGTGTTGAGGAACGAAGTCTGCGATTGATGGGCTCCTAGTTCACAGACCGTTATAACAGGATCAAGCTAGGATCTGTAGTGAGTGAGTGGCAGCGGGTGACCAGGGGATGCCCACAGGGTTCTGCATTTGGACCTCTCATCTGGAACATCTTCCAAAATGATTTGACTTATACTGTTGATGCGAACATGAATATGTATGCAGATGACCACCAGTTTTATGCCGTTGGTAGCACCCTCTCTGATGTGCATGACGATCTTGCTGTTTGCGCTGAGTCAGCATCTTCATGGTAATAATTAATAATTAATAATAATAATAGGAATAATAAGAATAATAAATTGCTAATTTACTAAAGGGAAATTTGAACAAGTACCAGACAATGGCACTTGGTTGCGGAAGGGAGTCTATGGACAGTATTATGATTGACAATCATGAAGTCAGATCCACTGAATGTATCAAGCTATTAGGTGTCTGTATTGACAACAATCTTCGTTTTGATGAACATGTAAGTAGTATCTCCTGCCTCGTACCCAGAAGTCTCTCTTTTAAACGTGCGTGCAAAGGAAGGCGGGAAGTTCCCATGGTCCCTTACGGTTCATCACCAGTCACTCGTTTCGCGCTCGCCTCAGCTATGCGAAAAACGAAGCGCCTGAGGAGGAGGCTGTAGTATCTCTTAGAAGAGCGCCCAGCGGGTAGAAGTTCTTCATGAGGCTTAGGAACCTTATACCCACACAAACTAAATTACAGTTATATAAGGCAGCTGTTCTCCCGTATTTAACCTACTGTCACCTCATATGGCATTTTTGCCGTGCTAGCGATTCTAGACGACTAGAGTGTATCCAGGAAAGAGCACTTAGGGCTATATATTGTGATAAACATTCGTCCTATGGTAAATTACTATCTATGGCCGGGCTTATCTACTCTACACAACTGGCGACTACAGGACATAGCTATTCTCATGTATAAAGTTAAAAACAACATGTGTCCAACATACATTATAAACTGCGCAATCATGACTTCACTATAATAAAATAATAATAATAAATAATTTATTTCTATAGCGCATTCTCCTAACGCCCAAATGTCTTTTTACAGTGTCAAATATATTATAATCTATACACTTAATAAATGAAAAAAATCCTAAGAATCGAAAAAATCAAAAGTCTTAAAGTCCTAAAAATCCAAAAAAAGAAAAAAAATTGAAAGTCTAAGAATATGCTTGTCGAAAAAAAAATTAGGTCTTAAGCTTAGCTTTAAAGATAGAGACAGATGCGCTGCTTTTAATCTCAAATGGAAGCGAGTTTCAGAGGTAAGGCGCGCACACTGAGAAAGCCCTCAAGCCAATCAATTTGAGTTTGTGCGTTGGCTGCTCCAGTAGAAGTTGGTCAGCAGACCTAAGAGCTCGCCTAGGAACAAAAGGACTGATACCCAGATTCAACACAGTCTCCTTTGGAAAGCAGCCGCTCAGGTATATGGGCCCAAAGGTATGGAGTTCTGTTCCTAGTAACGTACGTGAAAAAAGCTTCCATGTTGTCCTCCTTCAAGTATAACATCAGAAAAGTGGATCTTAGTATGACATTAGATGACAATAACTGCTCTCTTTGCATTTCTTAATTTTGTTTTATTTTTTATAAGATAATGGATACATTTGTACATATTGTATATAGTTCTCCCGAATTTCTTATTTTATTTGCTTATACTGTATATATATTATACTATACTGGGCCCAAAGGTATGGAGTTCTGTTCCTAGTAACGTGAAAAAAGCTTCCACGTTGTCCTCCTTCAAGTATAACATCAGAAAAGTGGATCTTAGTATGATATTAGATGACAATAACTGCTCTCTTTGCATTTCTTAATTTTGTTTTATTTTTTATAAGATAATGGATACATTTGTACATATTGTATATAGTTCTCCCGAATTTCTTATTTTATTTGCTTATACTGTACATAGTTTTTCTTAATGTCTATATTCTTATATTCTGTTTTTTTTTTTCATTTTTAATTAATTAATTTATTGATTTATTCTTTTTAAACTTATTTTAGCGTCCCCACTTAGTAGTTAGATACCGCTATAACAGTAAATAAAGGTATCGTCATCATCTTCGGCCACAGGGCAAGAATTTCTGCATTAAGTAGTCGAAGAGTAGTGAGTTTCTGCCGTGGGCTGTCCTTTTCATCAATGTTGTTTCAGCTTGATTTCGTGTTCTCCCACACTTGAGAAATGTCTCCCTTTTCCAAGGACATCAGTGACAGATGAAATAATAAGTTTTGCACTTGACCTGTGCCCTGCACACTGCCGTCGCTTTCTGGCGAGTTCTTCGGCCATAACACAACACAACTTTACTGGTCTTCACTCACAACTGGTACGTGGCATCCGTGGCATTCGCCGCTTTTATCCGGCCAACGATGGACCATGTAGACGAATTTGAACTGAACTGTATTTATTCCAGGTCTGAGGCTCGTTTCTTAGGTTACAACACTCCAGTTTCTCTAAGATTACACAGGATTTTTTCAGATTCCGACAGGCTCACGAGGTTCGTACTCATACGTTAGCTAACAAGAACACAACACGCGTTCGGATCTCTCCCAGAAGGCCTAGCGCGCTCCTGAACCCTTACGTCATCGCGCACAGCAACTTTGTATTGTGGATTGTTGATCAGGGCCCAGTTGTTCGAGGGCCGATTAGCGCTTACCCCGGGTTTCTTTTTCTTGAGTTCAAAAGTATTTTCTCGGATAATTTTCTGTTATTTTTAGCGCGCGCGCGTGGACGGAGCCCCATAGCAAATGAAATGTGGTAATCTACCCATCCAAGAAAATTTGGTAATAACATGACCGTACGCCCGTCCGTCCGCACCATAGGCACACCAATGTTCAATCTCACACTTTCTAACTAGTTTGGGAGCACGGGAAAACTGATATTGCACACACATTGTACATCAATGTTGTGATCAATTGACAGCTGTCAAAACAGGGTATCCACTGACCAGCATCACCTGACCGTTTCGCGGGCTCAGGTGTCGACCCCTCGAGGTTGACTATTTTTTGAAGTTATTCTCTGAAAAGTTACTAGTTTTCAAATGATCGCAGGCTCAAGTTTAATTTTGTTAAATTCATATGAAATATATTGTTTTTATGTGTCGCACAATTAAAATTTTGATTTCAAACTGACCTCGGATGCGAAAATTCAGCCAGGTATTACAGGCAGGGAAGACAGTTGCTTTTGACTCTTCTCACTATGGTCTCGCGTTGGTTACGCTCTACGTCCAATATTTATGCTCTGATTGGTCAAAATTTGGAACAGGCTAATGTGGATTATGTGGAGTATTAGCTATTGAGAAGCCAGAAAAGCGTTGCTGGCTTGCTGTAGTGTGTTTGTGTCGTCACGCAAGGCCTCTTACCACGAAGCGTTGCCTGGCGACACGAAGAAAGGCAGTGTAAGAAACCATTCGCAGCTAATTTACTGTCAAAGGCACTGAGCAAAAGAAAACCGGAGATACACTATCTCTGAAGTGATGCAGTAAAAACCCGCGTGTAAGGACCGAGTGTTTTAAGAACCTGCTGGCAGAAATTTACTATTTTAATAACCAAAAATATAAGAACCTGATATATGTGGATACAAAACTTTTTAACCAAGGAGTTCTACTTTGAGATTGCAAATTTATATTATAAGGAAATACTTCATTAACTTTATTTATTTATTTTAATCATTTTTTAATGATACACCTTGTGTTATAGAAAGTTTAATTAGGCTTATCATAATAAAGTTGTAAACAAATACTGTATATTTTAGGACCAAAACCAAGTTTTTCTGGTAATAAAACGACCATATCTCCGTGACTGAAATTAAGAACCAAGAAAAATTTGTCAAAAACTACCCCAAAATACAAGAACCTCTTTTTGCCAGACTTTAAAAAATATAGTTTCGTACACGCGGGTTTTTTTTTTTCACGTTAAACAACCGTAAAACAACACTTCAAAATGACAATAAAACGAATTTTATTTCGTTTTGTTACTGATATCTATCTTTGTACAGATAAACGTCTTAAATTGTACTTTTTGAAATCTTTATATAAGTTAACGTTCCTACAAGGAAAATCAAATTGAATTTTCATTGGGTACGCGGTTTGTGGCGACACTCATTTCCCAGCTAAATCGTGTTGTATTTCTGTAAATGCCGAAGTAAGTTTCTTGAGCCGTTGTTCTAAGGTCTTCTTTGTCAGCGCATTCTCTTGCAAAAGAATGCGCATCTCGTCCTCAACTTCTAGAACCTGAAAGGAATTATCACGACAATGAGAGCACGAAAATTTCTTTTACCAACCGAGTGAAAAGGCCATAATACGGGGCTTTCAACTCATAATTTTGTTACAGACCTGGCCCCGGTTCCTGGAAAACCGATTAGTGCTAATCCAGGCCCCGGTTGTTTAAACGTTGGATAGCGCTATCCACTGGATAAATCGCTGTTCAGCGGATACGTATTAGGGAAACCATTTGCGTTATCTATTGGATAGAGACTTATTCATTGGATAGCACTATCCTCCTTTTGAACAACTGGGGCCACGATTTACATCGTTAATCGCGTAATAAATTCTTATTGTATCCCAACGATTAGATTCTGTTCCTGAAAGGACGATTAACGCTGATCTCGGAGAATTTCAGTCACGAACAAAATGGCGAACTTACTGTTCCCTTTAATGGTTCACAATTTGCCAAAGAAAGTTCCTACGACGAGAAATTGATCTCAAACAATCCACTGACGAAGAACTTCGCAGGAGATTTAGGTTAGCCGAGAGTCAACAAAATGTCTGGTACAAATCCTCAAGGATGATCTCTAGAGACAAACGAGGAGAAACCGTAATCGCTGACACCAACATTAGCGTTGCGTTTTTTGCTCGCGGCCGCTTCCAGCGAATTAATTACACTTCACTAATCGCCATTTTTTTTCACAGTTTTACTTCACCCTTGCCTCAGGCTGACCGGTTCATGAATGTTCAGTTAGTTTTTTTTTATCTTACCCTTGCGTTGGCCTGGTCTATCTCCTGCTGTTTTTCACTGGATAGTGTTTGAATTTGTTGTTCGTTAGCCTGTCTTTCCTGTTCAAGCTGTTTGCGGAAGGCATCATCACACGCTTTCAATCTTTCTACAGCGGAACTGAAAAAGCAAAATAGAAGATTATGTCTATGAAACAATGTAAAACCATCAAATTCCCGGGTAACCTCGTCACTGTGGCTTTTCCAGGGTCCCTCCCATTGTCTGAGGGAAAAGCCCTGAGGACGGGGTTGATTCCCAGGGTTTCTCTTCTCCTCCCGTCCAGCACGTGAGAGGCTGGTGAGAGACGCCCCAGGGGATGAGAAAAAGAGAGACTCTGGGAACGAGGTTGGCTTCCTGACTCAGCAGTTGGTTAAAGCATCATGCCGGTAGCCGGCACAGTTGGTTAGTGGGCGGCCTTCTGTGCGAGAGGTCCCTAGTTCGATTCCCAGTTGTGACCTCAAAATTTTGTTTCAACTTTTTTATGTCCGTGTAGCTTTAATTGTTTGTGATTTGTTCGAGTCGACGGACGATTAGCGCAAATCCAGAGCCGGCTAGTGGCCACGACAACTCGTTCGCTCTTTTGCAGTTAACCAACATCAACTTTCTCCAAACAACACTAACCAATACATCATCAAAAGAAAAGGTAATGGCAATTAATAAAATGATCACCAAGGGGAAATGCTTTGATCTTTTATCAAGTTCTCTCAACGAAGTCTTTAAAGAAATGTATGTAGATCAGTCTGGAGAATCTGTTTGTGGATATTGGGGTGTAACCCGGGATTGGAGTTAGCCGCACTTTCTTAGTTTGGATACTGTAACAATGTTTCCAAACATTTTCCTGATGTTTCGTGGCTAAATAAAACAAAAAATGATTAACGTACTCAGCTGCTTTAATAGCTTTGTCTCTCTCTTCAGTTAGTGTTTTCTCTTTTTCTTTAAAGCTGTTTCGCATTTCAACAACTTCCTTTTCCATCCTTCCGATGAGCTCGCTCTTTTCCTGCCATTTAAGCTTCAGAGCTCTGTTAAACCAGAGGAAGAAAAATAAGTGACGCTTTTAATTCTAGTTCTCTACAATCAGAATTGTTGATCCCTAGCCAACGAGGGATAATTAAGACTACTTTGTTCAGTATATACGTAATTGTATGACCTCAAAAAAGACGTGAGTTTGTATCTCATACACCTTAAATTGCTGATCCCAAGGTACTCAGCGACGCAGTCGTGGATTCTCGCGCGAAGAGCGCGATGGTGGTGTCTCTCCCTGTCTTTCTCTCCGGTTTCCCCGACCTTTCCTTTGAAAAACACGCGCAAACTACGACCAACGAAAAGATACGACTGACCAATGCGGGTGATTGGCAAATCTTAAAGACCTTTATTTTCTCTATATGGTAACCTGCTACTTAAACTGATGACAGCAAGCCTACATGATTAGTTTCAGTCATTCACACTTCTTGGCAAGCGAGTAAGAAACGAGACCTGTCAAAATCAGTCATGGCGTTCGAATAAGATTCACTAGAACCACCTGTGATTCTCTTTGGTTGTTTGCAATTCTTCCTTTGTTTTGTTTAGTTCCTGTTTGAGCGATTCTTTACGATCGATAAGCGCATCCACTTGTTCCTGAAATAAAGCATCGGATACTCAATATCTCAATGGCCTGACAGAGGCTAATTCGTCTAAGTACCTTAAGGTATTACTCGGCAAGTGAAAAGGATTACTTCTTCTGCCGAAGTGGTGCATAATAGCATAAATGGTTTCAACTATGGGGGGGTTGCCTCAGCGTTTAACACGGTTAAGTACCTCCTCCCCACCCCCGATCTCTACTTAAAGAGTATTACTACAATTTAAGAAGCATTAAGACCTGACCTGGAGTTCCTGATTGGCAGCAGACTCGGCAGATAACTGCTGTTCGAGATTTCGTTCCCGCTCTTTGCTATCTTCTGCTTTCTGGCGCAAATCCAAGTCTTGATCAGAGAGTTTCTGAATAAGATCAACATGATTTATTATTCTAATTAATGTTAGCCTGTTTCTTTCGTTCAATAGTCCATTTTCGAGTTCGTTATGACCGCTGAATAAAAGAAGTGAAGACGCAAGTTTTACAGCCTTAGCCTCAATCTGACGTAATATATTCACAAATTCCAACGAGAAAAAGACCTGTATATTACTCTGTCTATTGTGTATATTCAAATTTCAAACACTTACTTGCCAGAATTTCTGAATATTTTACTTCACGTCGAGGCTAACCATGTATGAATGTGTCGTTAATGTTTATATTCAGCGGTAATTTTTAATTCGAAACCGGACTATTAATATAGTATACTCTTTTATTATCAGTAGTCATTGAACGCAGCGAAGCGCGCGGAAAGAGCGCGGAGCTAGACTGTTCACAGTCCCCTATTTTGTCCTAAGATCGTCAGGATCGAGCGCTCTCGGGTACGGGCGGCCATCTTGGTTTCATAAGTACTAAGGGGCCGGGCGTCGGGGACCGGGGTCGTCGGGTGATCTTACGGAAAATCAAGGGACTGTGAACAGTCTAGCGCGGAAAAAGTCCTCGACTGTCTCCATTCACGGTTGCGCAAAAACACGAACCACAATCAACTGAGTTTTTTGTCCACCACTTTTCAACTTCTGTCACGGACAACGATGCGAAAGAGTACAGTGCAATGAACTGAATTTCCGAATACAGGATAGTTAACATACCACGCCCAATATATTCCGTTACCCTTGGATTACCGTCAGGGATATTACGCTCATAGGCTGACCTGTTTGAGTTTTTTAATGGAGTCTGTTTGGTCCTCTATTACTTTGGTCTTGATGGCTATCGTTTCATTAGCACTCTGAAATATATAAGAATCAAAAAAGTATTACAATTTTAAAAAAATTAACTTTTAACAGCAATAGCAGTCTAGTTCTGTTGTGATCAGTCATTGCCGCTAAGGTTGAATGTAAAAGAGACCTTATATAGAAAGGTATAATCTTAAGCTGAATATAAGCTGAATTGTAAACGTCACTTCTAAGCCGTCTCCAAGCCGGTGATTGCATAGATAAGAATTTTGGAGACCTTATCGTATTTCCTATTTGAAAGTAACGACCTTTAGAGGAAGGATTTTTCCTTTATTCTGAGAAAAAATGAGGAACGAGGAACTACATTTGGATTGTTCAAGGTACCTAGAAAATAATAAATGGTTCGATTTGTTCAGAAGTACTTTGCGTATCTGTTTCGTCTGTAATCCAACAAGATAGCTTCCTTAATTGTTATTCCTTTTCTAATTAGCTAATGCCTTGAATGCAGATCGAGACATGAGACATACCAACCCAGAGTTTATTCCAGTTTCAGTAGCAAGGAGCACCTGGGAGTACTAGTAACCACCTAAGCACCACCCCCCCCCGCCCAGCTGCAATCGCATAGTTATCTGAGCAGTTTAGTAGTGCTGGAATAACTGTGCGATGGACTACCGGTCCAGAGGGAGTAGTAACAAATTACGCCTCTGGTGCACCTTCCTTTATAAACCTAGCTTGAGTTTCAGTTCTCGTAACGTACGCTTAAGCAAAGGCTTTCTTGAGGGACGCACGTCAACCGTAAGTGAGGCCTTTTCCCTCTTCACAAGCCCTGATGATATAAAATTTATATTGCTTAGCTTCTTTACTCTTATAGAGACAATTTAACTGACAATTTGGGCAAAATCATCGTCCAAAAAAGAAAAAAAAAAAGGCCACTTCCGGTTGACGTACATCGCTGAAAAACGTCGTTGCTTAGGCCATTTTCGAGTTGCCCTAACCCGCTGTTTCGAAGCGAGACTCAGTGAGAAGTCATTGAGATGTACATAGATGAATTTTTATTCGCATGCAAAAAAACTCGTTGTCACAAGAAATGTTTTGCACTTAGCCTCGTTCTAAAAGCGAGAAATTTACGAACTCCGAAATGGCCTATTACGTACGCCGTTAAAGAATTCACCTGGCATTCTTTCTTTAGTCCGCTGACCTCAGCAGTAAGTGCTTCAATGCGCGCTTCCATTCTTCCGCGATCCTGAGCAAGTGAGGCCCCTGTTAACATTGGACGAAAATTCCTTATGTAAGCCCTTATTAACAACTCCACAGGAACAAACTACGAACTCTTTAGCATCCTTAAAGACAGGGTTCGTACCCTTTTTTGAACAAAAATTAAAGGACTTTTCAAGGACACATTTCCCATTTTTCAAGGACGCCATTCAGTGCAAAAAAGACCTTTGGGTCTACGTCTTTTTTTCTTCTTCCACAACATGAGCAATATTATTATTAAAAGGTATTTCTGTGTTTGCTGGGTTGGATAAAGTTAGCACCGAAATTCAAGAACTTTCGAGGGGCGTGCGAACCCTGTACGAAAGTTCTGCTTTCCGAATTAATTCAAAAGCCCAGACGAAGGAAACCAAGTCTTGCAATTCTTTTTCTTTTCTAAGTTGATGTTTTCATACCTTGTTGTGCAAGCTCTTCGCTCCACAGCTTTCTCTCCGATCTCAAACCTTCAATCACTGATCCTTGAGCACGTATCTGGGCTGACAACTTAGCTTTATCCTGCAATTTATAAGATACAGCACTAAGCAGTCAGCAGTTGAACAACAGCAACAACAAACTTTGAGGAGTGGCCACGTCGACAACGTTTGCTCCTTTGTCCACTACTCATCTCTCCCTTATCAAGTATAATTCCACATTTTTTTTCTTTCCATCTTTATATCTTAAAGCGTTTTGTTGCAATCGAACTACAGTGTAGAATTCGGAGTTTGCATTTAAGATTATTCTAACCTGTTCTAGTACTTCCAGTCTTGTTAGATGTTTGTTAGCTTCGCTCAACTGCTTCTCTAAGTTCTGAATTCTTTCCTGCAAGAAAGGTAAGCATTAAAACGGAGATGATAAAGCGTGCGCCACTGCTGGACGAACAGGACTACTTCTGGGCAGTAGTAATTGCTCTTTCGATCATAACATTACACCTGGGATGAAATAATCGACCCACGAATGTTATGATATCGCCGAGATGCATGAAATCATCTCTTCGATAATACCGTATTTCCTCGAATAATAGCCAGGGTGTTTATTTCCTTTTTCGCATAAAACAGGGGCGATTATTCCAGGGAAGGCGATTATTCGAGGGAGGCGATTATTTCAAATATTACTCACTTGAAGTGGTGCCCTATATATTTTGCTTTATTATCATAACAAATAAACTGAACATGAGCTTTTTAAGTGTTCCAAATTTGGTTCCTTGATTGATTTTCAGAGCTTGAATCGTCACTGATCAGTTTCGCTGGATCAGATTCCACTTCAACTTGACAGGGAGGAGATAAACAAAAGAGAGGATGGCGAGAGGGTTGGGGCGATTATTCGAGGGATGCGATTAATCGAGGGACGGCTATCATTCGAGGAAATACTGTACCTGAAGATAATCCTTCAGATATTGTGACTGCCCCTGGGAATTAGATAAACCCCTGAGCGGGAGTGACTCATTCCTCACTTCCATTATGTTAATGGGAGTGGTAATTCCTTCAAAAATTAAGACTGCTATGAGATGATGATGCGCAGCTATGAAGCTACATACGCAACTCAAGTGCCAGAGTCGGATTGCCCGTGTACTTGAGGATTGCTTCTCGTGTTGGTCCATATCATTGCAGACTACGATCGTTTTAAAAACGATATCCTGACGTCATATTGAATTATGTAGTAATTTGTTTCAATTTAAACATACTTTGTAATCTCCGACTATTTCCTGTCTTCCTCTTGAAAGTTCTGTAAGTCTTCCGCGCTGTTCCTTCACCATCTAAATCAAAGAAAACATACAAACAGAAGTAACGGGAGTCAAACACACGAAAAATCGTAATTTTTGCAGCAGTGCGCAAACCTGGAAATAAGTGATCTTTTTTATAATATCTCGAGGGGGTTCACAAGGACTAGGTGCTATCAAAGTTAACTTATCATGACATCAAAGAACATCCTGCAGTACTTAGTAACTTATCTTCACTTTGTATAAATATAGTGTCCGCTAAAAGCGAAAAGAGGAACCCTCATCATATGATAAAACTTTAAATTTATTAACTTTTGTTCGCGTAGATCTTATAAGAGTTATTTCCTTCTATTTTCTTCTAGAATGCCTGCTCCTTGTTCTCTTTTATCAGAGCCCTCTTATATTCCATTTTTAACACCTCAGAAATTAAAAAAACGCTCAAAGACTGGGAGATAAAGGGGAGAAGGAAGCGCGCAAGGAGAGAGGAAGAGAAGAATAAAGAGAAAAAAACGAACAAATTTATTCCCTTCATCCTCTGCCGCAGGGGCCCCTTTAGAGAGCCGAGTGGAATGGCCGACAAGGGGAGGAACGGAACGCGCTCCGCTTTTAACTTTTTAGTCCGGGCGCATTTACTATTGTTCCACGCGCGTTCTTCCTTTGAATGGCCCTTATACATGATTACGTCATATGACCAAATTTCACCACCAGGCCGGATGTTACTAAAACGGGGAACAGGAGAATGAAAAACAAAGAATTGGAAATGAATTTACTGATAGGGCCAGGGTTCAAGTTAGGCTTTGTTCTCATTTTTCATTTTCCCGTTCCCCGTTTTAGTAACATCCCAATCAGGCCTCGTTTGTAAGCAAAATTCTTCGCAATTGCACTCTCTGTGCGTTGGTATTCTATTCAGCCTTAGGAATTCATTTATGCGAAACTTCGCAACTTTACAATGTGAAAACGAGGCTTGGGGATGAAACTTGCTCGTTTGACGTAAACATGCATGAGGGCTATTGTTTATTTGTCAGTTTTCATCATCCCTTAAGCTTTGGTTCACTAATAAGAGCCTCGACCGGCCAGGAAAAGTGATCTCTGGCTCCCCAAGACTTAACTAGTATTCAAGAAACCTTACCGCCGTCAGCTCAGTGACCATGTTTGTGGCTTTGCTTTCCTTTTGTTTAAGAGCATGTAGAGCTTCTTTTTGTTGAGCACTTTCATCACTTACTCGCTGAAAAGCGTCTTGCAACTGTTTAGTAAAAAAAAAAGAAACGTGTAGGCTTTAAACCATAGGCCATATCCGAGTTGCACCAAGCCTCTTTTTAAAGCGAGGTTAAGGCTATGTTCACAGTCATTCACACTACGCTGGATAGCTCTTGCGCCGGCACGAAAATCATACAGGATATGGCTTCTGTTCACACGTAAGAACGGTGATTTTGGTGCGAAGCTGCACCGCGCCCATCTCAAAAGTGGAGAGTCACATATCGGATAAGTGTTCACACTATAACAGATAGCATCCATGTCGGCACGAAAAGCCATCCGGTATGGTGTGAACATAACCTAAGTGCGCAGCTTATTATAAGAAAATGATTTTTTATTCTCATGCAAATAAAACTCGTTTTCACAAGAAAGTTCAGGGCTCGACGTTGCGACCCGTGGGGTCGCCAATGCGACTAGCTTTTACTCAGTGGCAACCAAATTTTCTCACCTGGTCGCCAACCTGGCCCCCAAGATATAGGTGACTTTCTTCTTTGGGTAAACGTACACTAATGATAATCCGTTATCCTTCACAAAATTAAATCCATTAATTCTTAAATATATTTTTTGGCGACCGCAATAGTTGTGCTGGTGACAAAAAATGAAAACTTGGGGGCCAGCAGGCCCAAATATTTTTTTCTGAAAGTCGAGCACTGGAAAGTTCTTGCACTTAGCCTCGTTTTGAAAGTGAGAATTTTTGGAATGCGGAAATGGCCTATACGTCACTTGCACATCTCCCATAATGCACCTTATTTGCTCCCTTCCCCCCAATTTTGCATAACCTTTGTTTTTCATTTCCCTTGGGTATTACAGGCGTCCGAAGAGAAATTGAAAACAATGCTTATGCAAAATTTCGGGGGGTAAACAAGGTGCATTATAGGTGATCTGTAAGTAAAGTATTCATATTTTGCAAGGTAGGAATAGAACTGAAATGAAGTATTAAAAAACGCACTTAGAAAGTTGATTGACGATCAGATGGCCCTTTCTTATGATAGCCTAAAACTACACTGCAGCCATTTAAGAACTTGGAGCAACATATGGATCATGTTGCCACAAACGAAAAACACACTGATTTGATTTCGTTTGTGCTAGCTAAATTTTGATTGGCCATGTCATTGACTTTTTTCCAATTCCCCATAATACACTCTGTCTGCCCCCCAAATTTTGCATAACTTATTGTCTTAAAATGCTCTTGGGAAAATGCAATACTCCCAGGAGCATTTAAAAACAATGGTTTATGCAAAATTTGGGGGGCAAACAGAGTGTATTATGGGGAATTGGAAATAGAGAATTGGCGTTAAGATTATGAATTGACGGAAAAAAACAATACTTCAGATTTTTCATGAACTGATAAAAATGCTTTTCAAAGTCGTGACCCACCTCTCTAAAGCGGTTGGCTTCGATCTGAAGACCCATCCTAAACTCATCTTCGAGTGCAGCATATTCCAGGTCACGTTTATTTAACCTACGAAAATGTAGATCATTTAAAATTTTAAACTTCTTGTACTTAAATTGACACTGACGTAAATAAGGTGATTGATTTTTTTTAGTATATAACAGACATGTCAATAGCCAGCCGCACGCGGAGGCAGCGTTTCCGAGCGGTTAGGGCGCTGGACTTGTATTCCGAAAGCCCCAGGTATTACTATCCCTGAAAAGCCCCATTAGGGGAGAGGATAATTAAGTATTTAAATTTAAACTTAAATTTAAATATGTCACATGTTCCTTCCCCATTACACAAACGTTCGTGGGGAAGGAACGCGTGACAGAGTCCTGCGTGGGAAGCTACACGAAGAACAAACAAGTGGGAAAAATCTCTCGTGGCCAGTCATTCAGAGGCAAGGTCAAACTGGGCACCAACGTTATGTAGTTGAAATGCTAGAGCATTTAATCTGACCTTAATAGATTACAAATATTTTGTCTTTTCAGAAACAGCAGAAACACTTCACAAAGACATGATCGCACCACGTTACCATCATAATTTACTTTGCAACTTCACAACCGGTTTAACTGGTTTCTTACTTGTCTTGATATTCTTTAATGAATTGCTGATGGACAGTCTCTTGCTTAGCGACCTCCCGATCCACAATGACCTGTACCTCCTGACTGTCAACTCGTACCAGGCCTTCTACGGCTTTTCTGAAAGGGACGAAGCAAGTGAGAAAGAAAAGGTAGTCTATACGCATTATTCAGAATATTTTCCATTGCGCAGTTAGAGACGTTTTCAATCACGTGTCGATAATAATTTTGCGCATGTTCTGTGCTCTGTGATTGGCTGAAAAATCACTTGCAACACTTCTAAGCCAATCAGAAGTTAAACTATATCCCTAAGTAGAAAAATCGCCTAAGTGTGGCTGCCCTTTCTCTTTAGCCCCTTTGGTTATCTGAGGCAGACTGTACCGTACTGTATTTTATACTGTTGGTAACGAATAAAGTTGTTGTTGTTGTTGCTGTTGTTGTCGGCTGTTAATCGCCTCTTTGGAACTTACTCACTGCGTTTAGGTTCTCGCGCTCGAGGCCGACTTCATTTTACGACTCAAAATCTAATTGGTTTATTTGACGGACTGATTCTATTACGATTGATCAGAGTAACTGTTTTGGTTTTGGGTCAAACAGCAGGTGATTGAGAACGCTTCTGACATGAATAAAAGGGAGGGGGGATGGGAGGGGGAGAGAGTGGTAACAATACAATGAAACCTCTCCTTTGGGTCACCTCTCTTCAAGAGACACGATCATTCAAGGGACACCAAATTGGACCCGAAAAATGTTTATATAATCCTACCTCTTAAGATACGCAAAAACTGGCAAGAAAAAACGTCCAACTTGTTTTGCAACATTGCTGCAAAACGAGTTGAACAGCGATGTTGCGCGTTTTACCACCCACATCAAACCTGTCTTGCAACAAATCAGCCCGTTTTTTCGTTATTTAGAGGTGTGAAGGGACACTTCTATTCTGGGGAAGGGACATTTTTTCTGAGTCCCGAAACCCAGGTTTAACCTCCATTCAGGGGACACCTAAGCATTCTGGGTCCTTGAGGACCACGTTATAACGGATGATGGCGTTGTTGAAGACAGCCGGTCACTGAAAGTGAGGACGACTCAAAAACTAATGTTTAAGAGCGCTAACTTTCGGCCTATTTTTGTAGATCTTTAGAATGAGATTATTAAAGTACATAACAAAAATGAGCATTTACCGGTGTTCCTGTTCTCTGTTTGCAAGCAGCTCTTGTAGCTGATGAACTTGGCCCTTCAGCTGTTTAACAGAGTGTTTTAACAACTCTGTTTCTTTTGTTAAGGCGCCAACTTTCATCTGTTCACGTTGTAATTGGGAAACCTGCAACAACACATTCGTAGAAATAGATCACGTGGATTAGTATGGTTTTGCAATTCTACGCTTCACGATTGGCTGATTCAAACCAGTCAGACTAAACTAAAACCAATAGCGAGTCGTGACTTGCTTGCACTTGACGAAAATCACGTGATTTGACTCACGTGATTGGTTCATAGTTGGTTTTATTTCACCGCTTGGCGACTGGCTGAAAAATCTCAAGGCCCCTGTGTTAACCAACGAGCAAGATCTTAAAGGTGATGTTACACGGGACGATTCGCAACGACGATTTTAGGACAACACAGCGCTGCAATGTTGGAACAATGTTGCAACCATTCGAAACATTGTCGCAACAATGTTGCAACGCTGTGTTGCGCTAAAAATTGTCGTTGCGACTCGTCTAGCGTAACATCACCTTAAATCTGTAAATTAGTAACCTAAGAAGGAGGCAAGAAATATCAGCGCATTCTTAAACATGTTTTCCTTGGCGCACCCTGAATTTCCATAACTGTTGCTAAAAATTAGCTACTATAACTTACTAAAAAAGGATTGGATAAATACTAACCGCCTCGGCGTGTTGTTTAATCTTTTCGGTCTCCATCTTCGTTGTAACCTGCTCTAATGCTCGCAAAGCTCTCTGTTGATCTTCTTCCCTCTCTTTGAGTCGTTTTACTTCTTCATTAAGCTCAATATTTTGTCCCTACAAAGCAATGAAATGCTTTTTTCTACGCTATCTCTGGTGTTTTTTTATTTACGGAATTCTCTTTAGCACAGGGAAAATGTTTCTGGTAAATTCAAGATGTGTACCCTCCCTTATTTAAAAAATAGAAACAGAAAAGGCTTTCAACAAATACATGCATGTAACAGATAACCGCACTAAAAACAATACACTGTGAATCAGAGAGATATGTTTTAGCCCTAAAAATGGGGCCCTTTAGAGTCTAATTTGGTTCCCTTAATCATGGCCAATACAGTCCAATAAACTAGGGCTGATTTGGACCCAAGGGCTGAAATGGATCCCAGTGTGGGCTGGAATAGCCTTTTGATGGGACTGTTTTGAATCAAATTGTGCTCAAATGACTCCAGAAGGGGCTGAATCAGACTTTGGCCTGCAGGGCTGAGACAGATCTTTTTAATTTTTAGTGCAAGCGAACCAGACATATTCCTCTTGCCTGTATTTCATTGAGAGCTTTCTGAAGAGAATCTTTGGCTTCCTTTTCTTTAAGCAGAGCACGTTTTAACCGACTGCTGGCTGCCAGTGAAGCTTCTCGCAGTTTCTTTTCCTCAGCCTCTGTTTGCAAAATCAATAAATTCGTGAGTTATCAGGTGTGCTTGCCAATTAAACAAACCAACCGGGTAAAAATCTGTGTACAGTGGAACCTCGATATAACGAAGGGTCAATGGACTGGCAAAATATGTTCGCTATAACGGGGTTTCGTTATATCGAGGTACTTTTTCACATATTTTACTATTACTAGGGTGAAGGAAAGCGTGTTTTTTTTATACCGACGACTTTGTTGCACAGAGGTTCGACATATCGAGGTTCCACTGTACAAACGTAAAACTATACAATCTGGCTTGGTGGAAGAACGACCCTCTACAAAGTATATCAAAATCAACTGAACAGATTGAAAAGAGCAGAAAAATTGCAAGGTCTCAAATCACAGCCCATATTTTCTGGAACTTATCCAAATGGAATGGCCCGAGTAGTGAACACACTGTAGCATTTCTCAAAATTGCATCTCAAATGCACCAGATTGCGTCTCGGCGCATATTCATTTCAAAACCTTTCCGGGGGGCATGCCTCCGGACCCTCCTAACAAGCTCGTGGCCTTCGGCCACTCCCCCAAACGGTAAATCCTAGATAGAACCCTGTAATTGTAATTGTAATATGTAATTTGTTTACCCAATGAGCATTTAGGAATTCATAAGAACTCGTTGAAACGTGTCCGTGCGTTCCAGATCGAACTAGAATTTGAAAGTGTTGGTTTTTAAGGAGAGGGGAAAACCGAAGTACCCGGAGAAAAACCTCTTGGAGCAAGGAAGAGAACCAAACTCAACCCAGGCCACATTGTTGGGAGGCGAGTGCTCTCACCACTGTGCGACCCGTGTTGCCCAAACAAACCTTTTAACTGTAACTCTTTCACTGCATCTACCATTTTCCTTGCAGCTTGTTCAGCTTTCCACCGCCTTTCACGCTCGGAATCTAATTCTTGGATCAGCGACTAAAAATAAAGAAGACAGGGAAGAAAATCTATAATCAATGCATTTCATAGAATCATTGCAGGTTGCGAAAACTTGTTGCAGAAAGTAGAGAGTTGTTCTCCATCTCGAAGGAAATCTGCACAAGTTGCACGATTTACCGGCCCAGGGCAAACCTGTTTTACAGCAAGTGGGTCACTCCTGAGTATATTTATGACTCGCGCGTAATTTTAGCCAATCAGAAGTCGTTACTCACGCAACTTGCAACAACCTGATTTGTTGCAAGACTGGTTTGATTAAGTGTCGGCATATTGACGAGATTGGAGACTGAACAGTACTCTGAGGAGAAAAAATAGGGTGTGTCATAAGGGAGACTGAAAGACGTTCGACAGAAAACGGATTCAAGAAACTCAGTCCACAAATATTCCAAAAGCACATTCAACTTATGAATCAGTTTCTCAGTTTGTGTGCGGAGATCAGTAAAATTTGGGCTAGATAGGTTAGGGTCTCGATCCTAAATTAGGGTATCATAGCATGTGTTCCATTTGTGATCCTTAGCTAGAGTACCTAAATTCACGGTGTAAGCTTAAATTCAAGTGTGTAAATGTCCAGCTACTCGAGAAACAAATCATCTGTTAAAACTGAACTTTAACTTAGAGTATTAGGAAAGTGATTTAATGAAGGTTTAAATTAGTTTTTGTTTTTCCCTAGGGTGCCAGTTTCGGGTTTGTAGGGTATAAATTTTCGTTTGTCTCATCTTTAAATAGAGAATAGGAGTGTAACGTTACGTTACCATGGTAACAAAAATTTCTGGACCTCAACAATCTTTCTTGATCGTGACGGTCATTTGCATTGTCGAACGACGAAAGAAAAGTATGGGACCACGGTTTGTTGAGATCGAGACATATGGCTACCATGGCAACGTGACGTGACGACTTCTCTTATCTATAGGGTCGGGGTCCGTTGAGGGTTCCCCCCCTCCTCCCCCGAAACACTGACCAGAAATGTCTCATCATCTTTAGGGTCTCTGACTGTCACAGCTTTTCCTTTGATTGCAAGTTTCCGGGTTTGTTCATCTGTCGGTGATGTAGAGCTTGTTGATTCAAAAGCGACTGATGGCTTGCTGCGTGTTTTGGCTTGTCCTTTCCTGGACATCGGAGCCCGCTGCTTTCGCTTAGTTTGGGGTGATCGTTGAACTCTTTTCACACCTTTATCAGGGTGTTCATTTGATTCAGAATCATCTGAGTTGCTGTTTTCTAATAAAAAAAAGTTAACAAAGAATCGTATTCATACTGGGAAAACTGTTGGATTAAAAGCCAACCAGCTACTGTAGGATTTGAAAATCGGGATTTTCGTAAAGGATTCCATATTTTTTCTATTTCCTTTCCTGCGACGCAGGCTACCTTTTCATCTTCAGGTTCAAGTTGATCATAGGTGAGTGCCACACGCAGTTTCCAAGGGTTTGCGAGCGACGTATTTCTAGAAAAGGGAAACCGCAAGCCGAACGCCGAATGAATTTGAAGTTTAGTGATTAGGGTTAGGAAACTGAGTGAATCAAGTTTCAGCTCGGTTTGCCTGGTATAATAATCTAAATGCAACCTGATTCACTCAGTTTCCTAACCCTAATCACAAAACTTCAGAGTCATTCGTGAAACGCCAACCAAAAGTCCATTTATTTTACTAACGAAACCAGACCTATCGGTTACCGGTTGATTGGAAACAAGCGGTCGTTTCGGTACAAGTTTACAAGTAAATAGCTTCACGTCCTTGGCTTAAGGAACGAAGAATATTCAAGCAAAATGTGTTTCTTGTTCACGCGAAAACTATTTCACTGCTTGAATTCGTATCGAAACGACCATTTTGCGACCTACCCTTCCTAGGTGTCTTTTTGAGATTATGACTTGAAACTTGTGTCCTTTCCTAAAATGGAACAGATGTTTGGTCATTTGTTGCAATAAATCTATCTGTATCCCCCTTCGTGAACTGTCAATGTCGAAATAACATTATTTTGTTTTCATCAAAAGCCAAGGATTCCTGTTATCATCGAAGACCCAGGGGCAGCTGTTCGTCTTGATCAGCTTCACCTAGGTCCGTTCCTCTTTCCATCTTTTGCTCATAAAAATCCCATAAATCCATACACGAGCTATCCTTGGGTATGCAAAGATGAGATTCAAGTAACTGCAATGCCACGTAGCCTCTCCGGTGCCAAAAATGAACTACCGCAAATAGAGAATTAGGAAGCTAACATTGGAGGGATAGCTCTTGGTCAGAAATGATCTAAATACACTCTTACGAAGATCTAGTACTTGAAACAAAACCCCTGAAATCTCTGATGTCCTTAATAATTGTGATATTCTGAGGCTATTTTAAAAAGAGACCAAACCTCTACCCTCCCTAAAGCTAAAAATAGAAACTGCTTTCAGAATAGACCTTTCCATAGTTTTGTTCAACTTTTGACATGGACAAGTACCACTGAAAAGAGCACCTTAAGATGAGTAAAATTGCCAAGTTTGAAAGTGATTTGTTGAAAAATAACGAGGGTATAGCTCCTTAAAGTCGCGAAAGTTTACAGATGTTTGTATGGCTGAGGGCACAAACTTACTCCCCACCATCTGTAAATTTTCTCAACTTTATGGAACTATATCCTCACTCGCTTAAGACGTATCACTTTCAAATTTGGCAATTTTACTAACATTAAGGCACTCTTTCCAGTGGTGTTGATGGATTTTCCCTAACTTGTCTAGGTCTATTATTAAAGGTTGCTACCACAGTGGAAATTGAATTCAGCCTTGGAAACATAAGCCACACCCAACTTACTGTGTTGTGAATCAGTCGCATCAGCTGATGTTCAAGGGTCTCTAAACGAACTTCATGATCAGCTGACAGGCTTACTCTACCAGAGGGCTGCATCTACAGAGGTAAAATTATAGTACAGACAAATCACTGACAATCAAATAACCAGAGATTACCAACATCCCCTTAATTAAATACAATTTAAAGGGAACTTCCAGCTAGGCCCGATTACCAGCCGCTGTTTGGGACATGAGCCCCTGCTGCGCTCCTTCCTCCAAACAGATAGGGAGGACCGAGAGAGTGCCAGAAATCAAACCTAACTTCAAGCTCAATCATACCAAACTGAGGAGACATATTACCCAATTGTCCATATTCTGTGTGTTCATATTATTCAGGGACAGAATGTATGAAAGTGTGAAATCTTTGTCACCAAGACCTTTAGATCCATAGAATATTGTTTCTCAAATTTAATGCTGTGCCACAAAGACTGAGGTTCTTTCTGCTGGAGCAACAAAGCTAGGAGTTTGTTTTAGTTTATACTATCAATACCATTGTTGACTCTTCCATTCTTCTTTCCTCCCCTGTGTCTGTTTCTGATGAGATAGGCCCACGCTGTCGGAATTTTTCTAGCACCGAGTCAATTCTTGGGGTAATAACTTCATATTTGGAGTCTTTCTACAAGAACAAGAACGCAAATTTCTACATGGTGTGCACTACTTAAGTGACCATTCACCAGTGCAGATAGCAGGTTTGCTGTCCTACAAACACAGCTGGTGTTCAGATGCCAGAATGGAAAGTAAGTATGGGAGATTGTTGCAATAATTATTGCGAGCAAATGCTATGCACACCCACTATGTTATGGAGTAACTAACCAGAATATAAACTGACAGGAGTTAATTTCATTTGCAAGGTCTCTCCCCTCCCACCCCAGAAGAAGCAATATTGTTCTGGGGTGGGGAGAGGAAAAAGCCTGGGAGCACCAGTGATTTTTGCAGAAAATTTCACAATACTCCTTCAAGCGTTACCATTAGACTAGCTACAAAGAGTAAAAAGCTTAAACTAAACATTACAATAACAAAAATTAACAAACTAAATATTACTGTAAATTTTCAGTAACATTCACTTACTAAAGGGCTCTCACTAGAACTTTCTGATCGTAGGTATTCTAGATAGTCATCCATTTCTTAAAAAAAAGCAAAAATGTCACTAATATTTCCATTTCCAATATTTGCTTCAAGAAAAGTTGCCTCTGAATTTGCACCTGCATTGACTCAAACATATTAGTGATGCAAATAACAGATAAAAATTAACATAGAAAAGATTCATGTTGCAGTGTCCTCCATCTACATTGATTGATGTTAAGACTTTTCTTTATTATCTATTCCAATAACTGTTTGATCATTTTAAGCAAGTGACTATCATGCCCTTGGCGGTGGGGCGACCTCCTATATAAAAGTGACAGGGATGCTCAGCAGAAAATTAAAATTAAACCCTAGGGAACACCAATGTGGGTGTGGCTCAAGCTCAAACTGACCCTAAAGGAGACCATGCTCAAACAGACATCTGAATAAGAGTTAGGGATCTAAATAAGTGTCAGGGATTTTGTGGAAATTCTGTTTTAAAAGTTAGATTTCTGTGAGGTCAGTGTCGGTGCATTTTTTGTAAATTTCTTTATGCACAGCCCTAAGTGATCCCTAAATGGGCAGACATAGTGACTTTCTGTCTCAAAGACCCTAATGCCTAAGAGAGACCAAAATCTGCAATTTACACCCCATAAGTCATACAATGAGCATCCCCATCACGTTTATATGGGAGTTCCCCCCCCCCCCGGGAGATCATTGGCTGCAAAATAAGAGTTATTATATGAAAGGAGATCATTGCAATTATAGATGCAACTTTTGCAGTTGCGAAAAAAAAAAAGCCTGAAAAAAATTCCCGTACAAGCCTGAATTTTTTTAACTGAGACGATCTTCTTTCATATAATAATGTTCTTTACCCTGCAGTTCTCATATATGATTTTCATGTATTCATAACTTCAAAATAAGAGTTATGTTAGCAATCATGATGTAGACAAAAAATACTTGAAGGGATATCTGCCTGGAATAAAGATCCAGGTAACTTATTCTTATAAACTTTAAGACTCCCATTCCAACTATTGCCTTCTGTATTTACCTATGTACCGATAAGAGAATCCAGCAATGGTTCAAAAATCAGTTAAGCCAGACCTTATTCTTATTTATTTGTGCTCTGTCTCACAGGAATGACAGCAATACTGAAAGATTATCATTCAAGGTCGAGGTTGTCAGAAATTGTACCTGGAATACTCCACAGATTGTCTCTCACTGCTGCTTGATTCCCACTCTGATCAAGTCCATCTAATACTTCAAGTGCTTTCAAAGCTCTGAGTATGCTTGATCTGTAACCTGGTATCTCACAGACAGGGTTAGCTTCTCCATACTGCGACAATGTCAGTTGTTTAAGCATTTTACAACCAGTTAGTGAGTTGATTACATGATCCAGAGAGCTGAGCTGGTTTCCTTGGAGATAAAGGGTTTGCAAACTAAACCCAGGCCCATGAAACTTTGTCAAACCTGAGAGATTATTAATTGCATTGTAGGACAGATCCACCTTGGTTAGATTCCTGAAAATACAACAAAGTAAAAAACAGTCAAGTCTTTTCGCATCAATTTGAAAAACATACCTAAAACTTTGGTTTCCTTGCGCTTTTCAAAAACATGCTAACTCTGAAGTTCACAAGCCAACTGATGTTTGTGTTTTTCGCTGCCATCAATCATCTTCACAGACCTCTTAGGAAACAGGACTTTACTTAAATGGGTTCAAAGGTCATGGTTTGTGATCTGTAAGGTCGATTTCGATACATTTTGAGTGTTTCTGTGTTTCAAGGTTTGTTGCTTGTGATCATAATCACGATTGTCGGCAGCGAAAAACACAATTGTGAAGGCGGCTTTTGAACTTTAGAGTTCGCATCTTTGTGAAAAGCGCAGTAAGCCATGCTGTTATAGTTATATAGGTATGTTTAAGTTTGAGCCATGACCTTTAAGTCTGAGATTGCAGGATATCCCCATGGGAGGTCAATTGAGATACAGATGCACTGCATTTATTTCCCTGTCTCTTGGATTCTTCTTGTGCTGGATTTGTTTCAACTGATGCAACCTGATGTGCATGGATGTTACCTTGGCTTTACAGCGTACAACTCAAGACTGCCGTAAACAAAATCAAATAGCAGTCAGGGTGGGACTTGAGCTTGGGAGTCCAACTCTCCAACCACTAGGCCACGCTGCCTCCTACAAAAACCCTTCCCCGAAACTTAACCAAAAACCTTCCCCAAAACCTAGCATACATGTACAGTGAAACCCGTTTAATATGGACACCAACGGGATGTGCCATAGCATCTACATTAACCAGGTATCCGTTTTAAGTAGGTTCATTTTAGAGAAAAATATATGAGCTTTTTTCCGTCAGGACAAAAGAAACTGTTCATTACATATGGGTGTCCAAGATTAGAGTTCCACTGCACCAACTTAGACAGACTGATCAGTACCTTAAATTTTCGAGACCTTCTACAATCAGCAACTCATTGCAGGATAAGTTGAGCGTTACCAAGCTCTTCAAACCATTAAGTCCTTGTATTCTTTTAATGTGATTGGATGACAGATCCAAATGTTTAAGGTTCTTAAGTCCATCGAGGTTTTCTATTTCTGAGATGTTATTACAATGCAGATTTATGGAAGTCAATCCAGGATGAAGATGAACATCAAACAGGCTATTAATCTGTGCGTCAATATAGCAGATCTCTTTTGGAAACGTGCGGGAAGCGACATCATAGCTGCCTCCCTCGTTGACATCTTCAGTCGCCATGGCCCATTTAATAATGTTACAATTTGATTCGAGTTTGTGAACTCGGGAGAGACTTCTCCTCGATTTCGTCCATTTCAGCAGCAGATGCTCGCTTCTTCCACTCTCTTTTTGTTTATCATTATCTTCATATCACACACACTCTGCTTGGTATCGACTCCACCAAAGTGGAGATGAAGACCTGTCGAAACTCCCACTGTCCAACTCATTTATATTTTCAAAATGGCGCCTAATAGAAGTGTCCGCTGGTCAGAGTTCTCATACTTGCTGCGTCATCAATGACGTAATTTTCCCAAATTTGCGTAATTTTTGGAAGCTGACGGTATTGTGCCCACGGTGATACCCCAGCGGATTTCCAAATCAACAGTACTTTGGCAGCCATATTTAGTTCCTACCTTTATCGGAGAGACGTTCTCTCCATTTCTTGAAGTTTTTTTGAACTGGTTTGCTCTGATTGCGGCTATGTCCGGAGACACGCTTAAGGTAATATTTTCCTTTCCGCTGGGAAAGTATTCTTATTCGGAAAGAACTCCTCTTAACGTTCCCGTATGATAAGAAAAAAGCTTACTCAACTTGATAAGTTTCCTGCGAAATGGTTTCCAACTTTAATCTTGTGTTTGTGTTTTATAGAAAGCGATTGAAATTGTCACAAAAGCTACAGAGGAAGATAAAGCTGGAAATTACGAGGAAGCGTTACGTCTTTATGAGCATGGAGTGGAATACTTTCTGCATGCGATAAAATGTAAGAGTTTTTTTTACCTGGCATAATTTTTAAAGTTGGAAGCTAAGTATTTGTGTAGGTTCACATCATGCCCTTGTGCTGTGTTTTGTCTGTTTTGTACTTGATTGCTGTTTTTGATAGTGTTTATTTGTTTGTTTTTGTGCTGAATGATACGAAACAGTCTTGATCAACTTTATTAAGCGCAGTATTTTATATCAGTCGTTTTCGTCTTAATTATACTGCTGGGGTAAAAACATTGATTTATTCCAATGGCAAATAAATTGCCCTTTTTTATCCCAATGTTGCACAACCAAGTGCCATTTCTTATTATTTGACAATTTTGACTTATTTATTTGCACCAACTTCATTTATATGGTACCTTAACAGCAGGTACAACGATTGGTCACCGCCCAGTCGAAAGTGTCAGCTAAGCAAAATCTGTGAAGCCTTCCAAGGAGTAAAAGCAACATGTTTCATGGCCTTGAAAACTGGCGACAATCTTCTCAGAAAGCAATCAGCACATAAAAGGAAAGAATTGTGACAGCGACAATCCATTTTTAAGTAGTGAAAGTGACATCTTTTCACTTTTTCAGTTTGGCTGTTCTGGCAGTGAAGTAACAAACTCTCTCCTGTTATTTCAAAACTTTTTTTGTTGTTTTCTTTGGAACTTTCTCTAATATTTATTATTATGTTATTGTTCAAGAATGTATCTGCCATAATTTCCAAAAATAATTGAGTATCACAAAATTTTATGCTGAACCAACAGCGACATTTTGTTCCTAGCTAAAATGTGACAGCAACATTTTTTCCTAAGACTGCAACAGGCAGTCTCAGAATTGACTGACAAAGCGACTGTACCTGGCAGTTGAGATGTTAGTGACAGCCTTGATAATCATGTCTCACAGCTTATTACTAATAGGTTCAAAGCAACATATCAACAAAGAACAAATGCAACACCAAACATGGCCATTTTCTAATGTCATTGTTGGTTTGTGTTATTAAAGTTCATTGTCCTTGAATACTTGGTAAAAGGCATGTTAATATTTTATTGGTTTTATACTTAGCATAGATGTTGTGGGTCAGTTTTATCCTTGGTTTAAATTTTATTTTCCTTCGTTCTAAACTCATTATCTTAGATTACCATACCCAAAAACAAAGAAAAATAAAATTTAAAGCAAGGATAAAGTTGACCTGCAACATTGATATTAGGCCCTTCCACAGTGTTTGTAAACTTTTGACATGGACCAGTTAAGGAAAATCTATTGACATCACTGGAAAGAGAGCCTTAAAACTGGTCAAATTGTGACATTTGAAGGTGATACATCATAAGCGAGCGAAGATATAACTCTGCAAAGTTGCGAAAATTTACAGACTTTTGTATTTGCCCCCCAAACATACAAATGTCTGTAAAAATTTGCGACTTTGAGGAGCTATATCTTGGTTAGCTCTCAACAAATCACAGGGCTGTCAATAAGGGCCGGTAGCCAGCCAAAACTGCTAGCTAGTTAGCCATCCTAAGCCGGCTACTTTCATCTCCTTCTACCATAACTGCTAACAAAAACTAAGCACCATTGGATAAAATTGTAAAGCGTCTGTTTCCCAGTTTTGAATGACATCAAACACATATTTCAACAGGTTTAGATCTATGAAATGTTCAAACCTTGCGATGTCTTGGAAAGCCTGGGACATTTCAACAGCATTGTTGCCAGTCTTGTGTGTATTCTGATGAAACAACGTGCATTACGCGGTGAAAAATGCCCCTTGAAAACCCCTGCAAATGCCATTTCTGATACTCGAATTTTCAAAATGTTCCCAGATGCCTCAGCCCTCAAGAACTTGTGCCTTTGGTGCGAGTTCCAAAGCCGCCTACTATTCATTATCAGCCTGCTACTAAAAAACTTTTTGACAGCCCTGAATCGCTTTCAAACTTGGCAATTTTACTTACATTTAAGGCGCTCCTTCCAGTGGTGTATACAGACTTTCCCAAACATGTCAAAAGTTGAAAAAAAACCTGGATAGGTCTATTAGAAAATGTGAATGCGAAAGGATGCTTCATCTGTGAATTTCTGGCAGTAAATAATTAGAAAGTAGACCTGTAATGTGGCATACCATCACAAAATATTTTGTAACTTGTTGTGATATTTTCGGTTCAATTCTATAGATGAAGCCCAGGGAGATAAATCTAAAGAAAGTATCAGACAGAAATGCATCCAGTACCTTGAACGAGCTGAGAAGCTTAAACACTATGTGAAAAGCAAAGACAAAAAGAAGCCTGTTGCATCTTCTGGTGGTGGAAAGGAGAGCAACAACAAAGGAGGGTTTGTGTTCAGTTTGTTGTATTTCTGTATTTCTCTTATCGTTTTGAGAGGATAAACAAACTTGACCTTTTTTCACTAGCTTGTTTGCCCCCTAAAATACCACGCGACGTTGCTTGTATCCCATCAATCCTAGAGCGCCTGCAAAGATGGCGGTTATCACGAATAAGGTCTATTCAATTTTTGTTACCTTTCGAGCCTTGCATCAAGAGCACATAAGCTTGTGGAAGCCTAGGGTGTCTTGTAAAAGGGAAAATGGTAACAGAGCAAAAGCTGGCCTTGCCATATTCCAAGAAGAAACAAGCAGACTTGAATTGTCTAGAGCTTAACGCAGCCTATACAGCATTTTACTAACTTAAAAGTTCTGCTTTTTCATGAAAAGGAACAAAGAGGATAGTAGTGATGATGAAGATAATGCTGAAACAAAGAAGCTTAGGGGACAGTTAAACAGTAAGTAATGAAACCCTGCTTTGCCTAAAAAATGGAAAACTCCTGACCAGTGTGGGTCAGTTATTGAATGAAGTCTAACTTACAGTGTAAGCTGTGGTTTCAAAAATCATTGGACCTCCATATGTCTTCCTCAGTTGGTAAATTTAATAAATTGAGTGCTTTTCTAGTATTATGGTTTTTTGGTTTAAACAATGGCAAAACTCCATTTTTTTAAATCAAGATTATTGTTTTAAGTTAAAATGCACTTTTTATTTGAGGGTCACTGTATTTAGCCCAAAAGTACCAATTGAGGGCACTACTGCTATGTCCCCTACTGGAAGGGACCGCCATTTTACATGTATGTGGTCATCTGAGCCATGCAAAGATCTAGCCATTTGCAGAGCAAAGGAGGTACCTTCATTTCTTAGTTAAGACCCTGAGTATTAGTCCACTTCTGGAGATTAAACCCATAACGTCCCACTCCGCAGTCAAGTTCTGTACTGACTGAGCTAATCCTGCTCACAAATATCTGCATTTTCGATTGCAAGCCAGTGATTGTATATGTATTTAAATCTCAGGTGCAATTGTTGTGGAGAAACCAAATGTACAATGGTCAGATGTTGCTGGATTAGAGTCAGCCAAAGAAGCCTTAAAAGAAGCTGTTATTCTGCCAATCAAGTTCCCTCACTTGTTTACAGGTAATGGGTAGTCATTGTGGCTGAATATTGAATCTCAATCCTAAACAGTCATGCTCCTACCCTTTCATTTTTTTGACGTGCAGTGAAGATGATGTGAACCGTGAAAATACAAATCTAAATGAGGATATGCCATCCCAGTGGTAATACCAATCAGCATATTGCAAATATTTTGTGGTTTAATAGGATTTTGAAGCCATGGCTAACTAACTAACAAAAGTTTTTTACATGTAAAGATGGAGTGAGCTGTAAGGTTTAAGCTACAAAACGTTGTTTCTAATACTACTGGCCCCAGTTGTTCAAACGTTCCGCTGGATCAATCACTATCCTGCAGCAGATAAGCATTGGGAAACCAATTACACTATCTGCTGAATGTTGAGTTATCCTTTGGATAGGGCTATCCAACGTTTGAACAACCGGTGCCTATGCATTATTTGCTCTGTTTTCAGGAAAACGCAAACCTTGGAGTGGAATTCTGCTTTATGGGGTAGATCTTTCTTTTGTTATTGTTCATTGATACATTGTATATTTCAAAATGTGCAGCAATAAATTAGAGGCTTGAAAATTTTAAGTGATAACGGATATGCTTCAGGTTAGTATATTATAATTGGTTCAGGTTAATTCTCAATTTGTCTGGTAGCCATTATTCATGGATAATTATGGCTAGGAGACAAAGGAAATTGACAATCAACTTAGGTTAAAAAAATTTAACTTGATTTTAATGTTGACCTGAAACAGATACAGGTTGTACTCCGATGCTGAGTGTGGCTTTTGACTGTTTGCTGAAAATGTTTCTATTCCAATCTGGTGAACTTAAAAATAATACTGGTTACTAGACCATGCGCTTACATAAACTGCAAACAGTTGTTTTTTCTCAAAAATTGGTTTTCAAGCTGTGAAGCATCAGACATGCGAAGTGCTTAAGGTTCACAAACCTGTCTTGCACTCCGTTTTCACCCTTGCTCCTGACCTTTCATTTGACTGCTTATGCATTCTTGGCCTACTCAAAAGTATGGACTGTTTTGCAGTCTGGTGCTTGCAAGGAGTATTTTACTGGAGCCAGAGGTATTACATGAGGCATTTGGATTTTGGGTGTCTTTTTGCTTCAAGCTTCTCGTGTACTCTGTTCTGTTAATCAAAGCTAAGGAAATCATGGTTAATAAGTTATGCAAAAACCTTTTTGTTTGTAGCCTCCTGGAACAGGTAAATCATACCTAGCAAAGGCAGTTGCCACAGAAGCAAATAACTCAACTTTTATATCAGTTTCCTCATCTGACCTTGTGTCCAAGTGGCTTGGAGAAAGTGAAAGGTACAGTAAGTCAGCCAACTCTACAATCCCTCTCATTATTTTGGTGATACAGTAGGACCCTGTTAACTCGAACTCTAAAGGGAAATGAAAAACAGTTGACAGAGCTGTCATCAAGGGCCTTAACCTTTAATGCCTGTTATGGCTGAGCACACTTGATGTTACGGGTGATCAAAGTGGGAAGCGTAAGGTGGCACTATAAATTTTTGTGAGATGTTATTGGTGAAACTTTAGTTTCTATGGCTGCTTAAAAGCTTAATGACAGCCATGGTTTATTTTAGCAGGTGTTCAAGTTTTTAATAGTGTAGGGAAAGATCACACCCCTCTTCCCAGAATATCAAGAATTTATAGCAATAAAGGTAATCACTTACTGTGTGACTACTGTAAGAGGAGTCACTTGGACAAAGTTGACTAATCGGATTGCAGGACAGTAACAATTTTATACATTCCAAGAAAGTTACGTGGGCCAATCAGTTGCTCATAAAAGAAACAATAAGTTACTTGAAGCACAAAATTGAAATATTGATAGCAAACGTTTTTCAAGAAAGCAAAATGTTTCACCAGATAGTAGTTTTTATTCGAAACTTTTCATATAACACCCACGAGACGTATTTGTTTGACACAAGCAGTTATTTTGTCATCAACCAGCAATTTCTTTGCTACTATTGCTCCACTTTGTAATGATATCACAAGCTCAAGTCAAAAAATGAACTAATGTTTACGCTTTTTTTACGCGGGTCATTTGCTCTTATGGACCCCGCAGGAAACACAGGTTTTTTTCAGTGGGTTCAAAGGGTCATGTCTGTGGCTTGTAATTGGTTGATTTCTATCCATGTTGTTTGTTTTGATTATGATTGACAGCTAACTTTCTTTCTTAACTTTTCTTGTAATCTGATTGGTTAACTTTGTCTAGGTGGCCCAGTTTTAGAAGTCGCACTATAAAGGTCTTCTTGTTCTCCACTGTGTAGTCTTTAGTGATGCTGTGTGTCTTTTATTACAGGTTGGTAAAGCAACTCTTTGAAATGGCTCGTGAAAACAAACCTGCCATTATTTTTATTGATGAAGTGGACTCCCTCTGTGGTTCAAGAAGTGAAAACGAAAGTGAATCAGCCAGGAGAATAAAAACTGAGTTTCTTGTTCAAATGCAGGGTCAGTTTGCATCATTGAGCAAACCATTTTCTTGCCTCTATAATAATAACTATCAGGGATGTAGCTGATAATAGAGAGATTAACTGTCACATTTACAGCAAACGACAATGTTTATTTGTACCACATGACCAAGTTTTCCGTTAACTTGGGCTTTACTGTCCATTACTTCTACCCCAAAATCAGTAGCTTCAGGTTAGTTTTGTCTATAACAATTATTTTGGACTGTTTTCAGCTGCATGTTTTTGTTTTGAGAAACAATCAACTTGACTCTTGATGTTTCCCATTTGCTGTAAATGTCACTCCAAATCTCTCTGATTTTAGTGGCTAAAAGAGAGCTTACCACCAGTTCAAAATGCTCTGGAAGGGTAAGACATAGGGCAAGTTTGACAGGGAGTTCATTAAGCATCAGAGATCGGAGAATTCTCTGTTGACTTCAGAATTCTCCGGCAGGTTAAGTTTGCCGGGCAAATACAACAAGTAGGCGGGAAATCAAACAGTGACCCATCTGAAGTTTTTGCTATTCTTGAATTTGGGCTAGTTGTGTGTCCTGTTCATACTTTCAAACTGATCTCACTTGAACTTTGCAAGACTCTCGCCCCTTTCAGATTTTTTAATTGGAAACTAACTCCCAGCAGTCTGCATTATCATGGCCTGAGGGCCAGCACCTACCATTAGCCATAACTGGGTGGCAAGACCAGCCTATTCATAAACCTTACTTGATCAGTCTATTTCTAAATACCATGCACTGCAGGGATGGGTTTTCAGTAAAAACTCTTGAAAAAAGCCTGTCTCATTTCTGGCCAGCCAGTTCTGACTTTTAGTAAGCACCCAAAGTAATTTGTGTTATCACATGCTTTATCTGTATGCATTGTAATCTAATTACAGGAAAAAAAATACATGTCTTATTCATGGCTAACGTCTTATGAATCATAACATTGTTAAAAGCTTTGTTACTTAAAGGTGGTTTGTCTTTTTTTCTAAATCTACTTAAGATAGCAAGTTTTACTGTATGGATGAGCGTGTCAAATTTGTATATGTTTATCCTTATCTTTCTTTATTGCAGGTGTTGGTGTGGATAATAAAGATGTACTTGTTTTAGGAGCTACCAACATTCCATGGACTCTTGATTCAGCTATAAGAAGAAGGTATAAATTATTTGTTTCTTGGGTATGCTGTGGAATACTCATGTGTAGAATTTTAGTCATTTGGCCAAAAACCTGCAATCTGGGACTCTAATACTCCTATGGCAGGCTCAATATTCCTTTGTTTAAAAATCTTTGCAAGTACAAGTTATGTTAGTCGCTTACCTTATCGTATGCCATCTGAACTGTTATTTTTTGTCTCAAAATCGGTTTTGAAAGCCGTTGGTTTTTTCTCACAGAGCTTGTGGGATTCACCCACCCGAAGTGAGTGTGTAGCCAGAGGAAAAAAGTGTCTCTCCCCAGTCTCAGTCTCCATTTTCACCATCACTCCAGAGCTTTAGCTGACGTCTCGCAGGGCTGTCATTAAGAGCCGGGGGCCTGGAATTTCCCCTGGCTACTATGAGTGTAGCCCCCACAGGGTGCGAAGAAAATCATTTTTACAGCTTGCCATTCGGGCAAGCTGAAGCTAGCATTTACTAGCCCAGACGTCACTTAAACTAGCCTCAAAAGCTTTTTGATGAGCAGAATTGATTTCACAGTTCTTGTTCTTCGAATTCCTCAAAACACATCACTAGCCCATTGGGCAAGTTAAGAACAGAATTCACTAGCCCGATAGCAAAATCCACTAGCCCCGGGTTATCGGACACTACTTTCTTTGCACGCTGGGCCCCAGCTACTTTTATAGAAAAATAGAAGAAAAATGCAACCAAAAGAAATCTCTTGCTGTTTGATTCCCTGCCTACTTGATGTATTTGCCCGATAACTTGAAATCTTAGGGACAACCCTGTTTCACCTGCACATTCTTAACCTAGGCAAAAATCTCGGCTGTTTTGCAGTCTAGGCACACAACAGAGTGTATACCTCCCTCCCGTCCCAAAAGAGGTCTTAAATGACAGTCCATTGTCATAAAAAATGCTAACTTTTTTACAACCTTTTTTCAGATTTGAAAAGAGAATTTACATTCCTTTACCAGAAGCATCAGCAAGAGTGAAGATGTTTGAGTTACATATGGGGAATCTTAAACACAACATCCACACCACACAGTTCAGAGAACTTGCAGAAAAAACTGATGGGTAGGGCTTTTTAACATGCATCTAAAGCCACAGAGGATAACTGTCCACCTACCCCTCCCCTAAGCCAAAATTTTGCCCTAAAAGAGAAGTAAGTGTTAATGTTGGCTTAGGGGAGGAGTAGGTGGGCAGTTTCCTAGAAACGGTTAATAATCCCCGTAAATGAAGAAACAAAAAGGTCAAACTTGTTTTGTAACATTGTTGCTATCCAACCCACCAATTATACCTGTCTTCAGTTGCTACAGACCAGGTTGATGCAGGTTCCTTAAACCTTTTGCGGAAGGTACACAGTAGTTCTACTTCTTGCAACAGTAGTAGGGCACAGGTGAGGTAAATAAGCAAATGAAGTAAGAAAAATGAACAGATTACCAACCAGATCATTATAATAATGTTTAGTTATTTTGTGTCTTTTCAACTTGAGAATGAACAAGATGGAGTGTGCAAACCATTGGTAATCAAGCAAGGAAGTGAATAAATTGAATAATTTTGTTCTTTTTTGCTAATTCCCTAGTATTTTGGAGTGACTGTCATAGGGGTCGTCTATTGGACAGGAGGCGTTTATTAGAAGCAGGGGCGGATCCAGGGGGAGGGTGCAGGGGGTGCGCACCCCCCCCTGGGATGACCTGCGGCCGCTTTCTAGTTAACACTGTGCAGTCGCTTGACAGACATTCAAAATCTGCTATATCGTTTGATATGTATTCTCAGCAGTTTACATTATGTTATTTCCCAGTCAAAAGCCCTCTTCTTCGTATTCGCTTTTAAAATTTTTTTTCATCATCAGTCAGTTAGTGGTTAGCCTGCGAAAACATCCGTTTCTCCTCGCTCTTCGTCGCTGAGGACGTTTCGGGCGGAGGAACGCGCGAAACGTCCTCAGCGACGAAGAGCGAGGAGAAACGGATGTTTTCGCAGGCTAGTTAGTGGTGCACCCCCTCCTAAGAAAAATCCTGGATCCGCCCCTTCTGAAGGGGCGTCTGATACAAACTTAACATCGTAGTTAGACGGAACATTTATTAGACAGTTAATTTGAGGGGGGGGCTCAATTAGAACATATGGTATTCGTGACGGTAGTCAATGTATTTATGACTGTTTGTTGTGGCAGGTATTCCGGTGCAGATATCAGTATTGTCGTTCGTGATGCCATGATGCAGCCGGTTAGAAAAGTACAACAAGCAACACATTTCAAAACGGTTGGTAACATGTTATCTGCTGTGAGTGTAAGAAAGTGGGGTACAGCCCTTCTTTTTAAGCCTGCGAATACAGCTAGACTATATTATTTTTTCCTGGTTGGTTATTGATCTCGTACCCAGATCTCTTGTTGACGAAGCCGAAGGCGAGATCTGGTCAAATAGGAAATTCCAGTTTTATGATTGGCTAGATTGTGAGCGAATGACGTGAGTGTTGTCATCCGCATGCGCTATGGCGTGAGCACTTCATTCTTTACAAAGGCTTTAGTAAATATTTTTACTGATGAATTAGTTTTCTGTCTAAATATGACTTCTAAAACCTTTTTTATCTTATCTTAAAGGAGTCTTCTAATGTTGAGTTGTTTTTGTTGAGTCAGGTGACAGGCCCATCTCCAACAGATCCAAATGTCATTATGGACGATCTTCTAACTCCTTGTTCACCAGGTATGAGATGAGCGTCATGTTTGACAAGAGTGACACGTTCGAAGGTTAACTTGTTGAATTGGCCGAGTTATCATACAGACGTTTTTTCAAGAGGAATGTTTGAATCTAGCACTGGTGTCAATGCTGCTGTGTGCAGAAGAAGCATAGAAGGAGATAGCCTCGCTGTTCACAGACTCTGTATTTTCTCCTTTTAAGACCGTCTGGAGCGCGTATGAATACTTGAAAATCGCAGGATTTATTGACCACTAGCGCAAGGAGGTGGTGGCGGGGAAAGAGTTTCTTTTTTCGTTTTCTCGCACTTCGTTAACGCCAAATTTTCGGCGAAAAAGGAAAAACAGATTCCTTAGCTAAGCTTTTTTTGTGTTGCAGGAGAGCCCGGTGCCTTAGAGATGACGTGGATGCAGGTTCCAGGAGAAAAGCTGTTAGAGCCTGTTGTTAATATGGTAATCACATTACGAATAGACCCTTTCACGGTTTTTTTTTTCAGCTTTTGACATGGACAAGTTAGAGAAAATCCGTCGACATCATTGAAAAAAGCGCCTTAAGATTAATGAAATTGCCTAGTTTGAAAGTGATTTGTTGAACTAACAAAGATACAGCTCCTCAAAGTCACGAAATCTTACAGACGTTTGTAAGGTGTTGTGACCCCCCCCCACCCCAACAATACAAACATCTGTAAATTTTCGCAGCTTTGCTGAGCCATATCTTCGCTCTCTTAAGACGTATCACTTTCAAATTTGGCAGTTTTACTAATATTAAGGTGCCCTTGTCAGTGGCGTCGACGGTTTTTCCCCAACTTATCCATGACGAAAGTTGAAGGTCTATTGTTTTGCTTTGAATTGTCTCAGTTTACCCAGAGACCATACGTACATACATACCAAAACGCGGGGGGGCACTGCCCACAAATTTCTGCTGTTTGGGGGGTTACGGAACCCCTGCCCCCGCCGCCTGCTCCGCTGCCTATGCTCAAGTGGAACTTAACTTGGCTTTTCTATTCAGTCAGGAGCGCATAACCCGGAGTGAACAACTTTTTTAGTCAGCCTATGTCTCGGCTTTTTCACGGACCGGTTTATTTTTAGATACATTTTAGAACCATTTTAACCAGGAGATCACTCAGCCCTTCACTATTACTTTCGTGTCTGTTTGGGTAGATCATATGGTGAGGTTTTCGTCCAGTTACAGGACATGGTACATTATGTCAAACTGTACGAGACCTCAGTACTTAGGCTACGTTCGCATCTCATACCGGAAGGCTTTTCAAGCCGACTCGAAATGCGCAACTTGTATACTGTGAACAGTAGCAGCACAGAACTTGAACAAGTCGTTTACAAACATCAAACATCATGCCGGAGCGGTTGGCAGAGAGGGTTTGGTGAACTAAATCCCAGTCCTTACTCCTGAATATTTCTTCCATCTCAGTGGGTCCCAGTCCTCCCTCCTACTTATTCACTTCCGCGCCAGAAATTAGTGGCGGATCGCCCCACCCCCAAAGGGCCGAATTTTTCGAAGTCTGGATCACCGTTCTTTCGTGTGAACAGAGGCCCTATCCGGAATGGTTGTAGTGCCGCCGCAAATGCTAACCGTTATAGTGTGAACATATCCTTATTAAACTCCCTTTACACTGCATTTATACAGAGGTTATATTGCCTTTTTTCTTCAATTTTTAGACTGATATGCTGCGGTCTCTAGCCACCTCTAAACCTACTGTCAATGCTGGAGACCTGAAAAAGTTTGAAGATTTCACGAGAGATTTTGGACAGGAAGGATAGACGTTAAAGCTGATTCATTTGTATTCTTTTGTTAATTACATACATTAATTAACCCGCATAGCAGGTAACAGAGTCAAAGGACACGACACGCGAGGGGAGCGCGCGTAAAAGGAAACCTTTTCTTCTTTTCACTTGTCCCTCGTGTCTGTTTGAGAAGAGATGGTTTATAACATAATTTGGCTCCATTTACGCGGTCAAACAAGAGAAATACAGTAAAATTCCGAAAATAAACCCCTCCATGTATGACTCCCTCCAAATATAAGCCCCCCAAACCGGTAACGTAGAAAACCCTCCGTTAAATCGCCCCTCCAAATATAAGCCCCCCGGGGACCTGTACTTGGAGAATTTCCCTCAAATACAAAGTATAACAAAGCAAAAACGGTAAATTTACTTCCAACTATATGGCTAGCCTAATCGATTTTGAAACGCAAATTTCCCTCCGTAAATTAGTCTCCCTCGCAGCCGTTTTTAGTATAAGCCCCTCAAAAAGGGCCTTTAAAAAATATAAGCCCCGGGGCTTATTTTCGGAATTTTACGGTAACAAGAAAACTAAACAGAATACTTCAATGCTAAGGCTACTTCACTGTTTTAATTTTGATGATACCTCACCAATGTGCTGTGGATATACCTTTTTGAAGCTTCTCAAGTGTTTGAAAAAGGGATTACCTACTTGCAGCCGCCATTTGTGAAACTAATTTTGTTTGAGTGGGAGGCATTTTACACGTGAACCAACTAGTTGTTTGAGAAAAATAGAGTTATCTTTACACTAACTTGCTATCTCATACAGCCTCACTTTTTGCGCTTTAATAGAAATGAAATCCCTCTAAGTGGGGCGAAGAAATGTTTGACTGCAGTGGGGGCTGGTTCTTATATTGACTTAAAAGAATGAAATTATCTAAATAGCTGATTCAGTTATACATCAGAGTCTACGGCTGCCTGCAAACAGGCCTTCTGTTTTTGGGATGAAGAAAACCCCTGTGTGAAGCTCTGTTTCCTAGCCTCCCACGCAGACGCTCTCAGGGCTTCGTCGCACGTTTCATCCCCACGAAACAGCAGCCACTTTCGCTTCGTGGGAAAGGAACGTGTTACGAAGCCCTAGGAATGTCTACGTGGAAGGCCAAATAAGGAGTCTTTTAAAAAAGCAGCGACGTTTTCAGAACGCACGTCAACCCGAAGTGGACGTTTTGCTCTCTCTCGCCGTGTCTTTAAACAAATGTTTGAGCAAATCGCCTCTTTAAGAGTAAAGAAACTTGGCAAAACAAATTTGGTGGCATCAAGGCATATTAAAACAGAAAAAGGCTCACTTCTGGTTGACGTGCGTCGCACAAAAACTTCGCTGCCGAAACTCAATGTTTCCACAGTCTTTCTTGCCTTCTCTTCTCACTTCCCTCACAAGAGAGCTTGTATGCCTCAGTTGTTTTGGAAAAAGCACGTCAGATTGATTTACCGACTGTAAAAAGAATTAGTTTTAACCACTGAATAAGTCCTTTTGTGATGGAAAAAGTCAGTAACAATAAAATAAGAGACCTTATTCACAGTTTCAAAAAGTCTTCTACCACTTTCGATCAGAGACTCCCATGAATTTTTGGTTTTGTTTCTTCAGTCTTGGGTCAATTGACTTCTTGAAATTCTCCCCTCACTCGAGCTCGTTAGTTATAGTGTTGTTCAACCAAGAGGAGCCTTCTTTTGCTAAAATTCAGTTTAAGGTACCCAAGATAACTTGAATAGATATTTTCCTTTATAATTCCTTGTTAGCCACTCTAATTGTTGCCTTGTCAGTAATTCACCCTAAAATAGGTACGATGGCTATCCCATTGCAGCAACTTTGTGCGAGGGATTCCTAAACACAGGCTTGGAGCAAGCTCATTTGTATCTGCTTGAGCTTTGCTTTTCCATGGAATGTCAGCGATAATTACTTCTCATCATTTCAAAATTGTTTGTCGAAAAGAACAATTTTGCAGAGCCGTTTGAAATTACTTCGTGCGTGCTTGAATACGCAAAAATACGGACTGTTTTGCAGTCTATTTTGAAGTAGAAATTAACTTTGATGAAACATGGTGTCGATTTTGTCCTGTTCATAGTAGGACACGTATTATGGTTTATTTTTATCTAGATGTAGTAGCACACTAATGACATGTACAGAGAAAAACGTGAGGCATATAATGTTTAATTAAACTTGTGTAATTGGAAATGTCAAATTTTATAGCTTGCTTTGATTCTCGTCAGAAGCTAGGGCATCCTGGGGCGCCACCCAGTGGTCACCACGATGAGGGATAATTTGGGCAAGAGTTTGTGTACTGTAGTTTTTGTTAGGTGGAAATCTACGTTTATATGCTTGTAGTAGTGAAGTAGGGAAGAAATTAGCATCTTGGGTAACCTGTGCCGCAGTCTCAAAAACTCCGGACGTCGCGAAAATGAAACAAGCTAAGTGAAAATAAGAAGGCGCACGATAAGCGGAAGGTGGCGGTGGCTCCCGCGCGTTTTACGCATCTCTTTTTACTGTACGGCTTTACCACTGTCTTGGAGCCTGGAACGGACTACCTCTTGGCCATTTAGCTCACGGAAATGGCGCTATATAAATTCTTGTATTATTATTGTTATTGGGGTGAGATCCCTTACGTAATTGCTTCTTTTTGACATTCGGGGAATACCCTTTAGTGCACACTATTATTATTCATTCAAAGTATTTCTCCGCTTGTTACCTTTTGGCTCAAGTCCCCGGGTTAATTCTTCACAACCAGCTAGTGATGACGACATTTGGAGAACGTTTGCAATATTCATTAAAATGACGTCACTAGTATAGGCTATCCATAGAAAAAGGGATGGCAACCGAGAAACCTTTTGGGGATGAGGTTGCGTTTAATACTGCTGGAGAAAATGACGGAAAATTTCACTCGTTTTGCGAAGAAGAAATTGCCTAACTTCTGCCTAGAAACAAAGCAGGAACGGCAAACATACAACCCAAAGGATGACAACTGCTATTTGAAGAATATCTGCTAGACTAAAGGTTTCTTACCCTGAATTTGCCGAGGAACAGACAAATAAAGACGGGAACATAACTTCGATCAAGGTAAGCATGTTTTTGGACTTGGCCACAAGTCGAGCTTAAAATTTTCCTTGAGCTCGAAGCGCGATGTGGCCTACTATTGGAACCGAAAATGAGAGGCGTCTAGCATGTCTAAATTATGAATTGTTTTGAATAAATAAGAAAACAATAATTGGTTTCGCCTTAGCAATGACCTGAAGAATTACGCAGTTCTCGGAGTGTGTCATTCGCTGAGGCCGAACTCATCTCATCCGATAATTGCTATTCATCACTATTTTCCCCTCAGTTGCTGCTAGTTTTCCAAATCTCAAGTTCATTGTTTTCCTCTCTTGTTCCTCTTCAGAAATTCACCTGTTGTCCCTCCTCTCCCTATAAATCGTTATTTTATTGTTCTTCTCTCCTAACTTCATTGTTTTTCAACAGTCCTTTTCTCACCCTTTCTTTTACTTTAGTCTGGTGTTCACCTTCCTCATCCGCAATTTTTTTCAAATTTCTTTTGTTGTTTTACCAAAATTTTGCTGTTCACCTTCCACAATAATATTGTTCTACCATGCTATTGTCGATCCACGCGTCTTTGGTTCTTTTTGCAATATTCCATTGTCCCTTTCCACGATTGTATCATTCTTTTCTCACAATTATGTTGTCTTTTATTCACAATTGAAGTGCTTACACAATGCTCTTGTTCTTTTCCCAAGAATTCTATTGTCTTCTTCCATAAGGTTTTGTTCTTCTTTGACAAAGCTATTGTTCTTTTACCAATATTCTATTGTCTTCTTTCACAATGCTATTGTCACAATTCTATTGTCTAATTTTATTACATTGTTATTATTTTCATAATACTAATATTGTTCTTTTTCCACAATTCTATCCTTGCGGAGCGAAGGTTTATAAATTTTGTCGAAATTCGCATCGTGCGTGGATCGATTGGCGATCAAGGCAATCTCGCATTTCACGTAACTGATGTCCTTGCTCAAGTGTTTTTATGTATAAGCGTGAGAAAAACCAACGGAAAATTGCTTACCCTCACAACTGTATGTTACCAGTAACAAATTTACCCAAATTTCGGACCACGAAAAGTTGGTTGCTACTTCCTTAATGTTGGGGTTCAAGAGAGAGAGAGTGTTGCAGCACCTAGCCTGTCCCAGGCTCCAGGGTATCACTAGGGTTTTGGGAATGGGGATGCCCATATCACTTTGACGGCGCAAGAAACCACGCGGGGGCTGGAGAGAGAGCAGGAAGTGGACCCTCGAGCCTGTAAGCATTGTTTTAAATACCTCATTCACCATTTTCACCGAGACCAATGCACCTTGTCTACCCCCCAAATTTTACATAACCATTGTTTCCAGTTTCCCCTGGGTATTACAGTCATCCCAAGAGAAATCGAAGACAATGGTTATGCAAAATTTTGGGTAGTACACAGGGTGCATTATGGGCTCGGTGAAAATGGTCAATACCTGCTTCTTATACACCTCATGATTGGTCAACTTTGACATTTTGAAATTTGACATTTTTATAGGAGAAACGGTTTTTCTGGTAGTGGGCAGAATGAGGTATTTAAAAAGATGCCTACTGGCTCTCCCCCTCCTCCACTTCAGGGAAAAAGAGTCCATGATTAACCAAGCCAAGAATGCCTAGGGAGTGTGCTGTTCCTTCTCTTTTCCCACCGTTTTTCGCTCACTCGCTTTCTTTGCTGGTCTCGCGGCTTTATACCTCATCTGCACTAACCATAACCCTGCACTGGCACAGATTAAGCAGCGTCGAGGCAAACAATTTTCACGTTCTTTTACTTTTTTATGCAGTTTACTGTGTCATTATCGACAATAAAACTTCATAACGTTTGCGATGCAAATATTTTTACAATCATAAATTTATTGTGTTACAATCTTGTAACTGACAGTAAAAAATCAGTGTCATAACTATTAATATGATCACTGATCAACACCTGATTAGGAAGAAAAGTAATCTCATACCCAGATCTCACCCCTTCTTACCGATGTCTCCCTTTTTGTAAGCCTTGGGAGATTAGATTACAGTTTCAATCCAATTAATAAGTATTAATAATTTTCCAATCATACACTACCCAGGATGTCAAAGGGTTTCTTTCTAAATCAAATGCAAATCAAGTTTGCAAGCAGTTAAGTTGTGGATTGTTTTATCTCACATACCGTAAAATTCCGAAAATAAGCCCCAGGGCATATATTTTCAAAGGCCCTTTTTGAGGGGCTCATTTTTGGAGGAGCTTATATTTGGAGGGAGCTACGTGGGAAATTTGCAGTTCAAAATTGATTGGGCTAGCCTTGTAGTTGGAACGAAATTTACTGTTTTTGCTTTGTTTTAGTTTGTATTTGAGGGCAGTTTCCAAGTACAAGCCCCCCAGGAGGCTTATATTTGGAGGGACGATTTAACAGAAGGTTCTTTGCATTACGAGTTTGGGAGGCTTATATTTGGAGGGGCTTATACATAGAGGGGCTTATTTTCAGAATTTTACGGTATTTCGCTGACCCACCTCTAGAGCCAGTGTAATCATAAACAGTTATTAAGATGCCCATGATCAAAACAATAATCAGGACCTAAGTGAACACTGCAAAATATCATTAAAAAAATAACATTCCGGAATTAACTACCTTGAGCTTGGTAATCTAAAGAAAACTGCTTGAGATATTTTACTTGAAAAAGAGAATAAAATTCTTCGAAAGCTGAAAAGCTGTGGCGTAATCTTTTAAGCCACACCCAGTAAGCTATACTGTTACATGGTGGCATTTATTAATTTTGTTAAGTATTCTGCTATACAAATTAATAAAATTCTAATTTCGGGGTTAATGTACCATGCTACTATGAGAATAAGGTTAACAACCCAGAAAGCCACACTATTATGTGGTGGCATTTATTTTCTTAGTTATCCTTGACTATGACATAAATTACATTAATCCTAATTTTGGTGTGTATGTGCCAAGTCACTATGGAATGCCGGAAATCATACCAACTGCCCAGAACCAATCCATGGCCACTAGGTTATGTTTACCATTCATGTTGGAAAGATGTAGTGATGAGGTCTCTGTCTACAGCAAAATTAATGTAAACAAAATATATCCCTCATTCACAACATGTACAAGGACTCTACTTTACATGTAACATACAACATTCAGTTCAATTCTTAAATATTTTAAGGAAATTTCCATTCCAACTAAATCAGTCACAAATAACATTCCTGATTTCTTTATAGTATCACGCCCACCTAACCTCAAACAGATTAGCTGGTTGCATATTTAAATTCAATCAACAAAGTCTACCTCTGTCATTAGTTTAGAATATGGGAATGTAGTTGTCGATTTTGGACTTATTTTTCTGTGCAATGCATTCAGCAATCCACACAATATTTCTGCATTCCTGCTCTTTCAGTTTGACATAGGCATAAAATACTCCCAGATGGAACTGCTGCTGAAATGACAGTATGTTCATCTTCACCTGCAAAAAAACAATACAAGATTTGAAAAAAAAGGATGACTGCCTTCTGTCACAACTCTAATCAATAAAGGGTGAAGGTATAGGGTACAGTAAAACCACATACAAGAACCTAGTGGATTGAGGACCTTAAGTCTCTAATTTGGCAATTAAATACACAGAAACATCAGAAGCCATTCAGTATCAAAAGCCATTCAGCCTGGCAAAAATAACAGGTTCGTATATGAAAGATTTTTGTTACCCTTCAGGAAAGCTGATATTCTTATCAGTATGTTTGTCTCACTGACCAAGAGCGGGTCCAGAAAACTATGACAGCAATAATATTATTGTATCTAGAAAGTAAGGCTCTAGAAGACAGACTTTGCTGAAATTCTGTCCGCCCCCTTTTTCTACCCATTCTGACCCTGAGTATTGCAGTCTGAAAGTATTGCCAAAAGCCTTTCATAACACTGCATAATAAAAAGCAGTATTATACTGCCTCTGGCCAACTGAGCCAAATTTAAGCACAAGAGAAACAAAAATTAATGTTAACCTCATGTTCAAAAAACTTGTCTTCAAGCGTCTTTTCACCAGGATTTGTCCCAGCTCCTTCAAATAAAGATTTATAATCCTGCAACAAAACCATACACCATTAAAAGTCAGATGGAAGTTTACTTTTTTCAGTAATTTATGTAAGTTGTACTTTATACCTAACCAGTCTTCCTTTCTAAAAGTGACTAGAAAGGGTATGACGGTCGACAAAAGAAGTATGTGTTCTTAAGTGAATTAAAAGAATGTCAAAAATTGCTCTTTGAATAAAACTATCACAAAACAACTTATCACTCCCAAGGCACTTTAAAAGCCTTATCTTTGATTAACACAATGACCCATTTATGTGCCCATGTAGCCAATCCGATTTTCATGGACAAAAACTGTTTACATGTAGAGGCTAACAATTACAATGTAATATTAATTTATTTAACAAAAGTGTTAAGTTCTACATACAGAGTAGTAGTCAGCTACAGCTCGAACTTGTTCATAATCATCTGCCTTGGCCAGTCTTGTAAGCCCTTCTGGATAAAGTTTTCCACATTTGGGATACAGCTTATTGCGATCATCTTTACCAAGTTCAGTACCAAAGGAGTTGATAGTGATGATGAAAGCACGACGATCGGCTTCAAACTGAAACCAACAACAAAAATGAGCAGTATTGTCATAATACATCTTTTTTGTCCATACAAGTTCATTTCTGTTTTTCTTCCCAACAGTAGTAGGGAGCTTACAAATTGACGACTTTCACACGACGATGCCTTTGGACTGCGTGAGAGGCTTACTGCGCATGCTTATCTGGGCACTTGCCGGCCTCGCGCCAAAGTCAACGCCATTGTTGACAGCGATTCGCCGGCGTCCTAGAAAAAGCAGGACGTGAGACTAATAACGGATTTTTCCAGATAATTCAAGTATAACATTAGGTACGTGTTCTTTACATATGTTTTCGATTTGTTTGTCTGTTTTCATTGAAGTAACGACCCGATGAATCAACGCCATAGCTAGCTGTAGACAAACATAAATTAACACCGAGTGAAACCATATTGGCAAGATGGTACCAAAGCTACAACAAGACCATTGCAAGTGGTTATCTCATCACAGTAACTACAGCTGTTCAGCAAGTTTATAAAATGCCCTCCCTGTATATAAACGAGCCTTGCATTTGTCCTTTGTTGTCTCATCTAAATCTGTAGTTAACTCTGAGATTGTTGACGAAACGCATAAAAGCACAAATACAGTGAAATACTCGGTCCTTTATAAATCTGTCTCCATAAGCGTCTGCAATACGAGCTCTTGTTTCTCTTACGAGTTTAGACATCTTGGTTGAACAAACAAGCTTACTTCTGAAAAGAAGTAAACAAACTTCAGAAACGGTGGGAAAATTTGCCAGCCTCGCGCACCAACGTCGTCGTCTTTACTACGAATCGTAAATTCAAATTTCTACAGGATGACAACGCAGAACTATGACGTGACCCAGTCGCGGCGTCGTGCGAAAGTCGTCGATTCGCAAGCTCCTGAATATCTTACAGTTTGCATTGAATGCTAAATACTAGATTAACTACAATACATTGTTTTGTGTTGTTGCTTTCTTTTTCTATCATGGTACAGAGTTTTAAAAATGATTTGCTCCAAGGGATAGAAAGAAGAGAATCATATTGGCTTAAACTGTACCCAGTTAGCTCAGTTGGAAGAGTGCCAGTCTGCTGAGTGGGAGACCGTGACTTCAAAGCCCGGCTGGACCATCAACAAAGGTCTTTAAATAACTGGTGGGATCATGCTAGCTGTGACTAAAACCCCATTATCAGTTCAGTTGATTGCATCATAAGGCAGTGACATTCAGCCGTTGGCCTTGTCTCCTTCCACCTTACACATCAATTGGAAGGGGGCATAAAAGAACCTTTGACATTGTTCGAAAGAGTAGCGGACGTACAGTGTAGGCCCCAGTGTCATGGTCTATCTGACATGTGCCATAATTGGTCTGGGTGGGTAAGGTGAGATCAAACATGGACAAAAGCAGCAGCATATTACACTTTTACATGCTGATGTCTGATCTCACCCCTGGTTCCTATGCATTGCTGATGTCTGATCTCACCCCTGGTTCCTATGCATTTCAACCATCTGCTGCAAGTGAGGAAAGTTGGCAACCCCATTATTATTGTTATTACTACGTAAACATTACAATACATGTTTCCCTTGTATCCACCGCTGAAAGATGATCAGGTTGAACATTACTGATAGCCCAACAAACCAATCAACTCAACAGAAAAAAAATCACTTACCTGAAGGATGGGACACATCACATCTGCTGTTGTGCCACCTAAATCTTCACAGAACTTGTAAAACCCTTCAAGATAAGCCTGTCAAGTAAAAGATAAAAAGAAACATTACTAATTAATTTGTACATTTTACACATGTTAAACTTTCAGTCTCATTAATAAGATCTATTTCCCAACAAGAACTCAAGGATTAAATAATGAGATATAATTATTTTCGTCATACATGTATTACTTATTTTTCCCACCTATTTGGTCTTATGCTGGTTTAAGGAACTAAATATATTACACACTCTTTAACTTAAACATATTTCTCTGTGCATTACACCTGATAAAATTTTGGGTGACATAACAATAGGCAACATACAATGTAACTCTGGTTTGGGGGGTCATAACTTGGGAAGAGATGTTTTTCAGGCAACTTGACCTCTTATCTCCATGGTTACCACTAGTTTACATTATGTACCACAGAAGACAATGGATATAATTTTATTTTGTTATTATTACTCAAAGCTACCTTGTATAAAGTGTTTCTTATAATTTCAATGTTCATCTCATCTAAGTCCTGCTCTGATATGCATTCCACAAAAAAGGGGGCTATAAAAAAAAGTAAGAGTTAGCAATTTTCTAAATACAATGACTTGGCACAGGCCCTCACATATTTTGTTGTAACATTATTTTTTATTCTCTGTTTTGAAAGAGGAAGGATCCATAATAAAATTATACAACAAGATGACAAAGGAAAATGTATAAAAAACAGCATCACATGGTGACATAATAATGAGTTCAAAGTAAATGAAAATAAACTTTCAACAAAATGTAAAATATAGAAATGTGAGATAGACACCTGGCCCGGGGTTGTTCAATCATTGGATAGAGCTATCCATCAGATAAATCACTATCTAGTGGGTAAGTATTAGGGAAACCAATTGCAATAGTGATATATCTGATGGATAGCACTATCCAATGATTGAACAACTGTGGCCTGGTGTTTAAAGGTGCTTTTACAGGGGCAAGTTTTCACTGAAAAGGAAATACTTGTCACAAAAAATGCAGCTTAATGGTAAAGTAACAATGTTTTGACCAACCTAGAGGAGTGTCAATCATGACGGCATTGTAGAGTTCAGCTGGTGTGGAGGCAATGTTTATGGAAGCCATCTCCTCAAAGCTACCAAGAGGATGACACTTGGGAACTAGCTCTGTGATTGGTCGCTGATGCAAAGTTCCAGTGATCAACAGGATGATATTATCAATCATGTAACTATAGCTACAATGATAAAGTCAATGAACTATAGTTAGTCTGTGTAAACAATTTGAAAGACTTTTTGTATGGCAAACACTGAGGATGATAGGACTCTGTCCGTACTCCAAAATTATCAAAAGAATATCGGCCAGTTTACAAACAGATTTCTCATACCATTAAATTCATGAACCTAAACCTTCATGCAATAAAACATGGTACAGTCAAACCTAAAGGTAAAGATATGGCAACCATATTTTATGTCAATAACTTATGACAGTAATTCAACTGTCAATAAACTTGAGGTCGACGGTGCACTCATTTTACCCCCTGCTCCATCAGTGCTCTGTTCAGTAAGTATATTTAAAGGTGCTTAAACTCATCAACAATAGATGAGGTTGGGTGTAGGTGCCCTAGACGATGGTGGTGTCAAGAGCAACACAAGTACATAACATATTCAGATCTAGAGGACAATTTGGAGAAAATTAAAGAATGGAAAACCCTTATTTAGCTGCAAAAGAGAGCTTTACATTTCAAAAGAGGTCAAAGAAAATGCTCTTGCATCAGAGGGCAAATCCATAAACAAAAACCACAGGAGAAAATCAATATGCTTGTCATGACCTCTCAGTGTGAAACAAGTGGCAAATATATTAAACATATTAATTTGCTCAGTAAAAATTTAGAACCTCCAGAGTATAATCTACCCTCTAGAGAAAGAACACTTACTGGAACAAGCAGCATTTTGGCAGAAGAAAAAGTCGTGTGTTGCCTACCGACGCCTTTTTCACTAAATACAATTACAGAGCAGGAAGAGCAGTTTTGACAGTGATTTCCTGAGCATGCACAGCTCATGAGACAACCCATTTAACTTCACCCAAATTGCATTTAGCCTCATTTAAGGCTACGCAGAATGGAAAGAAATTGAAACAAAGACATGATGCCACCAGGGATTGAAGTCAAGACCTCCAGCACCGAAGCACCCCCTACTCTCAGGGAAGGGAGACAAGCTTCATCGCACTGAAGCTGCCTAATGATAGGCAAATGATTTTATAGCAAAATAACTAAATTTTGGGCAAGCAGCTCAGATCGCAAGCTGAGTACACTAAAGCAACATCTTGCCTTGGGGCTACCTGATTTTCTCATTTAAGTCTTGGTCTGCTCTACTTACGTAATAAAATCCATAAAAGTTCCCATCGGTTCCAAAGCTTGATTACGAAGATGTCTAAATTCAGTAACCAACTTCTCTCTGAGTCTGTCATCAATTACTGACACATTCAAGGGACCAGCTTCATTTTGAAGGAAATTTCCATAATCTGTACTCTGTAAGTGAAGTTTTAAGTCTGAAACATGACAAAAAGGAGTGCAGTCTTAATTTTAGAGTTACCATTGTGCATATGATCCAGTTGAAGGTGTTGTCAATAACACGTCTTTACATAAAGACATCCATGATAATAATGTTAATAATGATGACAACAACAATAATTATAATAATAATAATAATAACAATAATAATCAATGATACAACAACAAAGATGTTTAGAGCATCATACAAAGTCAAGTGAAAACATTCTACAAATATTAAAGGATGGAAAGAAAGGTTGAGTTTTAATCCAAAATATTATTCTTTACAAAGGTGATCTGATTTCAGAAAATCACCCGAACTAATCTATTTTTCATGACAGAAGTAAAACTAATCGGAATTGAAGGACATGTATGAAGGACATGGCATTTGAGAAATGTAGCCGTAGCTGGTCTTGAGACATATTTCGATAAAAAGTACTAGATTAAATTCTAAACATTTTGATGTTTTAAGAATAAAGAGAACCAAATAATCATAATCATTAACTAAAAGCAGGAACTCCGATCACAAGAGAGCTAATTTTAAACATGGACATCACTTGCCTTCTAAGGTCTCGCACTGCGATAAATTAAGGTAATCACTTTGAGTTAGGACCCCTGATCTAAATCCCCTGACCAATCCTTCAAGATATCCATTGTCTACATTAAAAAAAAGCTCATGAAATGACAACATTTGTGTTGTCTCTGCCATGTTTGTTCTGTCCAAGATGGCGGACCAGTCACTTGCTCCAGTCCTTCTCATTATCACAAGTCAGTCATGTGACTACCGCGGGACCGCGAGATACTTGTGGGATTTACCGAGTAAGACTGGTAACAGGTGCTCATATTTAGCGGGAAAATATAGCGGCATGAATTCGAAGATTTGATCAAATTCGAACGGAGTTTGTGGCTTTTAACGTTATTTTAAATTGTATTTATACTTTCATTCTTCCGATAAGTGTTCTTTGTTTCCTCTAATTCCTAATGGATCCTTCAGAAGTTGAATTCGTTGCAGAAAAGGAAAAAATATCGATCCTGACGAACTTCTCTGAGAACAAAATTTATTTGATCGGGGTAGGCTTTGTTTGTCGGTTTTGTGGTTACTATGTAAGCTTATTACTCTGATATAGAGTAAGTGGCGTTTTAGTGTGTACACCCGTCAAGGATCGTATTGCTGTTTTTCAATTCAGGGGGACATAGGGCCTTTCAATGCATCACTGCCAACAGAAGTGCCTCTGTGGGTGGCAATATTTCTAAAACAGAGAAGAAAATGCAGAATCCAGCCTCCTGATTGGATGGATGTTGGTAAGAGAAGAAGTTTAATGCAAGCAATTCTGTCATATAATTTATTGCGCAGTCATCAGTTTTAAAGCACGTACCTGTGCAAGGCAGACACTTAGGTTATGTCCTGCAGGGGATGACACCCATGTAAAAGTGATGGGGATGCTGGTCTTAGAATTTATTAAACCGTGAAAGGAGACCAAAGTAACCATGGCCCAGGCTTTATTTGACTCCTAAAGGAGGTTGTACTCCAACAAAGTGTGACAGCATTGCTTTTTTTATTGGGATATTTCTCTACACACAACCCTAGCCTAAGTAATACAATAATGGCCAAACATATTGGCATTTCATCCTGAACACCCTAAGAGAAATTACAATCTGCAATTTCTACCCCTAAATTGGGAGACGAGCATCCCAGCATTTTTGCATGGGAGCAAACCTTGCCCAGGAGGGATGTGGGGGGAAGGGACATTAAGTGGGTATCAGATAGAGACACCTACATTTTATGTACCCTTGTTATTATTGTTAACTCTTTCTAAGATAGACACTGTTGTGACCAGCACCAATGGTCCTTTTTAGAGAGGTGTCTGTCTTTTTTAGAGTCAAAGGCAGGGATCAACTGTGTAGCTTGTTTTAGAGCAGTATCCATCTTTACCATGGTGTGACTTTTTGTAAAGAGATTTTGTTGACTGATGTATAGGAAGTCTGAGACATGCTTGTATAGTTGGGGCATGGGTGAGCCAGGGCTGTCACTAAGAGCAGAGGGCCAGGGATTTTCTCTGGCTACTATTAGCGTGAGCCCCGGCTACTTTCATGGGAAACAAAAGGAAAATCGAACCGAAAGACCTTCCTTGCTGTTCAGTTCCTCTCCTACTAATTGCAGATGCCCAGCAACTTGAAATTTTAGTGACAGCCCTGGCTTTGCTCCAAGAAAATTGTAGACTGCCCAGTGAACAGAACCTGTGAAATCCAGGGTGCCCCCAGTACATGCAAAAACTAAGATTTCCTAGTCATCCAAGAGCAAAAGAAAGAACCAGGGGCCACCGAGTGCTACTAGAACAGAGCACAGCCCTGGCTGGGGAGACAACATCTTAAGGATTACATGTAAAAGAGTCTAAGTTAAAACTTATTTCACAGAAAGACTTCAGGAACTCAAGGAGAAGGAGAAAGAGGCTGAGTACTTCACGAAAATGCCATCAAAACACTACATGGAAATTGCTTCCCTACTTCTTAACAGGTAACATTCAAGAATACACTGTACCTATCGTAAAATCCTCAATATTGTTGTACTACTGTTTTTGGAATAGTGAACTGATGAAGTTTAAGAGATAGTTGAATCAACTTGACATTTGGCTACTGCGCAGCTTTCTGTGTGGGAGGTTCTGAGTTCAATTCCAAGGAGTGACCTTAAATCCTTGTTTGAACTTCTTTCCTTTAGTTTCCCTGTAGCTTTAAGTAGCTTAAAATACCCAGAAAACAGAGAACTGAGGGAGAGAGGGAGGTAAAATGAGTGCACCATCATCCTCACGTTTGTCAGTTGAAGAACTGTTACAATTTATCCATGTAAAATAAGGACCCTTGCCTTAACCTGACCTTTATTTGTTCATGTGGATGTAAAGTAAAAGAAATGGGAGTCGTTTTGGGGGAACTGGGCCAGAGCACAATAGAGTCTTTATGGTTAAATATTTACGGTGGAGTCTATTGAACATTTTGAAACTTATATGTAACAGTGGTCTGATATAGCATATTGAAATTTACCTTTCTTTCTAGTGCTGCTGATGACATTCCTCATGCAGATGAGGTGCGCACATTAATCAAAGACATTTGGGACTTGAGGATTGCTAAACTTAGAAAATCTATTGACATCATGGTTAGCCAACAGGAAGTCTATGCACGGGTATGTATGGCCTTTTAATATTGTTGGACTTACTGACTCTTCTGTCAACCCCAGCTGCTTTTACTCACTGTAAATCCTCTATAGCTATTATCCACCTCTCAAATAGGCTCCCCCCTTTTCAGGGAAAGAAAGTTATTAAGACCCCCTCCCTCTTATATCCCCACCTCTATCCCCCCTATTCATAAATGATTATTAATCATGACTGTAACACTTCATGTGGACTTATCTGGTATGTTTTTCCATTATGCTGGAAGTTTTGATTTGTTTTTGCTCTTCAGCTACATGACCTGCAACTTCTCGTGCCTGAGCTTTTCCACTCTGCATTCTAGTTCTTTATGGAAAATTGATACCATCACCTTTGCTAAATTAAATACCCCCCCTCTAAAAAAAAGCCCCCCATCTCTTTTAAGCCCCCACCCACCCCCCCTCAAATGGAGTAGAGGATTTATGGTTAAATTAACACCTTTCATATAGTGAGGTAAGGAACCATTCCCCAAATTAAAGGTATTTGCTGTTTTTGCTTAAAAGGTGCTACAGTTGCACTTTTTTAAAGAGTGAATTCTACTCAGATGTCGTCACTTCATTTCCTTTGTGTTTTGAGTAAGGAGTTACCTGTTCCTGGATGTGCTCTAGCACCACCTAACAGCCCGGGCTTTTGCTGAGATTTCATAAAATGTGCTAGGGCTATGCTTTTGGTAGGCAGTGAATTTAACAGCTATAAAGTTCTTTTGGTGCTATTTTCCTTTTGTTTCCTATGAATTTTAAAAAGTCTCTCATGCTCTGAGGGGCAGGGGGGAATCCCCTGTCCCCAGGTCTAGTCAGTGCCAACTTACTAGTACTTTGCCTTCGCGTGACAACAGGAATTGTTACTATTCGCACCAAATTTTTACCCTGGGCACCCTGATTTCATTTGTTTTAGGTTTAGTGCTTTTGGGTTCTGTAAAATTTTTTGTATGTCACAGCTCTGCTCTATAGTAGTTCTGTTCATGGGCACTCACTTGCTGTTACAAAACATTTCTTCACTCTAAATTATTGTCAATTATTGTCAAGTTCAATCCTACCCTTGAATAGTCAGTCAGTGACTTACAGCAACATAAAATGTCACTGATATCTTCAAGCTCATGCATTTGTTAAAATTACTTACTTTTAAATTTTGTCTTGCAGCTTGATGATCTGTCATTGATGGAAATCAACATGATTCGCCCATTTCTCACTCAAGCACTTGATCACATGCACAACTTGAGGTGCCATGTTGCTGAGAACCCAAGCAACACCTGACAGATTTTACCCCTGGTCTGCCTGGGGGAGAAGGGTTGGAGTGAGCACTAGAATTCACTAGGGTTGTGGTGCATGAGGCAAAGGGGAGGGCGTTTGAAGAAGGGCTAAAAAGATCTGCCACCCCAGTCTTTCCATATTGATAAATATTTATGCTTTCCACTCTGCCCAAACTCCCTTTGCTTTCAAAATAAAAAGCAGCTACTACAAACAGGAAAGTACGAAGCACCGTCTTCGTCGTCTGATAAAGAAGCCTGTGTTGAATTTTGCTGATAAAATTGTACAATCCAGAAACCATGTAACCCATGTGTGATACATCCTGATAGTATTTTCCTTCCAGTATTTCATTCAGGTTACAAAGTGCTTTTGTATTTATACATCTAAACAATTTTTATGAAGACAAGGCCATATATAAGAAAAAAATATATTATAAAAAACTAAATCACTGTATCATGTAGTTCAAGTGTACTGTTAGGTTAATGATCATTAGAATGCCATTTACCGGTACCCTGGACATGTGGCAAGACCACATGTCAAAACTTTAAAATAGCAATAGTCCCCCTGTACCCACCCACCAATCCCCACCCTCATCTGGTCCTTACACCAACTGGCATAATTTGAAGTGCCTGGTGGCTTAACCTACAACTAAGTCCACACTACCCCTCAAAAAAAGGAAAACGTTGAAAGCGAGTCCCCCCTACCACCTGCATGAAAGGGTAGGGTGTGGCCTGGCTACAAGATGGCTTCTTATGACTATTGCTATGCCTATAAGAGTCTATTTTTTAATGAGTATCCAACTTATATGAGGAATATGTTAACTTTTCGCCATAAAACCTATAATTTGCACGGTACCCATAGGTTGATTCTAAGCAAGCCTAGAACAACAACCTATGGACCACACTCTTTTTCTTATTTATCCGCCCAGAAATGGAACGATCTTCCCGACGAATTAAGGAGCAATACTTTTAATGACTTTAAGCGACGTGTGTAAAGTTGCAATGTGTTTGATTAGTTTTCACTAATTTTTGTCTTATTTTGTGTGTGTATTTTTTTTTTCAGTTTTAGATATCTTAATTTGTTTCTCGAAGATATTAGCTGTATAGTGTAGCTACTCTAAAATTCGAGTGAAAATAAAGGTTATGTATGTATGTTTATTATATAGACACGTGTGTTTTAGTGGAAAATATACCACTCGTAAATTTCATAAAAACTACATCCGGGACCCGAGTGGTTTATTTTCCATAATCTCACACGCGAGTTTATCGATGACATAATTTCTGTCATTTCCCTCTATTATTTTATCGATGTTTTTTTGTGTATTATAATAAAAAAAACATTACACGGCAGCTTGAAGATATGAATTTTTTTTCTTGTGGCAAAAACAATATTTTACTTGCTGCGCTCGTTCGTAAAATATTGTTTTGCCACTCGAAAATAAAATTCATATCTTTGCGCCACCATGTAATATCCTCTCTATATATGTATTTGACAAGAATAAAATGCAAGTATTACATAACTTTTAAATAGAATTTTATTTGACTTTTCCATCGTCTATACTTTCCTTATATCTACCTAACAAATAACTCTTCAAAAGCATGGAGAAAATTAACCTTTGCGCACAACATAGAAATCTTTTTAAGCTGAAAAAATACATTAACAATGTCTGAACGTTAATATTTTTTTGACACTTCTGTGTCTGTGCATAATACAAGCGCAAAACTTTTTTCAAGAGAATGCCATGAGAAATTGAGTTCTTAAATATAGAATCTTACACTGTTTTTTACAAATATATTATCTTTTTAGGCTTTCAATAAAGAAATGTAGTTTGTCTAGTCCTTCCCTTAGTTTACTTTTTTCCTCTTGAAGCTCCTTTTTTGCTTGAACAAGGTTCTGAAAACGAGTGAAGATAGTTATACATTATGCTTTGTTAATTCTTAATGCTTTGTGAAACAAATTATCAATATATACAAAATTATTTTAATGATTGTCCAAAAACTACCTTAAATCAAAAAGTAATTGGCCCATGGGTATTTTGAACCATTAAGTACCAAAAGTGACCAATATCACTTTTAAAGGAAGAAAGGTATTCATATTCCACCCCTCCACTTTCCCCTCTTCCCACACACCATCTCCTGCATGGCAGATAATTATTAACAAATAAAGACTATGTTCACTAATCACAAATGCAAATAGATAATAGTACATATGGTACGATAAAAAATTATGTTAAGGCATAATAATTATTGCCATGTCAGAAAGTCATTTCCTTTGTCCAAAACAGGAATTTGAGCTCTGTAACTTTAGTCTGTTTCTTTATTATTTACATGCTCAAGGTTTAGTGCTTCAACAAATTAAATATCCTATTTCTAATTTTATGATATTTTAACTTTATTATATAAACACCAATGAAATACCAGGTGAGCTTTCGTGCGAAAACATGATTTCTTCACAGGTGAAAATATCACCGTTTATATGGCTACATAATAAATCGCGCCTTTCGGAGGAAAAAACTGTTTCAGTGAAATGGTTTGGTATTTCATTGGTGTTCATATAATAAAAATTAATAGAACATTACATGGCCGCTTGGAGATACGAAATTTCTCTTCTCATGTTGAAAATATTTCACTCGTTCTCTGCACTCACTCGTGAAATATTTTTCAACACTCAAAGAGAAATTTCGTATCTCCGCGTGGCCATGTAATGTCCTCTATATCTAATGATTTACATAACCCAAAAAGTGCCCAAAAAATCAAGGTAATGACAAATGAAATGGTAGCAAATGATATGGATGGACTGAAACTGCAATAGTGACATAGAAAAGAGTTTGAGCAAAATGGTTGACCTCGGCGACAGTGCTGAAAAATTACTAGAGCCCGGGTTAAAGACCAAGACTGGTCCATATAGGATAAGTGATGGAGACTGCTGGCCAGTACTTGTCTTGTGTTTAACCTTGCCTGAATTACATTTAGCCACATCATGGTAAATTACCAACAGGGTCATGGCTTTCTCCTCAATAAGTGAAACAAAGGGTTTTGTTACCCCACGAAAAGGGATTCCTTAATAGGGGATTTACAGTAAGTAATAAATTTCATAGCGAAACGTACTGTCATTTGAAGACTAAGATTTTGAGCCTGCTCATTCAAGGAAGCATTTTGCGACTTCAACAGATCAGCATTGTCTTGGAGTACCCCTATTTCCAGTCCTCTTTCTGAAAAAAACAGTAAGAAAAACAGGATGATGTTAAAAAACAAGCTATTTCCCAGTTTGAAATCAAGAGGGATTGGGTATGAGTCAGTCTATTATGGGAGTATTAACACAAGACCTAGATAGTCAGGAAGAGCTCCTCAGTCCTCCTTGGTTTGAAAAACTGGCAACGGCCTTTTAGTCAACACCTCCTATTTCTTTTGTTGTGCAAGGAAAATGGATGTCCTTTTTCCTTAGGTAACAAAGGAAACAGGAGATGGCTAAAAAGGAAACTACTGAAAGTGACAATCTACTGGGGGTTTGCACCCATTTGGGTGTAGGCTACATCTACTACTTTTAAGGTTTAATTGACAAATACAATCTGAGATTAATTGTACTTTATGAGTCAGAACTATAATTTCCACCCCTAGCAGAAACAACAATGACAAAAAGTACTAATTTTGTCAGTAATTTAACCTGCAGCATGTGTGTAGTATAACTTCATGACTGCTTCTATGCCTGGCCATCTGTGTGCATTCTCTTCAGAAAACTTGCTATGCTCTCCCTAAGTTAAATAAACAAAAAGCTGTTCATTCAGTAAATAAAGAAATAAGCAAAAATAATTATTGTGGTTCACAGACCACTTTCTTATTTTATGGGAACAACATCAAGAATGATGGCCTTTTTCTCTGTTACACATATTTTCCTCGTTTTTACCCTAGCTAGTTGCATCATGTTCTTATTATCTACAAACAAATTCTCCATACTGATCTCAATACATGTTCTTAAAGAATTAGTTGAAAAAATTAATTTTGATAAAAGATCAGAGAATTTTCTCGAGGTGATCATTTTATCTATTCTCATAATCCTTTACCATGATGATATCTTGAAATTGTTAAGAGAAAATTGATTTTGGTCACTTCTGGGCTCACTTATTTGTTGCTTTAAAACCATTATTTTGATATCACATACAAGAGTTAGAGTTAACCGGTCTTGAGACTCGGGAGGGCCATGCCTTTAAAAGCAAAGAATAAAGCCACGACCCAAAGCCAAAAACTAAATAACTCTTCTACTGAGCAAGACGAAGTCCTAATTCAGGAAACTGAAGGTGAAAGCAATATGGCATCTCCAACTAAATGGCGCGAAAGCCTTGAAAATCTAATAGCTCGCCACTTTCGACAACAGTCTGACCTACTCACTGATCTGATGCTACGGCACTTATATAAGCAAGAAATCGACAAAATTAAAAAGAGCCAAGACTTTATTAGCACGAATTTCAACAGTGAGCCATTCAGTGAGGTGCTGTTTGACCCGTTAAGAGTGGCTAAATATGTTCGCTATAACAAGGTTATGATATATGGATGTTCTTTTTCCCTGGGGTAAAGAAAATTGTTCAGTATACTGAGAACTTCCTTATAAAGAGGTTCACTACATGTTTATCGAGGTTCCGCCGTAGTTGTAAGTTGACGCTTACAGAGAGAATTGTCAACAGTAGTTAAACAGTAGTGACAGCATACAAGGGTAGTAATAGTACAATACAGTATGGTAAATAAAGTGAGTGAAGGAAAACTGATGAATTTTGATTTAAGATAAAAAATAATTAATCCAACCTCACCTTGCTCAGAGGAACAGCTTGTTTATTTCTACTTGTGGTTTGTTGATCCATCAAAGACATTGCTGTGAATGGACGACCCTGTAAACCTGGTGACTGTTGTGATAGGTAGTCTCTTGTCTCTTTTTCACTAAGAGAAATCCCTGTACTTCTTAAGGGCTCAGGTCGAATTGGTTGAGTCACAGTTCTATGATCTTGTCTTAAATGAGGTGCTACACCACCATGTTCATGTGAAATTGACAAGAGCCCTGTGTGTCGAAGATAAGGTGGTCGGAATTGAGAAGCGCTAACATTGCTAAAGGGATCTTCCATGTTAGTTAGAGACTGAAGTGTTAGTCGAGGGGGAAGATGATTGGTATTACTAGGGCTTTGTTGGAATCTTTCATCACTCCCACGGCGATAGTTCCTGTTATCAAAAGCATAAGGAGTAGTCCTTTTTTCTCCATCCTCCGTTTTTATAGTAACTGAGTGTTGTTTCTCTGCATCCTTGTTTCTATTTTCTTTCTTTTCTTGCTCTTGTAGGAGTTGCTGTTTTTGTCGTGTTATTGGTCCTGTTATTGTGTCAGGGTCCAGTGAGCCTTGGCTGTTGTCTGAATCCCTGTCATTCTAAGACAAAACAGGCATAGTAAAATCAGCCTTCATACTAGACATTTGGCATTAAAACTACTCTCAGCCACCACTAAACACTTTAATCCCCAACGTCCTCCATTTTTTCCAGATAATAATATATTTATTATTATAACAGCATCCTAAGTCACCTGAGGTTGTAATGTGGAAATATTTTTCATAACATGCCGTTTTTAAGCACTTGGAAGGGGTGGGGCAATGGTTATTATTTACTTGAGCCTGTAATGCAGCCATTCCAGGTTTCACATCTCAACATCTTTTGCATTTTTATTTTTTCATAATTTCCACACGCATTACTTGGGTGAGTTTTGAGAGGGTGGTGTGTCATCCACACCTCCAAATTTAGATGTAAGATGGCCAGTACCCATATAAAGGATTATGTGCCAATCAGGGCTCCAAATTTTTAACAGAGCTGCTCTTGAACTCAAAGCAAGGAATAAGTATCATGATGTCATCTTTGGGCTATGTGGTGCTCACTTTATTAGTAAAATCCTAAATTTTTTTCTATATTATATATAAATGCAGTACCTCTTTATCTCTCCGTGCTCTCTTTGGAGGGCGGCCTCTGCTTTTACGATTCTTTCTTTCAGTTCGTTTTATCTCATAGGACTGTTCCAGCTCTAAAAGATGAAACATTTAGATTTGTGAGATCAAAACACAATATGCAGCTGCATGGCTGAAAATAATCACAACAAAATCATGTCAAGTGGTAAACTGACCTTGTCTTTTGTGTGGCGGCAGCAATCCAAGCTTTGCCATGAAATCTAGCTTCTGTGTATTAGAAATAACTCCTTTAGTTCATCATATAAAGTTACAGGGTTGTCAGAAAGTTTTGAAGTAGACAGCTGAGTTGTCAAAGTAAGCAACTAGTTCAGGGATATTTTATTTAAAAAAGCCCATCTGTAAAGAAATGCTAAGCAGAGTTGCCAGCGGATACTAACCAAGTAGGCAGCCATTTTTGCCGGCAGCCAGCTACTTTTGACTACCTGAGTTATAGCACATTTTAAAAAATTATTAACAATAGTCACTAAAACTCGGAAATATGATTCTCAAAATAATACCGGAAGTGTTAAGAAGTTGACCCTTTAACTTTTCGGGGAGACCAAAACATCAAACTCATCAACATAGATGAGTATGGGGGGTGGAGAGGTGCCCATAAGGCTGGTGGAGTCCAGTGATGCAGCAGAGAGCAATGCATAACCTTGCCAACCCTCGGAATGGGATCCACCACAGGCAGCAACACCCACCCTCAAGGGAAAGTTGTTTTCACATGTCATGACAGCCACATCGGTGTTCCAAAACAATGAAACGGGAGGCATGTCCGTGTCCCAGACAAATCCTGTGGGAGTGAAACTCTTTTCTTATGTCAATACTTTCTTCTGCTCCTGAAAGTACAGTTGCTGGCCATGTAAATGAAAGTGCTCTAGGGATCTAACTTCATATTTACATATTTAATTAAAGTAGCAAAAAGAACATTCATTACACTGACCTCTGGGCAAGGAACAGGAAGTTCTGGGGTATGTCGTCTATCACTGTCGTCATCATCATTACCATTCACATTGCCCTGAGTTGTCTCATTGCTAGGTGAGTCCACATCACTTTCATTTTCATGATCACTGTATTTTCTCTTCAAAGATGGTTCCCCTTGACTTATCTCTGCAAACAAATGTATAGTAGGTCAAGGTTTTGTTTAATATTACCTACCAGAAGTCTCCAGACTCTATTCCAAAGGAATTTTTAAGCACTAACCCCTTGACTCCTAATAGAGGCCAAAGAAAAAAAATCTCCCCTTGCCCCATTCCCCACAAAAAAAAATAAGAATTTTTTTTAAGTCCTTAAAAATTAAATAGAACTAAGCAAAAGTTCTGACAAAAAATGGTATCATCAGTGGGGGTGGCAGGAGGGAAATTTGCTTCGACCAATCAGAAGCACGACCCAGATCTGGATAGTACTAATGACGCATCATCAGTATGGAATTTCTGCACTTTACCCTCAGACATCATTTGGTGGGGAAAATAGTGGGGGCATTGAAAAATCTTGGCTGTTTGCTCAAGCTTCCATTATCCAAGATAGTGTTGTGCCAGAAAATATCTACACTCTACCGTAGAGAGTTTCCTGGTTTGCAGCCCCCACCTTCTCTCCACCCATCCTTTAAATATTTTGGCTTTTTACAACTCCTACCCTCTCAGAATTTCCAGTAACCTTCCATCAGACTAAAATGAATATTTTCTGGAACCACACAATGCACAGGAATATCTTTCAAATACCACCTTTTCACAAGAGCCAGGCATAACATTGGTGAAGGGGAATGAAAGATAGAGAAAAAAAGAGAAAAGAGATATTTTTAAACCATCTGATACCCAAGCAAAATAGACAAATAAACATATAACACTCACACCTCCTTACATCAAGGTTGAAACTCATATAACATTACTCATGTAAACTCATGTAACATTACTAATTGATTACCTTTTTTCTTATCCAGAGTTACAAGACCTAATCCTTCAAGAAATCTCAATTTTCCAGGATCATGTCTTAGTTTCATTTTTTGCTTAACTTGAATTTCTTCAGTGCTTCTTTCAACTTTTATTCTTGCAGCCAGGCTAGGGGACAATGATCTGTCTGAGGACTTTGGCCTCTGTCCATCTACAACAAAACATAGTGAAATGAGGTCGAGACTTTGCCAAGGAAAACCTAGAACCAGTATCGATATACATCACACAAAAGCAATATGACCTCACTATACATGTATGTACCAGGGAATTTCCCAATTATTTTTTTGGTAATGCTGAAAATTAACTCACGTTTTGACTCCACTAAATCTCTTTTACCAAACCTAGAACCAGTATCAATATACATCACATAAAAGCAATGCGAACTTACCATATGTACCAAGGAATTCCCCAATTATTATTATTATTATTTTTGATAATGTTGATGTGTAATTTAATGAGCCCTGTTAAATTTGCTTTCCTTGCTTTGTTTCCCTCCCTCCCTCCCATTTTTGGGTAAGTATTCATTCCACACATCGTCGGTAGATGCCTGGAAATGGGTTGTGGCTTGGTTGCCATGGTGACCTTCTAAGGAGATTACTGGCCTCCTCTCTGACTACCTTTAGGGCACCCACCCTTCAATATCATTGACAAAGTGTTTTAACCACGGTTAATGAAGAAAAACAACAACAACAACAACAAAAGAAAGCAAGTTGTTGGTGGGCAAGCAGAGTCTGTTACCTTCTTCTAAAAAACAAATGGCTACATTAAGGAACAGCTACTAAGAACGTCAGACTAGTTAACATAAGTAACATCTGCCATTGCCATGTCTCAATATCAGGCATAGGCACTGTGTCCCTGCATTTAAATCTCTTCCTTTCATCTCTCCTGGAAGAGGTACCCTTTTAACCCATAAGCCACCAACATCCACAAACAAATTCTCCAGACTGATCTCCATACATTTTCCTGAAGAATTGGTTTAGAGAATTTGATAAAAGATCAAAGCATTTAGCCTTTGATGATCATTTTATCAATTCTCATTACCTTTTCCATGGATGATGTATTGATTTTGTTAGGAGAAAATTGATGTTGGTCACTCTTGGGACTTAAAAGGGTTAAGAAATCTTGCACATACACCGTTACAGAGACTACTCCTCCCTCAGCGTGCAAAGAAAGTAGTGTCTGACAGCCCGGGGCTAGTGGATTTTGCTATCGGGCTAGTGAATTCTGTTATTTACTTGCCTGACGGGCAATTGAATTCTTTTGAGGAATTCAAATTACAGAGGAACTGTGAAGTCAATCTGCTCATCAAAACGTTTTTTGGGCTAGTTGAAATGATATTTGGGCTAGTAAATGTTAGCTTCAGCTTGCCTGAATGGCAAGCTGTAAAAATGACTTTCTTTGCACCCTGCCTCCCTCCCCACCAATACACTGCTATCTGTACCATGAATGTAGTCCCCATTGAGAAGGGGTGTTCTCTCTCTTCTCTGCCACTCTCTGTCCGCAATGCCTCTGTCCATTCTTGGTATGCCACCACGAAAACCTTCACGAGCAAAAGGATGGTTGTCCAAGTAAAGTGGTTCGCGCATACCTGGCCGTTCAAGGGGTTCGCCAGTTGGCCGCCTTAAACTTTCAGGATGAAGGTGCCGTAGGTCAAGTTCATTGCCATAACGATCACCAAAGCCCTTTCCATCTGGGGGTCGCGGGTGGAAGGGATGAAATGGAAACCCTCTATAGAGGTGCTCAGAGTCCCTACTGACTGCTAAGCGAGGTAAGTTGTGGTCACCTTTGTGGTGATCAATCGAGAGTGGACTCTGACGAGAGAATAAAATGAATTGACTGTCAATCAAAATGACTGGCTAAATGTATGTAATAATAATAATAATAATAAAAATTAATAATAACAATAACAATAATAATAATAATAATAATAATGATTTGGAGGTAGCACATCCAGAAAGTGGTTCTTCATCTACCTGATTCCTGATCGAATTGGAATTTGGAAATGTCGGTTTTTGAGGAGAGGGGAAAACCAGAGTACCCGGAGAAAAACCTCTCGGAGCAAAGGAGAGAACCAACAACAAACTCAACCCACATATGGCGTCGACACCGGGATTTGAACCTGGGCCACATTGGTGGGAGGCGAGTGCTCTCACCACTGCGCCATCCCTTGCTCCCCAACAATAACAGTAACAATAACATTGATAAAAATGCAATGATAACAACAGTCCTGGGTGTTATGTAAATCTACGAGACAATAATAACTTTTGTACATTGAAAATTTATAATAATAAATTAGATTATTAAACAATTTTACACATTGGTGGCTTGAATTTTGGCAACTTATGCAAATTAATAAAGATATTTTCCTACAAGTCTAACAGGAAACAATAGAACAGAACAATGAAAATTTTTCTCCACATTAATCATTATCATCATTACCATAACAATATCAATATCACAACAATCACCATCATCATCATCATCGTCACCACTGCCTTTGATGGCAGTATATATGGCACTATTGTTACCATCAAGTCTAGGTTTTCAGTCAAGATTCTTAAAGCTAAAACAGAACACCTTGTTTGGTTTAACATTTTGTTGCCTTATAAGAGTAATGCATCTGTGAAATGAAAATCAGGTATTTTGATAATTTGCTGGTTTCCACTAGCAAACGATTGATGAAATTTATCCATGTCTCCCAAACAAAGGGAAATAAATTGCAACACCAGTTTGCTAGTCGAAAAAATCTAGTCCACTAAAAGATAACTGGTTTGTAATGCATCTGAACAAATCAGATCATACTTTGCTGGTTTCCAGGACCATGAAGTGGCTTGGATAGTGTAACCCCTAGTCCCGGCAACATGATGCCGTGACCAGTCTTCCCCTGGGGCAACACGAAGGCCCTCTTTCTGTTCAAACATCAGTCGTTCATGTAGTAATAACTCCTGAAGGAGAAAAAGGAAAAGCTATGTTCGGGCTCATAATATTGGGTGCTTTCAGATAAGGTTCCATTATCTTCTTTCAGTTTACACAGGTCCCCTTCTCTTTAAAGATTTTCTATCTTCAAGGATGTGCTCTATGAAAAATTGAAGAGAGCATGGTGGTCTGAGCCTGTGAAATCCAGCGTGCCCAGCGAAGGATTTGTATGAAAAAAACTATGATTATCTAGTGTGCCAGAGGCCACCAGGCACTGGTGGAGCAGAACTGATCTCAAAACACAGTTAACCACCCCATTAGCAACCACCTAAAATGTCAAGATTAATATTGTACTTTAAATGGTATTTTTGATACTATAGGTGAGGGTTTACAGATGTATGAGGTGGTCACTTATGACAGGCCATCAAACATGGAAGTTTGACTGTATTGATCAAAATAGCTCTCTTTCACTCCCAATAGTGACCAATGAAAAAAATTCAAATTTCATTTTGTAAAATCAGGAGAAAAAAAGAGGACTATGTAAAAGGTCTGCCAAAAAAAATTCAAATTTCATTTTGTAAAATCAGGAGAAAAAAAGAGGACTATGTAAAAGGTCTGCCAAAGAGCTTTTATTTGAATGGCAACACCATAGGATTTCGTCGAGAGATTTATCAGGTAGAGTGATAAATAATCTTGACATGAAGTGGTCCAGGAGTGAAAGGGATAACTAAAAAAAACAAAATAATTATCATGTTCACATGACACTGGATGAAATTTCAAAAAATTTCACAAGGAACTACCCTAACCATGAGAAAATTTAGATGCGTAACTACTAAAAATTTTGAATGCTAAAATCGAGGTCAAATTTTTCGCGGGTACAGTAAAATTTGACCAAAACACCATGATTGTCTAAATTTTTGTAAGGCAAAGGTGTGGTTGCATGAATGCATGGTTATTCAGCTGGTAGAAACAATTTTGGATTTGCTAGAGTATCAGTCTGCTCATGGGCAGATGGTAAAACCACTGAGAAAGGTTGAGAAAAGTAAAGAGAATGGTCAAAATTCAACCTGGTTCATCATTTACATGTAAACAGAGCAAAGAAAGTGTCTGGTCAAATCTTTCAGCCAGTTGAAAATTTGGGTGAACTTAAGCTAAGTGTCCTTAAAACTTTAAGCCCCAATATCCAGATACAAATTCTCCACACATTTGTCGCCATGCATTGCCTTAACGAATAAGGTGAGAGAGCTTGACAAAAGATCTACAGTCAACTCCTGATAATTCGAACCTTCAAGGGAAACAGAAAAAAGTTCGAGTTATCGGAAAATGTTTGGAAGGGAAATGAAAATTGCTTCGAGTTAATGGAAGGTTCGAGTTATAGACGGTTCAAGTTACCAGGAGTTGACTGTATTTTACTTTGGTGATCATTATATTAACTCTCATCACCTTTTCTCTTCATTATGTATTGACATTGTTGACAGAAATTTGATGTTGGTCACTCTTGGGAGTTAATTATAATTATCTGTTGAAGGAGCATGCTTTACACCTACCTGTCTGTCACGTTCTCGTATAAAATCTGCATGTCTCCCATCCATAGGGTGGAGAGGGTATGGAGCATCCCTAGGGGGGTGGACTAAATATGGGTGAAGAATGGGTACTTCATGAGCAGGGAGGAACATTCCTTTGTATTCGCCAGGTCTTGTCATTTTAGTAGCTAGGGCCGGATCACCTCGGACGTGAAGACTGTGGCTCCTTGGGGGCTCCGATGAGCTTGATGTTGGAGCCCCTGTGGGTGCTCCATGCCCATGAACAGGGCACGATCCAGGTTTGTGTTCATGGTACATTCCCTGCTGAAGTGATCCCTCTGCAGAACTTCTTTTTGGTTCCCCAGAAGTTCCTTCTACTTCATTATCTTTCTTAGAAGAATCAGTTGCCTCCTAGATATTTATGAAATAAAAAAAGGGATAATTTTCAATTTTTACATCGAACAGCTAACCACAAATTACTGCAAAGCCACAGAGCAATAAATGACAGAATAGTCATTTCACCCTGGTGTGAAAATTCAAGTGATACAAACATTTAATCCATAAACTCCACTGAGCATTTGCCGTAGAAAAGGGAATCATGGACCATGCAAGGAAAACAAAAAAATCTTTCAACAAAAAACAAGATGAAAAGCAATGTTGCATGTTTTACCACCAATGTTCAAAGCTGTCTTGCAACAAATCATGTTGCTGCAAGTTGTGTGAACACTGACTTCTGATTGGATAATTTATAGAAATTTCATGCAGGAGTTTGCCATTTTATTTGCTGCAAAACAAGTTTGGCTTGGGCCAGTAAAATGCATAACATGTACCAATTTTGTTGCAAACAGTAAAACTACCTCTCTAATTTCTGCAAAAACGTTTCGTAACCTGCAACAATCTGATTTGTTGCAAGAGACATTTGATTTGTAAGCGGGAAAATGCACAACATCGCTATTCAACTTGTTAGCAGCAATACTGGAAAACAAGTTACACAATTTTGCAATCCATTTGACTATACCTTAAGTCAGTTATTTATGGAAAATATTCAAGTAACACACGATCCAGCGTGTAACAGCAAATTATTGTTATTTACAGCACTGAGGTACAAGTACACAGGCAAAAAAAACACAAGGATTGGTTTTTCCCTGAACATTATCAAAATCAAAAGGCTATCACATCCACACCTGTTTCTTGGCTTCTCGCAGCTCTGAATTATCACTTGGCCTCAGATGAGGAGAGTTCTTTCTAACAAATGATTCAACGCTTGCAGGAGGCAAATGCCGCGCAGCATCTCCAACATGTGCGACAGGAATGTCATATGGCTCCACTAATATGGTGCCATCAGGTAGCAGTGAATGACGTTCATGCTGCTGTCTTAAGTGTTCAGCTGCCCGCTGCTGTCTCCATGTGCTAAAACGTATATCATGAGGATCCAGCATCTTAAAGCAGAAAGACAGAAAATAAATATTATACAAGAACTGGTATAAGGTATAGAGGAGTTTAAAAAAATTGAGTCTAGGGTATTTTTTTATTGACGACAAAATAACAACATTAATATTATATAGCCATAGAAAAAATAAATAAATAAGTATTGAACAAAGTAACAAAACTAATTACAGCCTTTAAAAGGGTATACACACACGCTATGTTCACAAGACTCCAGACAAATTTTTAACCTGTTGAAATTTCCCGGGTTTACATGTTCTGTTCACACAGAACCACCTTAACGCTATTCTGTGTGAACAGAGTGAAAATGTTGAATGGTCCTGTGTGAACAAGATGTCAAGTCAAATTTTTCACAAGTCGAAAATGTATCTGGTGGTGTGCAAATGTAGCCTCAGTCAAACCTTGGCTAAGAAATACCTCCCATAAGCAGACACTAAGGGTGCTCTCTAAAAGCAAGAACTAACAGGTTAGACTGGTCATCTTGAAAATGAAATATCAGTCTTTTCTTGAATTTTTCGTGAAAACCAATAATGCTACCATGCACTACATTTAGGACAAGGCTGATCTGGATGGACAGTCCTGATTAAAAGGGGCATTCTCGACTGGTTTGGCTGGCCAGTTCTTACAGTGGTAAGCACCCTCTCTCTTCCCCCCAGCCCATGGTTCGTACGACTTCAGACACAAACACAGATTTCACAGACTTTTCAAGGACAATTACAATTTTCAAGGAGAAAGATTTATTTAAAAACTTGGCATTCTTAATCCTCCCTTGAACACTTGAATGGCTAAAACACATCAAGGAGTCATTTACAATTTTTACTTCTTCAGCCATGGTTGATCAAATTATTTTACATTTTTGCCCCTACACAAAAATATTTTTTGACAAGGTAGTGAATTTCAAGGACTGTTCAAGACGTTAATAAAGAAATAAAGTACTTTTCAAGGACCCTAACCAAATTCAAGGACTTTTCAAGACGACTACTAAAATTGAAGACCTTTTCAAGATCGTACGAACCATGTCAGTCATTCTGTATACAAACACAACATCCTTGATTGACTTAGGCAGGAGGCAAAGGGGGATAACCCCGTTCCCTTGTCTCTTTTTATAAATTGTGCTGAAATTTAGAGCTGTTTTGGAGAACAGATGTTGTCAGAGTTCTTTAAACAATGGATAAAATTACACATGTAGCATCTATAAAGCTGTCAAGTCTCCCAGCTCCCAGCTATTTCTGAGTTTTTCTGGACCCTCTCCCTTGTGATTTTTAAACTCCCTTCGGAGAACAACTGTCTTACTGAGACACTTCTCCTATTCTCTCAAGTTACAGCTCACTGTCCTATTTTCCTTTTTTGTTTGGGTATTAAAAGAAAAAATTGGGGGAATTTTTGGTATCCTGCCTGGTAATGGCTACTAAAACGGAGAGGATCAAACTGTAAAAATCAGTAACAGTTCATTGTCACTGTCACGAAACAAAGTTATTATTTCAAAACACTACAGCATAAAAGTCATTGTAGATAGAAAATTATGTCCTTGTGTTTCACAAAATAAAGATTTATTCTGCGATGTTTTAGCATTTATGGAGGCAAAAGCATTAAAAATTACAGTTATCACTGAGAGGTTATCTTCTTGTCTTTTATTTTAATATTTCTTTTTTTTTTTCCACCAGACTGTCATATTACGCTACCAATATTGGTCACAAGCTCACCGGGGGTGGGTAAGGACTTGGGTAGAATGCTGGTAACATATGGGTCTCTGGGCCATCTCTCTTGGAGGCCAGGAGAGGAGGAGGCCCAGGAGGGTGGGCACCACGAGGCACATAAATTGGCAAGTCTGGTTTAGCACCATAAGCTGGGTAGAAAGCCACAGCACCGTGAGGGGGCTCTGGTGGATAGCGTTCTGACAGCATAGGTACTTCAGAATGGCCTAAACAAGGAAACAAAATAATTATAAGAAACAGCTATAACGTAACAACCTCCTTAATGAAATCTCTGTGGTAGAATGAATGACATGCATTCTTCCTCATTTATAGCAAATCGTATGGAATTAATCCCAACATAACAAAAGTTTATTCAGACCATTAGCATTCTGTTGAATCAGGGTCTTGCCATTATAAAAGATAAACTAAAGGTAACTGATATGTACAGCCAAACACAAAGCTAATCTTTAGGATACAATATTGAGATAATACTGTAGCTGGAGGTGATTATGTGGCCATGGGGCAGTAGTTTTACAGTTTGATCTTGTGTAGTCCCTCTTTGTTCTCAAGCTACAATTTAAAGATCCTTTTTAATAATGTTCATGTTTAAACAAAAGAGTGGGATGTTTGAAAAAGTAGAACTCAAAAAGTTTTAATATAAATTTCTTTACAGGTGTCTTGTGTAACTGATAATTATGTAATAATCTCTGTAAGAACTTCACTTGATATTAATAAGTTCATTTGTGATAAAAGTTTACATGATTTTCTGAGGTATCTACATCAACGCAAAACAGCTTTAAGCGGCATCAGTTCTGCCAGGAATTCAACAAATTACATCCTCTCCTTCATCTCATAGCATAATAAATCAGTCATTTCTTTCACTCTCACATTTGATATTAAAAAACATGTATTCAAAGTAGCCAGCCCTTAAATGTTAGTTGTGTGAATGAAATGCCATATGGCTTCAGTTTTAATCCAAATAGGTAGTTCAATAAATTAGTTTCCTTTTTACAAAACAACATTGTAAAAATGATGAAATGTAAAAATTTATATGTGAGTGACACAATAAAATTTTATCCAAAACATGCACAAATTACATATAGAATATCACCTACAATAAAAACAACAGTATTATTTCCCGTTGACAAAGTCTACAACATTGGTGTAACAAAGTTAGGTTTATCGTTTTCTTGCAAACAGGAACCATCAATAATTATTGAGAAAAATCTTATGGTAAAAATCAAAATGATTTTGAAAATAGGAGTATCTATGCAGATTATTACCTTTCTTCTTTTATTTTTAAAACATGATTTGTCATGAATAAATATAAAAAGAGAATATGGTGTTGAGTCACGATTGCTGTGGGAATGGTTATAACAAGATCTGAAGACCACAGCTGATTTTCGAGAGAATTATGACTTCAAGCTGAAATGTGATGTGTTAGATCTACAATCACCAAGCATTCACCATTTCAATAACACATTAAATAAACAGAACCTCCTAATCTGAATTAACTCCTGGCAGATAGCTGTTTAGGCATTAACATGGATTGCTTCTGATCAGTCAAATTGATTGCCAGTGAATAGATATCATCATATTTCTTCACAGAAATACACTCAACTACATTTCAAGTTGAAGATTTTTCTATCAAACTATCTTTAAGTGCAATATTCTTCGTGAAATACTAGACAGTGAGTGAATAAAATTATGTTTAGGTTTAATCTGTTAAACAGGAAAGGAGTAAGCTCTGAGGTTCTAAGGCAAAATTTCTTTAAGCCACTGAAAAGTTTTATTCAAATAAACTTAAATTTACCTTCAGTGAATAAAATACAAACTTCAAAGAAAAAAAACAATGATGGCTACAACAAAATATTTGGTGGCTGATAGCCTTTCTTTGTGAAAACCTTGTGCAATTATAAATAACCCCCTGCCAAACATGAATAAATACTGTGAATTTTAGCCATGCTTAAGTAAAATTTCAAATTTTGAAATTGCACAAATGCAGATACATTTTCATGTCTAACAATGTGTAAATTGTGAAGGAAAACCAAACTTGTACCTGTTAAAAATCACCTCTTAAGACCATGAAGAAAACCAACCACAACTCAGAGATCTTATAAATTATTCAGCAACAATGAAAGGCATAAGGTATGAATGTGTTTGAAGATTTCTACGATTCCATCCTTTTGTCATTGTGCTTGGCAACTGAAATTCCCACAAGAGGAATGTAAATTATGAATGGTACAAAACTAAAATGACTGAGCTCTTCAAAGCTTTGCCAGCTTGCTTCATTTTGAAAAGCCTGTGAACCGCTTTGAGTTTTCACCGAGAAGTGCCTGAAAAACCATTTTGTCTCCTGTACAAATAATTCATTAAGTTACACTTTGTAGGATCTGCAATGTGAAATCAACTGTTACTCAGTGACTGTTGCCTACCCTGGTTTTTTGTCAAAAGCACAGAGATTGCTTGTAAAAGATGTGCCACATGTTGCAGCTAAAGAGTCTGGCCTTGTCAAGGTTGAGGTTACAAAAGAAATACAGACAGAAATGCAGATACGATTCAAAGACAGGTGGTAAGGCTTTAAATTAAAATAAACAAGGCTAAAAAGTGCAAGTCTTATTATTCAAATCGCACACTCCTCAACAAGAAAGTTTAAGAAATCAAAAACGATAGCAATTTGCCTTCTAGAACACTTCATCATCCTTGTGGGCAAATGGCCAGAGTTTACAAATCAATCCTCAAACCCAGAGCAGTTAAAATAAAAAGCTCTTTCATCTCTGTGTAACACACAATGTAGTTTGATTCAATTCTAATTAGATATTCTCTCTTAAGGTAAAATAATGAATCATATATCACTATCTTCTAGAATAAAAAAAAAACTACATGTACTCACAAGCTTGTTTACTGCTTAAAAGTCCTTACCTCGAGGCACAGATGAAAATACACCTGGTAAAACCTCATGTCCCATCCGAGGGTGGCTAACTTCAGTCTTGTGGGGACCCCTAGAGGAATCGCGGTTTTGTTCACCTTGGGGAGAAAAGGACAAAGATATGTTTACAAGTTCATATAGCAACATGTATGGAACATCAAACACTGGTGTAATCCATTTGACGTTACTGTATGTCTAAACGACTCATTACTAGCAGCAAAACAATCAAGAATGAAGAAATTTCAAGCTGGTGAAATATCCTGTTTGACTTTCATGGTAAAATCAGTCTTTCCAGCTGTGAATTTTTTAATTATCAAAACAATATCCACAGAAGTAGCATTCTTTTATTGGGGTCTTGGGGGGCAAGGAGGGAAGGAGAAAGTAATTAATCATTATAATAAGCAAAGAAATTCAACAAGTTCTTTCTCTTCCTTAAGAAAAAAAATTAACAAAAACACATTATCAACAAGCATGCCAGTGATCGCTGAATTTCTGAATTTCATGCACTCTACAGAAATACGGAATAAGAATTTCAAGATGGAAAAGTGGATTTGAATGGAAAGGAAATACTTCATAAGAAGATCCACATTGTTAAACTTGGCCTTAAAATATTTCTGGAATACTAAGCAAAAGAAAAGCTACCAAATACAGCAGAATCCTGATTACTCAAACCCTCAGTTACTTAAACCTCAAAGTAATTACAACTTACATGTACACCAAACACATTAAGATGGAATCCATCAGGAAATTGAGTAATTTTAATTCCCAGTAGACAAAAACCTTGTACCAGAATTATAATTATTTAAACAGTATCTCACTTTTGTTTTTACAAAGTTATCTGTAATAACACCAAAGAAAATTTGTTATGAGAGTCTGAGAAAATAAATGTCAAATTTCACAAAATGACATGTTACAAATGAAATTTTCTGAATTTTACCTGTGTTTTCATGTTCTTATGGGGAATAGCCTTTGGCATTATTACACATAACTAATTATATCCAAAGCCCTTGAAAAATGTAAAAAAGAATGCAATATTGTCTAAATTATTCTGGTACAAGGTTTTTGTCCACTGAAAATTGAAACAACTCAATTTCCTGATGGATTCCGTCTCAGACTTTCTGCCATTTGTCAGCTCATTTTAACTGGACTGCCAGAGACATTATTACAAATGCCAGTGTTTACATAACTTTGACCTAAATTATTTTGCCTGTCACCTGGACAAAGATATTTGATTTGTTTTAAGAGTCTAGCCACAGACAAATAGTAAATGTTTTTCAAAGCGTACCTGACCGATGATTTCTGTGATCTGGATCAAGAGGAGGGACATTAGGCAAAGGAGGTGTACGGATGCCCACAGCTCCAAGACCCTGGTGATCTCCTCTTTCTTTAGCATTCATCTCACGATCAGTCTGATTTGCTGATGGTGAAGTTTGGGATGGTGACATTCCTAAAAAACAAGCATGAACAGGTCATTATTGTTTTATTGGATTTGGAAAAAGTAATTATAAAAAAAGGCAAAAAGGGTCATTTGGGCCCTACAAGGACTGGGAGAAAGAATTTAGACCAACACGTTCCAAGATGTCCCCGTAGAAGGTGGTGGTTCTGGACAGGGTCAAGGAAGGTACAAAATTGCTTACTATCAATCCAACGAAAATGGCCATTTGCCTCTTTTTAGTTTGTTTTTACACGACTTGAATTACACGACCTTTGTTTTCCAATCAATTTTTACTTGTTATTTAACACTGCACTTTGGGACTGAGGCTTTATCTAAACGAACAAACTCCCCAGTGGGAGAGCTATTGTTCTTGGGTGAGATGGATTTGTAAACATCCTTGTGCAAATGCCCAGAAGTAGCCCTGGGCCGACCCCCCTGACCCACAATGGCCACTGATAAGCACATAACTCTCACCTGAACTTTTTACGCTAACTGCAGAGATGCTGGGTGAGACAGAGTGGGAACTATTCTCAGATGGAGAGGGTGATGATGTTGTTGAGGGAACCGGTTTTGCTTGCTTGGCTAATTTTCTAAGAGCTGCTGCAAAACTGGCTTGTCCTGCTGACATGGACGGGTCGGTTGGTGCAGGAGTTGATTCTTTGTTGTGCAAAGTAGGCTGAAACGAAGGGGACACTGATGTTGTAAAGTGCATCGGGGACTCATTGGAACTTTGGTGACTGGGGTTTAATGCCACTCTTTTATTTCTGAGCTGAGATGAGCTACCATCCCCTTCTTCGCTCTCCTCACTAGAGTCAATCACTATCACACGCGACTTGGAAGAATACTTTGTTTTTGTAGCTTTAACTCCACTATCAAGGAGATTCTAAGTGTGAGACAATAAAGAAAATGAGCAATGTTAATAAAAACCACTAACAGTCAAAGTTCCATGCACAACCACCTCTTGTAGGTGACTACATTATGTACCTATTCTGGCCATCAAATTAGTGCAAGCCAACAAGCCTCAGTTGTTCAAAGGGTGGATAACGCTTTCCACTGGATAAATCTCTACCCAGTAGATAGTATTGGTTTCCATAATACTTATCTGCTGGATACGAGATTTACGCGGTGGATCGCACTATCCAATGCTTGAACAATGTTTGTTAACAACAACAACTAACAGTCAAAGCTCCAATTATAATATTATTCTAACTATCAAAATAAGGCAAGCCACAAGCACTATAGAGTTGAAGAACTATACTAATAACAACAACTAACAATCGAAGCTCCACACGCGACCACCTCTTGTATAAGGCTGTAACAGTACATCAACCAATCGATTAATTGCGATATTAACACTGTGACAGCAATGGATTGATAGCAAAAATGAAACATTGATAACAATCACCACAGTATAGCAAACTATTGATAGTTTCGATAGTTTCTATAGTTCTAACATTTTGACTTCTTTGGAAAATAAAAGCACCTTTTTTAAACCATCTTTGATAAGGTCACAATAACGGGTAAAAAAAAATGAAAACTACCGCCCTAGTGCACCTAGAAACTTTTAGCGTCTTGATTCTTGAACCGCATGGTACCTGTATTGTATGACCACCACTTCTCAGTTATTTCTTAGAGTAAGGCATTAAGTAAAAATAGATATTCCGAAAACTATCGCCGCAGTACTATTACAATGGTGCCTATCGCAATATCCATGTGGCCTATTGTGATAAAATATTGCAAATAAAGTCAAATAAAATAAATTTTCCCCAATAGTCACCCCTACTCTTGTAGGTGACCACTTACTCTAATTAACAAATCCACGCCACAAGCACAATAAATAGTTGACACCACTACCAAATAACCAGTTATTGAGATGCAAGTTTTTGAAGCATTCATGAGTGGATACAACACATACGTGACTGTACACGGGAAAACGTACTTTAATGCTCATCCGTTAAATGGGGAAAACCATTGGTCATTCGTTAGTTGCCCATTAGAAAAGTCTTCTCAAAAGCGTCAGAGGCGTCAACATAACTGTTAGCTTTAAACGTCATAGTGTTAGAATGAAAAGTTTACACATTAGCCAAAGTTCTGTTTCTGTTAGCTGTTAACATTAGAGTGTTAGAGCGTTAGTTGTATCCGTTAGATTGCCTGGCAGAGGCGTTAGAAAAAAACGTCCTTCCAGTAAAAATGGATAATAGCTATACATTTCGGCCAGAGGTTTTTCTGTACCGTAAATGAGTATTCAGCAAGGATTCGGGGAATGAAGCAAGCTTTTCAGGCCACAATCTATGTAATCTCTTTGTTGCTCCTTTACGCTTGCATGCAAATTCTCAACACTAATCTCCATGCATTTCCTTGAAGAACTTAAGTCAAGAGGATTTGTTTAGATATCAAAGCATTTTCACTTAGGTGATCATTTAACTAATTCTCATAACCATTTTATTAATTATGTACATTTGTATTGATATTGTTCGCTTAAAAGTGATGTTGGTCCCTATTGGGACCTGCTTCAGCGATTTTGTTACAAATAGTTATGGTGAGTCCTGGGACTCATCTTGTGAAAAATCATGAGTCACAGTCCAGAACCAATGAGTCCCAGTTCAAGAAACAAAGAATCCTAAACTGGGCCTTTATGTAACCAGGCAGTTAACTCTGACTCCAAAACTCTGTGTTACAGTGTACTGAAATAAAAATATACTCATTCTATTGTAAAGCACAACAGAGACTAAAAAATATTTGTTGTTAAAGAGTAGCCACAAGAACAGCCACAGAAATCACACAAACAGGATATTCTACAACTGTACAAAAAACATCTTCAGATTGATCGATTGATCTTTGCATCCTATGGGGATGCATGCCACAAATCATTTTGCATCTTTGGGGATTTTTATGCATCTGGAATGCAGGACGCAGAGGTAACAGAATCACTGTTGCTTTCCGATATGAGATCTCCTAAATCAATACTTCCTACTGCAAAAAGGAAAAAATTTAAACAGAAACAAAATAACCACAATAATTATGAAATATAAATGCTTGATATTCAACAAATAGGTCACGAACATTGTATAATTTGGAACTGGACACATGTGAGCTTAACCGTTTGACTCTGTTTCAATTGAATTTAGCTTATTTTGGATGTGGCAATCAAATAACTAAAATTCAACAGAAACATTGAAATACAAACAACAATATCACCTCATGGTTAATAGCTCTCAGAACCAGCAGATAAAAAAATGTAATAGACAGATAGGAGAATCTATCTTTGATTTAAACCAGTGAATAAACTGTTACAGCAAGTTGTACAATGATTATGCCTTCTTAAGTCTCAAAGGACAAATTCCTAAACATAACCACAATCAAAAGATAAAATAAAAGAGACAGCAGTTTTTGTTTCATAAAGAAACCAGGGCCAAATAACCTCCTGACTGAAGCCTGTTTCATGATACAGAACACCATTAACAACAACAACTTCAATATCAATCCTACTTTTTGGAAATGGCATGAGAAATTCTAGGAAAAACCACCTCAATGTATCTAAAACAACTCATGTGAAAATTAGAAAATACATGCAAATGTATGACAATTCAAGCTAGACAAAGGAAATCTCATGGTAGCATTCATCTGCCTATGCTTTTGAAAGTCATTACTTTCTACAACTCCAGCAACAAATCAAACATTATTTTGTCTGAACACCAAGGCTAAGATGATGTTGGAATCTCAACTAAATTACTTCAATTTACTTCCACACACAATACTCTATTTAATAACCAAAAATGTGCATCACTTGCTATTCTAGAACAATATGTTTTCCTTCAATAAAACATGCATTACTTGGTAATAAAATGTAATTTTCAAAACATGGTTTGGACATAAGTCAAGTGTGACCCACACAGCCACAAATCCACTTTAAGATAAATTAGTCAAAGAGTAAATTTCCAGAAGTCTTCTATAATATATTACTTGTATGCTTGTTAATAGGAATTGAGTGCAATGCCTGATGTAGAATTATGATAACTAGGGAAAGCTTTTGCAAAAGGCTACTTCCACTTTAGATCCTGATTCATGTAATAAGTTAGAAAGCCATAAATGTGGCCAATTCCCAGTTTTGAGAACAATGACACAGGAAAGATAAATTTTAAACTGACAAATTTTTAAAAACAATGATCGGCTTTCTCTCAACTAATTCACTTCATACGAGCCATTAACAAACAAAAGCAGAACCTCATTTTGGAGATAGCCTCAGACATGTGCTACTGAAGCACTAACTTAATATTCAAAATGAAACAGACTAAGCTTTTCTACACTGGAAAGGCAGAAATTGACAAATTATCACAAGAACATATTAAAAGAAGCCATTTGGGTCTTGAAAGGCCAAACTTCATAGATGAATTGTTTTTAACATGTGCCCAGTTAGTCTAAAACAACAGCTTACTTTGATTGTTTTTCTCTGCCAAAAAAAACCTCTGTCAAGTATCAAGCCTTACCTCTAACTTCTGTATCTTGATTACAATCAAAAACAGCAATAAAAGTTCAGCACTTTGCCATGAGAGATTTGGATTCCTTGTAGCAAGTCTCTTAATGATATTCAACAGACTAATATATTCTGATATAATAACGGCTTGAGGCAAGCTTAAAGACTAACTCATGGCAGTAATTTTCACCGGCTTGATTAGCATACGCTGCCATATGTCCTCTCCAAACAGTAGCTTAAACATGAATTCAAAAAGTGTGGAGACAATAATCTCAGTTAATGTCATGCAAAGCATTTTAGCAGGTTTTTTTTCAGGTACCCATTGCTTCTCTTTTGTCCACGAAAATAAAACTTATTCAGTATATCAAATTGTTCCCTTGAGACTTGCCAATAATAATAACAACAGTTAAACTAAGTGTGGAGGGATAATTCTTATGCTCAGAGATCAAACAGTGCACAACAAAAAATATACCTTCCTCAAGATTTTCTGATATTCTTCACCAAAAAAACACTTCTCACTCTGACAAGCTCAATATTTTTTCCTCTTATCAATTATTCATCTAGTCTACTACTTCTTTATTTAGCAAGCTAGAAAGAGGCAAAGCCATGCTCTTGTATGCTTAAATCAACAAACACAAAAGATTGCCCTAAAATCTCCTTATTTCTTGCCAAAAAAATGACCAAGAAACAGTAATAATATCAAGCAAGCACTGAAATGCCAAATCTAAGTTAAAATAAAGCTAGCTACTTTCAGAAACTTAGGTGTTGGTTTCTTAGTTCTGAAGCCACCTGCTCCCCATTGTCCTTTTCATATGCAAATCATTGCAATTAACCAACCACATTAACAACTTTCTTTGTGTCAGCTCAGAGAGGTCTAGAAATGTTGAATACATTACAGCAACCACGTCAAGCAAAAACCACTGAACCATCACGGCTTCCTAACATGATATCTTACAGTGCATACTCTTGGCCAGAAGAAACAATTCAGGAAACCATTATTTCTAAGGATTCATATTATCATTTTTATCTTGACAAACAAGGAATGCATTGTAAACATTTTTTGTGTGACTAGCAGATGAAAGAGGCCCAAAGCAAATTTTTAGAAAGCACACTGTGTCATTAATTTTACACACACTGGGCATGAGATTGCCTTATGGCAAGAGGGGATGTTAATTAAATCATAAATGGTGAAAGTAAAGTAAACATATTGTACAAAGTCAATTCTTTCAGAAGCACAAACACACAAAATGCAGAAAACAGATGAAGTAATATTTGCCAATAAACTTACAACAGACAAATTAAGGAAGAAATAATAATGACTATATCCTGTATTTAAAATCCACATTATATTTTTAAGAAGGCACTTTGCATTTTTTCTTCAAAATCTACTTCTTTCTAAGCTTACATGAAATTTAAGACCACTAGTGAAAAACTAAAACAATATTCAAATTCCTACCATGAAAACAGACTTCCAAGGCACCAGTTTCACAGCTTACAGTACACAAAGGAATTAGCATCTCAAGGTAGAGATCGCTTTATACATGTACTTCAATACTTTTATCCTATTACAAAGCTACTGTCCTGGGCAAAATCTATGCTGCCTAAAGTATCAAAAAACTTACAAAGTATCTAAATCACCAATCATGAATATTAACCTTGACAATAACACAAAGAATACTAACTTTGAAAAGTAATATTGAAAAACATTATATTTTATATAACAAAAACAGACTTTAAAAGCCAAGGCCAATAATTATTGTTTGAAAGGTGGATTATGCTGTCCACTGCATAAATCTCTTTCCAACAGATAGTGTAATTGGTTTGCCTAATACTTGTCAGCTGGAAAGTGATTTATCCGGTGGATAGTACTATCCAAGGTTTGAACAACCATGACCAGGGATCACAGTACATTGCCATTGACAACTGGCAGGAATTCACTAAAAAAGCTAAATATAACTACAATAATATTATTGTGGACATTTTAAATGAAAAATAAAGACCACTCCTTTTCCAAAATCAATTATGGAAAAATGACATGTTTTAAATAGCTCTTGGAAAATATCATCATTAATAGTCAAGAGTCAAGGGGAATTTCTTTTTCTATTACATCAAAGATTATAATATTGAACAATGTTTCATGAAAACTTGTGACCACTCACCCTCTCTTCACTTGAAAAAAAAAATCAATGATACAATGAAACTTTTAGCTGGATCACTTCTCACCAAATCAAGGTGAAATAAATGGAATCTTTTAGATCTTTACTATTACTGATTTTTAGCTTTGTTAACTGACAGTTTCACTGTATTATTTTCAAAATTAATGAAACTTTGATCTTCATTCACCATTCATTTTTGGCAGGAAGTTTTTTTACACTTGAACAAACTGTAGACAATTTTGCTAATAATTAGGAAACGAGTGATATTTACAGTCATCTCGTTACAGGATGCAACAAAAATGTCATCCATTAGCCTGGGGCTAGTGACAAGACCCTTCAGGGTAGTACATTTTAATATGAGTTGTCCAAAGGGCTAGCGACATTATTTTGCCACAATAAAGTAAAACATAAGTCCGTGAAAAAGGGTGTTGGTAGGACTGTGCAACTGCTCCGGGCTGGTAAATTTCAGCAACAGTTAGAAATTGTCAGATTTTTTTATCTCATCCTGCTTTAATGATAAATATTAAGACTATTAACTATAAACATTGATTCTAAATAGGTACTTAAATTATCAATTCTAAATATTTATTCCTACAAATATTCAGGATATTTGGATGACTTCCTACTGAATGACCATTCAAATAAAAGCTTAGCTACAAAAAGATTTGGTTAAAATTCGGCATTATGATATTTTGCAAACAAGTGATTTTTTTTATCATAGTACGCTTTAACAGTGCCGGATCCAGGGGGAGGGTCTGGGGGGTCTGGAACCCCCAATCAGACCTGATGCTTGTTTGAGACCAAAATTCTTACGTCTTCACACTTTTTCACCGACTGATTTTTTTAATGAAATGCACATTGCATTTTGCCACTAAGCTTAATTCCAGGGATATTAAAAAACAAAATACTATTGTTTTTGGCCTTCTCTGGCTTGTGACGTATCTCTGATGAACGGTTGTCAGAACTTGCACTCATACACTTACATCATGACCTTGACATTGATGAAATCTGTACAATCACAAGAGGAGGATGTTCCAAGGGTGCATCCTTTATGAGTAGAATTCAAATACACAGCAAGGGGCCAAGGAATAACGTGCAACTGTGACTTCTGGGAGGGGGGTGTGGGGGAGAAGTAATTTGCCACAAAAAAAGTTCATTTTCTTTTAGTATGGCTACTTCTGATTGGACAAAAAAAAAAACAGAAATGACCCTCTGAAAAAACTTTGACCACTATTCTTGTTATAATCTACATGCACCTATTATTTTGGAACATGTCTTATGGACAAAACATACTGAAGGGTATCCAATCAGATGGAGTTTATTAGAAGATTCCCTGCATCCAATTTAATTATTATTCCTCTGATTAAGATCTAACAGCAGCAATAACTAAAGGTTCAATGAATGCTACTACCATGAAAGAAACTGAGAGTTATTTAGCAAAAGCGCATGAAAGTGATGGCTGTAGATAAACTGCATTTGGAAAATTAATCATTTCATTTACATTTATGGTGCAGATTCAACTCAAAAGTTCTCAAATGCAATACAATTGGATGAAGAATTTTCCTTAAAATTTCAGTTGCACTCAAGGCTTTGCTTCTTCCTGTACTCTCCTTCTTGAACGTAAGTCCCGTGAACAGGCTACACTGTATGATGAGCCTACTACATAAATAGAACTTACATATGCTATGTAAGCTTTATTAACATGTTCAAATTTCGCAGTTGAGCTCAAGGCTTTACTTCTTAGTTAACTGTTTATCATAATTTATGGACAGCCTCTTAGCCACAAGCATTGCCTTCTAAGTCTAAGTGAAAGGTGGAAGATCGATGTCCTGGTGTCTAGGGATAAAAACTGTAATCCAAAACCTGAAGTGAAATAACACCCCTGTGATCTGCCTTATTAGCACCCCAGCCATGAGTCCCACATGCTTCCACTTCCAAAGGACCCATCACAATGAAATGAAATGAATGAAGAGTCGTAGATCAGAGGACAACAGACGTACCCTCTTACAAAACATTTTAACATGTGAACAGTAAGCTTGGAAGTCAGCAAACAAAGGTGCCACTGGCAGCTGCTCTCAGTCCATTTATGAGCTTACTGTACCCACCCAACCTATGATGTGAATGATGTGATGTGTGAAGGTTGACCACATCAGAGGGGTCTACGTCTCCTACTCTTTTTGAGCAGTGGTGTAGGTTCTTTTATGTCCTACAAGAACCAGAAAAGTATAAGTGCTGTGAGACGGGACCTACAGTTTTTCGTCCTTATTCAAGAAGACTAGAAAGTCTAAACATTTGCAGATGTCATTACAAAGGCGGCACTTTCTTCTCAGTAATTTAAAGACCCTGAGTGTTGGTCCAGCCGTGGTTAAGCATAACAAAACACATGCCTACACTTACACAAAGTGGTGCAAGCCATGAGATTGTCCAACAATCCAACAGAAAACAGACTGTCCAGCCATCCTGATTTCATTGGTATTCTCCATATTTTGCTTGAAAAGCGAGACCAATATGCCATCAGGATAGAAAAAATCTGATTTTGACATAAGTTCTGGTATTTTCAAATGAATTCTTAAACAAACACCTAATGTTCAAAGTGTTCTTAACTGAACCTGATATACAGAAAATGTAAAAAAAACCCACGTAATATTATATATAAAAAAATTACTTGCACCTGACAACGTGCAAATAAAAATAAGCATAAAAATGGTAATCGATTTAACAAATATTTTAGACAAAAAATGTTCTCTCAGAACACTAGAAATAGCATTTCGGAGCATCAAGATTTCAAAATAGTGGCTCCCTCCTTTGGCGTTTGCGTGATTCTTCAGTGATTAAAAATCATACCGGTTTTACATACTCAAAAGGTTGGACAGTCTGCCATCAGTACAGTCGAACCCCGCTATTTCGAAGTCCCAAGGGAAATGGAAAAAAGTTCAAAATAGCGGGGTTTCGAAATAACCGGGGAAGCGTAAAGGGGAAGGGTAAATCCAAGGGAATTCGATCTTCCTTCGAAATAGCGGGGACTTCGAATTAACCGAGTTCGAAATGGCGGAGTTTGACTGTATATATGTTCACTTGACACATGCATGAAAATAACCTAAAACTGCTGACCAAGGGCCTTGCCTGCAAGCCGGGCCACTGGAATTTTCTGAAATGGCATGGGAAAGTCATGTACATGTATTAAAACATCAAATATACATTTCCCAAGTATTTAAAGTGTATAAACTTTCTATAACATGTAAGCTGAGACAAGGAGTTTTTCTTATTTGTTCTATTTTCGTCATGTAAATACAATATATTATAACATGAAAGTTAGGACTAGAGATTTTTAATATGCAAATGGCCTTTATATGGAGATCTTGTATTAGTGTTCTAAAAGGTAAGTAAAGTTGAGGCTGGCTGGAAAGGTTGTAGCATGAAGAACACCTCAGAGCTAGTACAGAGATAACAACAACGAACGTCTTTAAATTCACTGATTGTTCAAATAGCAAAAGCTCATTGTATAAATTTTGTCATCTCAGTCTTAACCACATTTCTTGGCTACTTTCTTAATGCTAAGTGACACGAAAATGTGGAAAAAATTTTCACACTTTATTTCACATTAAAGAACCCTATCAAGATGAAACTGTTCTTGGACAGATGCTTGGAAGGTCTTACAGGTGATGAAATTAAACCTTGGAATGCTCTGTAATATTTTAAATTTATAATATGACAATGTCACATGGAAACCACAACCTTTATTTGTCAGAAAGACAGGGCCAAAACTTTAGCTGACCTGATGGAGCTTAATCAGTTTAGGGACATTTACAATGATGTAACATGGACTGGGGCCAATAATAAATGCAAAACGACTTTCTATATACCTAATATGTGAATATTACACAGAAAAAGCTCCAATGAAATTTTCTATAACTGCTCTACAAGCACAAGTCCCTGGCAGATTTCTGGAGGAAAATTCCTGAAAAATTTCCCCCTTCACTATTGGACCACGTAAGCATGACAATATTTCTCATGCTAACTTTTAAATCCCTGGACAAAATCCAAAATGTTAGCATTAAAAATAATAAAACCTTGACAGACTGTTGCTGAGCACTATTTATTTCCTAACCTTTTACCAAGAAAATTTTGATTTTTTCCCTTATAAAGCTTTGAATGGATATATTAATATAGACATGTCTGCATAATTATGTCCAATTCTACTCTGATACCGCTAGTTACCGTCTGAGAGAAAAAGACAGCCTTACTTTAAAGAAGAACCATGCTCCAATGAACCTGTTTAAGTTCAGTTCTTTTAATCATATTGTAGACATGTGGAATTCACTTCCATTTCACATTAGATCAGCTTCTGGTATCTCAAGTTTTAAGCGCCGTATGACAAATTTCTTAACCAACACTAACTGCATAAGCCTACATAATATATTTTAGTATATCTTTTTCTATCTTTGTATATTTATTATGTATAATATTTAGATTTTTTTTTCTGAGATATTTTGTTATTTCGAACTTCTTAATAGCTAGGTGGTTTGTCTGAGTATGGGGTCTTTGACGCTTTTACAGCCTATCCTTCTCCCATTTTTCTTTTGGCTTTTATTGCATTTTTGTAAGCTGCCATTAAATTGTGATAAATAAATAACTAAATAAATAAATTTTTCTCTTGGGCCATTGTAAGGAGTAAAAGAGCCATTTAACCAAGCTGGCCTAATCATTTATCATTGCACTTACCTACAATACCTGTACCACATTTCCTAAATAAAACAAACAATTCTTTGGTGCAGTTATTTTCTATTAAGAGAATATTTGAAATACTCTTGTACTTTCTTTTTAAGGCCTGTGATCAGGTTATGGGTTATGGTCAGCCTGCCACATAAGCAGAAGCAAAGAAAACAACCTACACCTTGCTTGCAAATGCTTGTAAGCTATTTTTAAGTGCATCGCAAGCCAGCCATATTAGTAGCAGTATTCGGTTGTTATTCATCAGGCACAGCAAACGTGAAACAGCACTAATCATTTTTAAGAATAAAATACTGCTTCAACACAATATAACTAACAAAAAAAAAGTTTAATCACTAGGACAAACCTCATTTCTTCCATGACGGTTCTGTTCCCTATTCTGCATACCCATTGCATCATTGAAATCATCCATGGCTTCCAGATCTCTTCTCACTTCTCTCTGGCAATTGCCACACAAAACAACATCTCTGCCATTTTTGAGCACAATTCCAGTTTTTGGTGGTTGGTGATGTAAAGGAAATGTTATGAGTTGTTTATTCACAGCTCCAGCAGAAGCCCTTGAATTTTGTTGACAGCAAAGATAACAGGTAACAGATGCAACCATATACTTTCGTAACCACCTGTTTGATTCCTCTGGGATGTCTGAATTTTCGTACACATTCCATTGCACCATCAAGTTGTTATAACATATTTCACAAGTCAATGCCGTGCCTTCGCCATCTATAGGCTGAGCATTATGCGCCGGTTCTCGAGACGACAGAAAAGGGAAGAAGGGCCCACCATCATGAATGCCTTTTCCACTGTGAGGGTATGAAAAAAGTTTGAAGGTAACAGATGCGTTCACCGCAACACCACAAAGAAAACAAACTGAAGAAAATTCCACATCTGCTGTCGAAACAGTTCTAAATTTGAACAAATAAGAACGTTTTTCTTGAGGCACATTTTGTCTTTCAAATTCTTCCCATTCTGTAGTTAGATGCTTGCTGCATTTCTTGCAGATAAAAGTCCGTCCTTCTGCATCTAAAGGTCGGCAGTCTTTTGGGGGTTTAAGCGAAGCTAAGAAAGGAAAATAAAAACTTTCTTTTAAGAGATTGGTGTTTGGTTTTGAGTGAACAGGCTGTAAATCAGTCTCGGAGCAGTACTGGCCACATGTATAACAAGCTAAATTTACTGATATCCTAGATGACTCTTTTGATGGGACCATCACATCATTGCGAATCCTGTATTCCCTCTTTTCTTCTTCAACCCCAATAGCTTCAAATTGCTTCCACTGCCTAATGAGTGACTTACGGCATCCACTACAAGCCCTAGTAAGCCCTTGTTTTGTAAGCGGCATTGCACCCTCGGGCGTAACCAGGTTGTTTAAGAATGGATAGTAAGGATGTCCAGGAGCGTGCTTTCGCGAATAGAGAAATCTACCCGATGTTGCAGGTTGTGTAACTCCACAAATAAAACACACCATAGTTGATAATTGGGATTGCTGTTCCCTGGGGAGGGAGGGGTCAGATCTCAATTGGTACTGTCTCTCACTAAGTGGAGTTGAATTTTTCTGGAAGACCTGCCACTGTCGGAACAAGAATTTTTGGCAAGCCTCACAAACAAGCACTTTTCCTAAGTAGTCCATTTGTTTTGCCATTGAGGGAGGCGCATGCTTGGCGAGGCAAGGATAAAACGGGGTCTCTGTCTTTAGCTGAGGTCTTGTGTGAACGCTTCTCATAAATTCTTTAGGTTTTCTTCTGCTGCAGATGTAACACGTCTCTAAACCAGACGAAAGTCGGGAGCCAGACATATTAGCGAGCGCGGCATTTTCTCCCAAAGGTACAGTTGAATCCTCAGAGATCGGACTAATGCTCTCAATTGCAGACGTAGCTGTAGCACTGGTGTTGTCTGTGGGCTCATCGCATTGAGTAACCATTTCTTCCGCCATCTCTTCAGCTCCGTTTGTGTTTCTATTATTCCCGGATACTTCTCCTCTCATTTGACTGCTAAATACAGGGCTTTGAGCTCTTTCACTGCTTGTGTCAGGTCCCGACCTCTTAAGCCAGTACATCCGCTTAATTACAGGCGTTTCGTTAGCTTCGAAAGCGTGCCATTGTTGGGTCAAAAATGAAAAACACACTGTACAAGAATCTACACGTCCATTTTCTCTGTCCATCGGCCGAGCGCCCTCGGCTGGTTCATGGTATTCCAAGAACGGGAAAAACGGCATTTTCTCCGAATTTCGAGTTCTGCAGTAGACAGGCCAGTTGGCATTTGAAGCGCCGCAAATAAAACATATCAAAGCAGCATCACTGCTCGAAGTTGGCGCCGAATTAGAATCGGCAGTCCTTTGATCTTTTATCCCGTTCAACTTAACCATGGTCGATAAAAATACGTTACAGTAGCATCTTGCTCAAGGCATCCTACCACGATTTCATCACGGCCGAAGAAGAGCTTGTCTGTGGGTCTACGTGACGTGAGGAAAATCTAAAAATTTTGCTGGGCACGAACCTCTGTGGTGGATGAAGCCTTTGTAGTTTTTCTTACCCACGATACTTTGCGCGTTTGTCCACCTGGTTCAGCTGATCTACAAACATCTGTGCCCTTCCACTGAAGTATTGACACAATCAAATACAACAAAAGCCGTTCCCTTTTAAGCTCAGCGATCCGAAGCAAGAGACAAATATAAAAAATGTTCTTTTTGAACCCTGCCCTTTTAATCGCTAGGATCAGAAAGAGATAATTGTTGCCTGGAGAATAATTATAGTAACGTCGGATAACTTGTCATTAATTTTCTTAAGTGCTCTGCACACCATCCTTGTTTTTATTATTTAAAAGCCACCGTGTATCACGTATGCTCTTAATTTGACGTCAAGAGTGGAAGTGCACTAAGCATTATTATTATTATTTATAGAAAACATAAAAGCTGACGGAATCTTTATTTAAAATATATCGTGTTCATTTTCAAGGTGGCCCGACAACCGCTTTTATTATTTGTGGGCATTGTCTGAACATTTTCGAACATTTACATCATTCGTGATTCCTTTCAATTCATAAGTAATGCTCCAACAATACTCTTGAATGACATTTTGCATCGAATCGCACAAAATTATTTTTCTTCCGTCATTTTTTTTTTCTTTACAAAAAAAATGCGGAAAACCTGTATTGTGGCACGCAATAAGCTTAAGCAGACTGTACCGGAAGCCTTTGGTAAGTGAGACGAAAGTCAAGTAGCATGGCAGTTGTCACTAGAAGCTGGGGTTCGGTGGAGCGAGAAGTGCACTGGGGCGCAGAGTGTGGCAAAAGCGAGGCTGAAGAGAAATGCGCGTGTCCTGTCAACCCTAGGCGCATCGTATATCTCGTGACAGGAGCCACTTGTATCATCGACGTCCTTAGCTTGGCAGTTGCCATCATCGATAATGACTCCTGTCTCATACTCTATATTTGTTACATACAGTTATTTATATGCCTGATGTCTTACGCATGTACCAGAGAATAATTATATTTTGGGAAGATAAGCTGCGTAACATAGGCAACGAAAAAGGGAAGAGGATTTGGAGGGAGCTAGGGGAAAAGGGACGGGTATTGGGGAGAGAGGGTAATTTTATCATTTTGCGTTATTTTAAAATCTGACCGTGTTAACCGTGATTCTGTTTTTTTTTTTATTGTTTGTTTGTTTTTTAAGTCACGGACAGGAGCCGATTAGTTAAGAAGCTTATCGGGGGTGTTTATTTTCTTACAATAAGCGGAAAAAACCCTCAAATCTAGTCATCGCATAAATCGTACTAAAGGTTTCGACACTTTAGAAGGAAACTGGAGCCAAAATCCCTCCCGCAGTTGTTTCTGGAGACGCGCAGGTCAGATTCCCTGTCCCCAATAACAGTCCCAGAGGTCTTTCCGAAAGTTAACTCGGCCCAGTTCCCTTCTGATTTCTTAAGTGACGAATAGCCCACGTTCGATATATTAAAATTCTAACATGACTCCGAGGCTTTAGGGTCAAAACTGCAAATTTTTCACGACTCTATTGTCTCGCAATTCCCAGAAGAGACTTGAGCACAAAGAAAACCAAACCAAATACAGAAAAATGACCAGAAAGCCTCGGAATCGTGTTAGAATTTTAATATATCGGAGGGGAATCAGAGGGGGCTATTGGCTATAAAAAGATTGCGCGGGAAATTAAATCACGTTCAGTCTCACGTTGAACGTCAAAATGGCCAATAGAGAGTCAAAAACAAGAAACAATTTAAAAGAATGATTGAAGATGAAAACTTCAAAATTCAACGCTAAAATTTGGCTGTTTGTTAATGAGCTTCATTATCGGTAAAGTAAATCATCTAGAGTGTCCCAAATCATAGAAAACAGAAAATATAGCTGGAGCATTTAAGAACCATCTTACAAACATTGTCCAATCTCTACCTCGCGAAATTGACAGTGTCGACACTGATCCCCTTTCCTATGTAAATGTTGTCAAAGGAGCATTTTCTTGTTGCTTCTGAAACCAAGAACTGACTACCTCAAGCGCAGTTTCAGTTACATTGGTGTTCTCTTATGGAGCAATATCCCGAGCAAGAACGCACAGCAAATTCTTTAGATGTCTTTAGAGAAGTATTCACAGTTGATTTGCTGATCAGTATTCCCATAAAAACAAACATGTAAAGCAGTTCTAGAAAATTTTTATGTATTTTCTATTGTAATACTGATATTTTTATCATCGTGTATAAATAAAGTTATCATTCGTTCATTCATTCAGGGCCGGCTAGGGACGCCTGTTCATCGACAAAGAGTACACAGTAATTATCAAGGAATTATAATAACTCCTCTAGTGGGGCCAATTTAACTCCTTACAGTGGAGTTATTTTAACTCCAAAAAGGAGTTTAAAGAACTGTTTTTCAGGAGTAAAAGTGACCCCAGATATTGAGGAGTTAAAATAACCCCAAAAAGGAGTTATCCTGTACCTAAAATATTTACTCCGGTCCACTTTCAGAGTTAAATTAACTCCAAAAAGAGTAAAAACAACCCATGTGAGGAGTAAAAGTAACCCCATTTCGGAGTTATTTTAACCCCAGACTGGGAGTAAAAAGAACTCTTTTTCAGGAGTAAAAATGACCCCAAATTCGTAGTTAGATTAGGAGTTAAAGTAACCCCCAAAAAGGGGTTATCCTGTACCTAAAATTTTTAATTCCATTTTTGGAGTTATAATAACTCCCTAAAAATTACGGTGAAGATGGTCCATTTTAAGGAGAGGCCTTTAACCCTTTAAGCCCCAATATCCACAAGCAAATTCTCCAAACTGATCTCTATACATTTCTTTAAAGAATAAGTAGAGAGAATTTGAGAAAAGACCAAAGCGTTTTCTCTTTGGTGATCATTTAATTAATTCTCATAACCTAATCTCTTGACATTGTATGGATATTGTTAGGAGAAAATTGATGTTGGTCACTATTGGGACGTAAAGGGTTAAGAGGGATTTGATTGTAGAGTAATTTTCATGAAGTCCTCTTTGTATATACTACGTGGCTAAAATGTTCCTAAGTCAATAACGAAATCAGTGTTAAGATTAGCCAATGATACGGAATGACCTGGTTTCCACAACAAACTTTCCATAAACTCACTATTGACAAAAGTGTTAAGTGGGATTGACAGGCCTACACGACTCCCCAGCGCGTGTTTTTTATAACCTTTTTCATAGTTTGGCTCTTACGAGTATGTTTGTGAGTCGAGTTTAATTCTCTTGCTACTGAATATCACCGAAAAATAAAGAAACTGCAAGCCAGAATTTTTGCTGAGTTCTTCTGTCCGCGCTAACCCTCTATTTATTAAACATTTAGTTATCAGTTTTTAATTCGTAGGAGTTTTAATGTGTTCTGCAAATATATATATATTTTTTCCTCAGGATCACAAGCCTGCGATCCTGGAATCAACTTGACTCTACCCAGCATTTAGAAGGCTTCGTGCTTTAATATAGCTCTAGCTTGAAATAAGATACTCCTTTTGGAAAGAGCATCGCCGTTTGTCAGTTACAGGGAGTATCATATCTAGTCAATAACTTTATAGTTTGTGTCAGTCTTAGGCCTTTGATTACAGTCATCCACAATGTTAAGTCACAAGGCAGTTTCTTCATAGCTTTTATTGACTGTCCCTGAGTTTTCCGAACTGACACGTCCTTCTGCACTATTGGTAGTTGGATGAAGATTCGTCCTTACCTCCTTGTTTCCAGAGAAGAGTTCCCAAAAAGACGCTCGATAGGCACCATTCATGAACATATACACAAAGGGGTTGTAAATTACCGAAGCTTTGGCCATCAGCTCTGGAATTTCTGCTTCCCCGGATGTAAGTACGTGACGGCCTCTGATGAGAGCAGCGATGCTGACGGCAGTGTATGGCAGCCAACTTATTAGGAAAGCAGCTATTGAGATGGCTGTCATGCGTACTAACTTCATTTGGGACTTCTGCCTGCTGACTCGCATAATGTGGTTTAAACTTCCTTCCAGTGGCACTCGTGTATCTCCGATAAGCCTTGTAAAGAAAGATTTCAGACAACATTATTCAAGTTATCCCTGTAGTATACCCGCTAGGTCACTACTAGATTGATCCTGGAGCGTGACCAAAAGCGACACCAAGCAAAAAGCCTTCCCTCCCCTACCCCTAAAGTCTGTACGGGTGGATGAGCCTGTACGCTGACGTCTTTTCTCGCATCGAAAGATGTCCATTTTCTATAACTGTTGAGGCTCCGCTGCGAGCGCACGCGGACGCTCCTTTAAGACATTGTGCTTTAAAATGTTAAAAAACTTTAGCCTGCGTAGCTGGCGGTCTTGTTTGTTGAGCGCCCAAGTGAGTGGCGAAGAAGCCGCTTGTAGAATGAAGCGGAGACAAGGATAACTTTCCTTGTGCTAAATATGTTACCTTGGGGGTACTCCCTTATATAAGTCAGATAGATATGTACCGCCCCAAAGGGTATGGTTTGAGACGTTTGTGTCTGAAAACGGGTTTAGACTTTTCCCATGTTGGTCTGGAATCGGGTATGGTTTCCACAGGGAACTACGGGAGTGTATAAATATCAGTTGTCATTTCAATTCCAAATGAATAAGATAATGTGGGAAATTCAAAATGGATTTCAAGAAATCTTTTTGCCGGGTTCTAATCTAAGTAATGATAGGCATTATTTTTGCCTATGCCAGGTCTGAAAACTGGAGTGAAAAATGACACTTTTTGGTCTGAAATAGGGTTAGGATTTGGAGAAACGGTTGGCACACCTTCACCAACAATTCCCAGGAGTACCCCACCCCCCCGGTATTTTAAAAGCTTTTATTACCTATAGATCAAGTAATGGTAGTTCCCGATCAAAAACAACGGCGTAAAAAAGCCAAAACACACCAGGAAAATAATGTAGGATATGGCCCAAGGATCAGAAGTAGTCCATTCGGGGGCGCAGCTGAAACCTGCCTTGCCGGGCACGGCCCTGCTCCAACCAATCAGGGGCGGGAGATTGGCCAATATCCCGGATAACCACGTGGCAGCCACGAGAAAGTTCATGTTTCTTGGTTTGATATAGGGGCGACGTAAGGGCTGTTTGAGCACGTGATACATAATACCACTCATTGCGACAAGAGTAGCAATGGATGTCATACCAGAGGCGCCATTGGCAAATGAGGACCACATACACCTCAAGGACCCTGCTTGCAGTGGTTGTCCCAACATGTGCGTGAGGAACATCACTGGATATACCAGCACAGTGATCAGAATATCCGAGACTGCTAGGTTTAGCATAAGTGGTGTGATTATTTTTTTGCGGTGCACTCGATAACGGAGGATTATGATGCTGATGACGTTGCCAAGGAAACCAATCGTGAGAACAAAGAACATTGCGGTCCCATATATGACGGAAATCCCTTGCCATGTCGAGTGTTCCCCTTCAGTTGACGTGTAATTAATTCCAGATGTAACGTTAGTCATCTAGATTCTGTTATGATTGAAAACCATATCAACTGTCATCTGCAAATTAAAAGAAGTTAAGAGTGAAAACCTTTTTGAACGCAAAAATGGTCATCTACAAGGCTAATATGTAAATGTGCACCATTTCCGCGCAGCAGTTTGCGCGCGTTTCAAGATGTTTAAATAAATAGGCTGATTTAGCAACAGAACGCGAACGTCATTTGACGACGGGAAAGCGCGCGAAAACGACTAAACTCGACTCCCGGTGCCCAATTTGTCGCTCTGCTATTGGTCAAGCCAGTTGTTTGATTTGCGCGCGCAGTCGTCAACTGACGTTCCCGTTGTGTTGCTAAATCAGCCTTAAAATGCGCTTGAGAGTTTAAGAAGGTGGTTAAACGAGCAAGAAAAAATTTCAAAGATAATGCAACTAGACAGCTGGGTCTGTCTTGAAAAGGCTCGCAGTCTTAGAAAGAAAGAAGGATCTCCCCTGGAACAATTGAAGAATTAAAACGGAACGAGGGTCCCGTCTCCAATACGATGGCGCTCCGCATTGACACTCACTGAGTCCGGTTCTGGCGTTCAAGGATAAAAACAGCGAGAAAATAGACGGCCGTGAAAAGTCTAATATGATCAATACAGGATTTCCGACGGGTAAAATAAGAATTACTGAAGTAAGGTTAGGCCAGTTTTAGTTTCTTCTTTTTTTCACTTTTGACAATTTTTATCTCTTTAAAGGTAAAGGTACTTATTTTACGTCGATAGCTCGAAATAATCATCATCTAGCTGTCAACACAAACATAACAGCATAGAATAAATAAATAAATAAATGGGTGGAACCTATGTACAGTGTACACCCGGGGATTTACCAATAGGTAGGCCTATAACTTCACGGGTTAGTAATAGGGGGGAGATCTAAAAACAGGGATTCTACTGTATTCTATAATCGCCCAAAGTTACGGTGACTTTGTTTGTGCTGCCTTATTTAGATTTAAAGCCCTTGATATATTCAATCGAAAAAAAAAAAATTAACCACTTATTTCTTTCGGCAGTTTTTGCGCATGTCAAGCAGCTTTCGTGGCTTCCGGCAAATTAACAAAACAAACACATTAAAATGTTTAGCTGTAATCATGTATAGGTTTTTTAGCGTTTTTATTTCTTTTCAATTGTTCAATAGTGCCCTGCGAGCAGAGGCCTTTCGATTCAAAGGCAAGTAAATGTTGCAATTATGGCAGCTACGTTTATAACCTCAAGCGCAAAAAGCGGACTTGATACAACGCCACTCTGCAACAAGAACAGAGAATGCCAAGTGTTTGATCTAATTACAAATCATAGCGCGTTTAACTTAAGTTTAAAGCTTGGTGCACATATTATGGCCGTTTTTGCTAACCTTTAGCGAATCGGAATCATATTGCATTTATTGCAAGTAAACCAGTTCGTGTAAGAACTCAACACTCCACTTTTGGCTTTAAAACAAAACAAAAAAATGCTTTTGCCTTACCTTGCAATTGTAAAAACTGAACAAGGTGTCTACCACTCAGTGACTTTGTTAAGTCTCCAGGAATTTTTAAAACTAAGACTAAAAGTACTTATGATTTTTGAGAACGTCTTACAGCCTCGTTAAGATTTTACGGACCGACAGAGGAGCTTGGCTTCGTTGTTCATCTTTGCATTTATATTTAACAAGAGAAAATAGCTCGTTGAGAACAATCGAATTACGTACTCTCTAATCTGTTACGTCAGTTACTCTTTTTAGACGATATTAACGATCTTTTAAGAAAAAATATAGCGGACAAAGATTTCTGTCAAGACCTGAGTATTGATATTATAATCACTTTTTTCGAAAGACAGTCACCCTTTTCCTTTCAAAAGTTTTTCATGTCTCAGGGTCGAAATTAAATGGATATTTTTCTTATCTTGTTAGCATGTATTTCTTTCAGAACATTTCAAGTTGATTACTTCACCACAAAATTGCTTTTGTCATCAGTCAAAAGCAAACATTAAGAACCCATTAAATCCCGGCATGAAGACGTTATCTCTTCGAAACCTCTTCGTAAAAGTGCCTTTCATCTTTTTTTTAAAGAACAGTTTTAAAAACAACAGTTTTCTAAAGGAAATGACGGAGAAAACAGTTTGGTGATGTACAACTGACACGTAAGAAAAGTCAGGCACGTTTTACATTGCACCAATGCATAATTTTTTTTCCAGAAAAATGTCTTCAGGTGGGCATTAAGATCATGATAAATTTTAATTCAGCTATACAAAATAAGTGTTAAAATACCTAAGATTTGTGTTATCTTTATGGTCGGGCGTACATGGAAATGTGCACGTAACCGAGTCTAGCATAAATAAGAAGATTTATAGACCATGCTTTCAGAAAAAAAAATTATATTGAAAGCCGTGGGACTGTTTTGGCTAACATCCTAAATGGAGTACTAAAAACAATCTTTAACACTAACAGTGACTGCTACAAGTTTATATTGGACCTCAGCTGGTGAGCCCTAAACTTTCAGTTTAGCTGTTAGGAGACAACATCAATGAATGCAACAGTAGTAGCTAGTAGTTGATAAATTTAACGTACAGTACTGTAGAGAATTATGCGGAGCCTAGCAAACTAATCATCAAACTAACTAAAGTCAGTAATACAGTCAACCGTCTCATAGCGACCACTTTCGGTAAGCGGCCACCTCCCGTAAGCGACCACTTTGAAAAAAACCCTTTTTTTCTTAGTCAAATGGTGTTTCAAAAACTCTCTCGTAAGCGACCAGTACTAATTTTCTTAAACGACCGCGACCTCTTTTTAAACAAGCGACCACCCGGCCATGATTGTAAGAAAACCATTGCTCGACTGTCACAAAAGTTCAGTTTTTAAAAGCGCTGACAAAGCGTGCTGTAAGATTACAGCAGCTGACTTACAAATCGAATGGCTATAATACAATATGTAGGTAAAAAGGTGCATTGTAACATTGCTGCAAAATGTTATCAGTGTGTTATGTGCAAAGTTTCAACAGTTCCAAGCGCTATTCGATGTGAACCATTACTGCCAGTTGTCTGTCCGCTTAAGGTCCACCTTGTCAGGTAATAACTTTATGTAATCAAGTTCATCAGTTCAACTTGAGCTTATTTTCTTGATTTTTCCCGTAGACGAGCACCCCCTCCCCTTTCCAATGCCACTACTTTTTCGTGCACCAAGGGTGGTCACTTACGAGCGCAATGACTGTATTATGACATCGCAAACTAGCATTCATCATCCGCACACTCTTATTTGAGTTTACTCTGATCTACAAAACCGAGTCGAACAGATTTTGTGTATCTTTGAAAAAGTTATGTAACAGTAGAATCCGACGAAATGTAACAGTTAAACTCTGATTAAATGAAACTGGTTGTAAAAGCGAGCATGATACTTACGGAATATATACTGCTCTGGATGGTCAAACAACTCCCATTCTTTTAGCAATGTCGGAACAATCAACCTTATAGATCCTTATACGAAGGCCGCGCCGAAAAGAACAGGGGCGTGCGAACGCTCAGATGCTCGCGTGGACGTCACGTGCGCGTGTTCCCTTTGTTGAGAACCTTAAAACAGATTCTCTATTGTGATCCAAATAGCTCTTTTTTAAAAAACGAAAGTGTTGTGTCAGATGCCAGATTACGATTGTATCAATATTTTGCGCGGTGATTTATTGGGTTCTTGCGTAGAAAACCATCAGTTTAAACTTTTCAGTTGTTCAAACGAGCGCAAGAAAAGGTGATTAAGATGTTATTTTGGCAGGCGAAACTACACTTCATTCAATTAAAAAGCAACCAATTTATCGAAAATCAACAAAAAATTAGTTTTGAATTAGTTTTTCGTTTTTTGCGCGGTTTTTTTTTTTTGCATCAAGCTTTTGCTTTGCACAGGCGGATCGCATGAAAAGTTGAAGCTTAAAATGCTGAAAGTCTGCTGTAATTTCCGTTTCGTCGACGGCTGAAACTTGAAAAATCTTCATAGACTTGCTGCATCATGTTTTTTTTTTGCTGAAATTAAAAATTCCTTCTTTTCCTAGAAAAACTTCTTGTACACTTACCGCCTAGCTAGCGAAAATCAGTATCGGTTCTGATCATCGCAACACTCAAACTCGCTTTTTTTAATTAGGGAAGATCAGTGGAAGATAGACGAATCGCGATAATATTCGACTAAATTTATTACGGCGCTTTATAATGATGGCTTGTTTGGAGAAAATATATTCCGTATTAATATCATCTCAAATCAAATTAAATTTACAATATTGAGGAATAATTTATTTGTATTTGATTGCTCTCAACTGATTTTGAAAAACAAAAACGACCCCTAAAACCACACTGATTTCTAAAGACGAATTTATGCTGTCATTTCAAGACAGCATAACGCGCAGATTTTAAGACGTAAAAACTATAGCCGTATATAAATATGAATTAAGAAATTGTGGGAACCACGATATAGCTTTGACTATTCACATTAAACACGTTTTTTTTCACGAACTGAGTCTTCTTCAGCCAGTGTCCAATTTTGGTGTCTTTTTCTGGTTCCCAAAGGCTCGAGATTCAAACCATTTATAACTTAAACATCTATGACAACAAGGAACAGTTATTATATCAATAATGAAGAGATTATCTCAAGACCATTAATGACCAAAACAACTACTCTGTAAGTGCATTCCCTTTTTAACATTTCTTCACCAACACTGCACGAATACGACGTGAGTCTTAAGGCGGCGTTTGCGGGTTTTCATAATGCCAAACCGACCGACTTTTTCTTCAAAATTTCACCTGGGTCAAACCTTTCAAATTATGTTTATGTTCCATTAAAAAAGTTAAAATTTCCGGAAAGAGCCCTAAGTGTCAAAAGCTACCTTGCCATTCCCTCAAAAATACGCTTAAGGATAAAAGTCACGCAGTATGATACGTTGCACGTTGACCTTGCACGTGCGTAGGTTATAAATGCCCTAAGAAAGAGCATTTTCTAACATAATATTAAACTAAAGTAACTATGAATATGAAGACCG